ACTACCTATTTCCAATGGTTAGCATATGATAAGGTCTTGGTGGTTGACCAGCCACTGGCGGACACCATACGCGGCAACTCGGCTCGTATAGCTGAAGGTCCGCGCTCCTACACGGCTATCAGCTGTCCGAGATTTTTCCGGGCACTTCCATTTTGGAGGGTAGTTTTGTACTTGGCAGGATTATTACCCTGCCTAATTGACCTTCGACAAATGGACGACGCATCGTTGGAACAGGTGACGATATTGGCGGAGTATTTCCGTTCACAAGGCCTGTTCCTTACCTGTGCGCAGACTGCCTTATCCAGAACGGCCCCCTTTAGCATCATGGAATTATGGATAACGCGGGCCTACCTTAACTTACCAATACAACTCACAGCGTCTGTCAAATTTTTTGACTTTCTGGAAATGGAGTATGGGCTGCCGTCGTGTCGAATTGTGCACCATACGCCTATTTCATCCACGTTTAATGCCCCATTAGTGGCCCAGGTGGTATCTCAGACACGGAGCAGATACCAAAGGTGGTTACGACAACCGCTGTGTGTCTACTGCAAGACGCCAGTTGTTTTTGAACTCGAGTTGACTGTACGGATCGTCCCGTTGCCATGTTGCTTTGCAACAATCCATAGATCGTGCTCTCTCCGTTTTAGGTCGTTACCTAGATTCTCGCTAAACGTCCCCGAGGTCTTTTGTCCGGCGTGCGGTGCCCCTTACCTGAGAGGGCGACTTGCCCTTCAGGAGACCGAAACGGCGTCGCTTCCTCTGTGGGAAGGCTGTCTTCGACGCCATCAAATTTACCGGCGGTCTTCTAGTGCTCCGTTACCACTAGTTGCCGCACGGCCCCCATCACCAAACCGCATCGACTCGCCCAGCAGTGGGTCATCATCCTCTTTTGATCCCGACATGCCTCGGTTAGAAATAGCGTGGTCGGATGTCGAGTAAGGTTAATTTAACCGTTACTTCGATTTCACTACTTGTCCACTATCATTTCTCTTCTTCTGTCCGCCTCACCTTCATCTATTTTTAACTCCCTGTAATAAGTATACGACGAGAGTGTTTATAAGATCCTATAGCGACATTGATTTATTGTTTCCGAGTAAGATTGTTCGTCATTAATGAAACTTAGGTAAGGATGGTAACGGATAAGCATCCTAATGGCATATAGTCTCAGATTATCTTGCTAGTGCAAGCATAGCGTTATACGCCTACGTTTTCATAGTTCTCTAATCATTGCTTCATGTAAACGTAATTCTAGTTCTTTGAGTGTCCATTCTCTGTGTATCAATGTGTGCTCTCAGTCCCACCCTTGATAATTTTATATGTTGTTCCTTTTGCTCTTGATAACTACAAAGCATTTGTTGAATGTTGTTGATTAGAACATCATGATAGTTTATCCGACTGTAATGTTCAAGCAGTCCATGGGTTGTGCAATTTGATCGTGCTTATTAATGTCTTTTTCTGATGATATGTGACTACGCAATTGGACCTGTAACAATTAATCCAAAAATTCGATTCCTGACGTTAGCATCCTTATATGCAGATATGTATTGGCCGGAAGACTATTCTTGTGTCTATAGTCTTATTGTTACCGGCAGCTGTCTGAGCTGCAGGTGGCACATCGTTCTATGTATTGATATTTCTATAATTGGTATGGTATTCGTCACTTGTTGTTCGTGAATTACCAGTATTTTTAAGTGTTGTAGATGATGGCCGTACCCCATTCTAAAGGGCGGAGAGTCCAGCACTTCCCCCGCTGTCGTCTGGTCCACGCCAAATCCTTATTCTGGCTCCTTGCTACACACTTGCTGTCGAGGATGCACGCTGTCCTATCACCTCTGCCGCTAAAAACAGACCGCTAGCCACAGAGAGTTATCTATATCTGTCAGCACCCCGACGTCTACATCTACAGGTGCTCACGACGACCGCATATACACTGTAACTCTGTCGGCATACAACATCTTTAGAAAGCGACCAGTCAACACTCAAGCAGTGTCACGAACAGTCGACCTCTCGCTTAGCCACTCCAGCCGAGGACCTGACTGTGAGCATAGACCGCGTGTGTTCAAGGATTCAAGAACGTTGGACAGCGTTTCGCCAATTGACTTTTCGAAACAAGAAAGGAGCCAGTGAATTCGATTGGGACCAGCGACTAATGAACTTTAGTGAATGGTGGTGCCTTATTGTGGCCATGTGCAGTGACATTTGACTTTTATGCATCGCTATTAATTAATTCTACATGGTATTTGAATAATATTTCATGGTGTTTATGCTTTGTGGTTATACGAAATAACACCGGATCATTAACTTCTTCTTTGCCAGGTAAATACATTTTTAACTGTAAAAGTATTCGTTGTTTTCGAAATCTTTATAACATTTGAAAATTGATTACTATTTCATATATATAATGATCGATCCTGTTTTACTTCCATTATGTTTGTTGTGATTGTATTTTATATCTCAGACCGGAACTCATGCTTAGATCTTCCGAGCTGTGGGCAGCTCTTGTCCACAGGCGGAGGATGTTATAAGGTTAAAAATGCACCTCAGAAACGAATGATGATAAATAGAACCCAGTAGATATAGTTCGTGACAGAACTGGTAACTGGAAGGGAATCAATAGAGAAAGACATTTCACATTTATCATTGGATTGGTCTCTGGCTTTTATCCATGAGTTAATGAAACAAATGGGTAATTACAAGGTATAATCCATTTGGAGCTTCGGAGCGAGTCACGAAATCAATAGAGAGATGAGCAATCTAGCGCGTAGGGTTTTGGTATTTTTCCGATGGTGACACACATGAGTTCATGGTCAGATATAAACTTGTAACGAATCAAATGGAGGTATTGAGACATGTGACAAGGACAGGTCAGGCTCGAACACTATAAAATGATACCCTCAACATTAGGAGAGTGGTGCGCGGTTTACAGTCGATCGAGTCGAATCCCGATCGTTCTAAGTTTCCACCAGTTAGTGACGAGCCTGGCCAGTCTGATCCTGTCCTGTATTGTTAGATGGGCTGAGAGTAAGTAAAACTATGTGAGTATAAAACTGGTGTTGCGTTTCTTTATTATGCGTGTGTGAATGCTGCTAGAGACAACTTGGAGTAAGGGTCGTTAGACCAATCACTCCTTGACGGAACCGAGCCGTGGTGGACAAGGCGAGGGCAATGTCCTGGCTTAATTGACCACAAGGACCAGGAACGGCAATACACTTAGTAACTGTAGCAGGGTCGCACTGGACCCCCAAATCCAGTTACGACAATATGCGCGACTCATGTACACAACAAACGTGGTATTAAATATTACCGTATCGTTTTTAGCTTATCCAAATCAGTAAATAAGCTCTGGTGACACTTAATTGTCTGGTTAGTTTACGGGTCGCCAGGACATACATCCCCACCCTTGTTATCACTGATTTTCAGTAATCCATTCATATCATTTTCTCTGATATTTTTCATTTTACACTTAATAGAATATGTTACTGCAGATACTAGTAATCGAGACAGGTAATGCTCTGGCGTTGACGTTTAATATTATTGATCTCCATACAGACGTATGTAAGTGTTCAGAATGACAAGGGTTACGCTTGATCACTCGATGGAAATATATTGTATAAACGCATGATTATGTACTTAGTAATTACAAAACTTGAAGGTCAACTACATAAAGTACTTCGAAGTACTTTAAAGTCTTTGTATTCTTACTCTCTTGGACAAGTAACATATGTAGTCCTCAGTGTCTAGCCAGTAGCATCGTTTTGTGACGACACTGACTATAATTTAGTCACCAATTTTAAGTGGCTACCGGAATTATTCGAGTATATGGAGTTACCCAACACAATCTGAACACATGCTAACCATGTCTACTAATAAACGTTTTTGAAGAAATATATGTAACCTATTTCGTAATAAGTCACAAATCGGAATGGTTTATCTATGTTGCTTGGCATACATGTACTGCGTGTGCGTAAGAATTATCGCCTGAGCTTGTGGTACTTACTGTTAAGTTATCTTTGGAATATTGTAAACTTAATTCAATTTAGTTATTCACTATTCTTAATCTAGGAGCGCCACGAAGACAGTATTAGGTTGTATCATCATCAATTTATTATTTCTAAAGACAATAAATTTGCAAAATACGTATTCTTTTTCAGGTTTCAGCCAACTATTTTTGAAAACACGTATATCACAAGCACAAAACTGTAGCCTTGTTATTTGGCAATGAATCAACCCTAAGTCTTCATATTGTGATACATATGTGGCACGATGAATGGCCCTATTGTGCGTGTGACTGTTGTGTTTGAGTGTGTCATTCGTCTGACTTGGGACAAATCTATCCAAATGTTATATCCAACCTACAGATTATAACCTCCCAACAGAAGAAATCAATGTTTCCAACGATACACTGTAGTATCAGTAACGGGAACTGCAACCATACTGACTGGTAAAGAGGCATTTTAACGTTATATAAATGTAACGTTATATCAATATCACAGTGTGAGTTGTGGTTGGTTGGGTGACACGCACGTGTGATTTCTTCTGTTAAGACGACTGCCTAAATGATCTAGTAGTGAGAGCGTCTGCCAAGAAACTGGAAGGTCTGTGGTTGGATTCCTGCTCGCGTCATACCAAAACAAAACGTTAAAAAATGGTATTTGTTGTAACCCGTTTTGGCACTCGGCATTAAAAAGAACAAAAATGGTCGGATCAGAGTCAGAATTCTGTTTCTGAGTTTGGAATCCATGTTAAAACAAGGTAGTGTATCTCAGTGGGGTGATGTATCATAATATTGCAGTCCTGGCATCTGGTTGTGTGATGACAATACTTGACTCTATACGAATGTATCTTTGTTTACTTAAACTGACTGATCAGATTTCGTCATTTTGGTTCAACAATGAATGATGCTTCTCACCCAATAGTACAAATAGGTTAAAGTCTAAGAAATCTGACACTGAAAACACTGTTTCCATTATGTTAATATGATCATCAAAGCGTTCTCTTTATATATTGTGAAAATAAGTTTATTTGTTATAAGAAATATCAAGTGACAAAGGCGATACACCAATAGACATAAGCATAACCAACACAATGTGACTGAGCTCCTCTAACTTACTGGCCATGGTCAACGTTTGGTTTCTGTAAGTGATTGTCTGTGCTTGTATCATCTCACCTTATGTAGCAAACATAAAACAATATGCTAAATACTTGGTGTTTTGACTCAAAGGAAAGGAATATAATATGCTGCACGTGTTCCGTTGCCTGTTACTGGAACCGATATCATGATGTCTACCGTCTTCATTATTTATTGCCATGGCCAGGACCTGAAAAGTAAAGAACTAGAGTTAATTAATCGTAGAATATGACAGATTTTATATCAACTCACAATAGCATGAATGAATACGTATCACATTAGAACAGAAAGCTAAGACCCTGCTTAATGATGTCTTACATGTTGAGTAAGTAATAAAGACATTTTGTTCCACAGATGAATGCGATGCCCTGAAAGTGTTCCTTGTTACTGAACGATGTCATGATATATACATGTACCCACTTCTTTGCTCATGTTCATGGCCAGGACATTAATAGTACAGAACTAGAGGTAATTAAACCTAGTACATGACAGATTCATTTCAACGCAATATATCACGAGACGAATAGATGAACACTTGTAGCACATTAGAACAGAACAGAGAGCATGTACTTCTGTTTAATGCTGTTATATCGTACACGCTGAGGTTGATCCATGGCAATGACATATGATTTCAATCGGCAAGAGTGTTACATGTTTTGGTTACCTTGAGAATGTGCTCCAGTGTTCTGGTATGGTGATTCTCTGATGGACTCATAGGTCACAGGGGGAGTCTCGGCCATGCCTTCATAGGTACTTGTATCTGCTGTAGCATCCGCTGAAAATAAGTGTTTACATATCTCATCAGCCATCCAAATCATAACTCCCTTCTAACCAGCAATTCAACATTATGTGAACTTCAATATTAGAAATAAAACAGTATTAAGCAGAATGCCAAAATCTGCATCTACCTTTTGTATTCTCATAAATCTTCAACTGTGAGTACTGTTGTTTTTCTGATCCCTCCTCCACATGTGAATGCTGTACTGGACTATTGATCAGATCTGAAACAAATATATGTGAAAACATTGTAAGGATTTCACTGTCAAACAGATGCAGGCACAAGTGTATGATCAATATACCGGGTTGTACCCAACTACCAGTACATACCTAATGATGAATATCCTCTGTTGTCCAGTTCTACGGTGTCAGGATTCGTGGTGCTATAAAATTAACAAGGACGGTTTCTAAAAATACATAATGGAATTGAACCATAAAACTGAGTATAAAAATATGTGTTTTTCGTCATTCTAATATTTATCTTTACCATATTTCATACATATGAATTACACTGTTATGTTTACTGTTGATATTTTGAGTACCTTTTTCGTGATGCCTTTCCTGGAAATAAGAATAACACATATAGTATATAGTGTCTAATACACATGACACATCACAATAGTAAATGAAAATTTGCTGACAAAATGATAAAGTAAACTGCAAATGACTGCAAATATATATATATATATATATATATATATATATATATATATATATATATATATATATATATATATATATATATATATATTATAATGGCAACTTTAAAAACACAAAAACATTCGCTTGTGCAGCTGCATCCTTTTCTGTCAATATGTATTGTTATTTGCATTAGAAATAAGACATCCTGACAATGTTTTCTTTCAAACACATTTCTCTACATCATAAACCATCATTTTGGAATTATATCAATTGACTCTAATTTAACTATATGTACCTTTTTGAATATTTCTGATCCTGTAACCCTTTCTGTATAGTACCATCAGAACAATTCCCCCAATGAGCAAAGTAAGAAGCATGCCTCCTACTGTGGCTCCTGCTATTACCCCTGCACCGGTACTTTCGGGGTTTTGCTGGTCTGGTGGATCTACAATATAAACAAAAACTTACAACATACAGGTACTAATCACTGTATTCAGGAGAAAGCATATTCGTGTCACTTTCTTCGAACACAATATTTGGTGATGGATAGACTTGTGTCTCAGCGACAGTTATTCTCACAAAGTGCATAGTTCACCACTTAAACGTTTAAAGGCAATAGACCTATATATATATATATATATATATATATATATATATATATATATATATATATATATATATATATATATATATATATACTTGTCAACCATACTCTCTACTTGCTTGATAACGGTGTTAGAACCTACACCAAAACGTCGCTCCTAATTATAATAAAGAAGTTGTTCATCCATATTCTTATCCTTACTTAGACTGTCGTTCAAACGTATATTGCTTAAAACACTGCATATCCCAACCACATGTTTATTAATGCCTAGAATCTTTGAACACCTTTTTTTATATAAATAAAAGCGACAAAACTTCTTACATTTTCCCGACTATTTCTTAAGCATATGTTTATGCATCACTATCAAAAGGTGATGGCGCCAGGTGTTCGCAACAAGGTGAGCCTATCCTGTCCCACTGGTTGCACCCATCACAAAGAACATTATTCATTCCAATATTCATTAATGCTGCACAGGGATAATTACCACGTGAAAAGTAATGCTGTTCAAATATTTGCACACTGGAGAAAGGATAACATCCATTTTAAATGATAATATTTCTTAACATGTGATCAATTACATTAGAGATACATTGCACTGCATTGTCCACACAAGTATGTATAAATTGTAAATCACTGCATCAGAAATAAGATGGATTATCTTGGTCTGGATGTGTAATCAAAACTTAAAATGCCAAAAACATACACATGTCCACATGAGAAATCCATTTGATGCTGGAGCTGATAAGATTTCAATTATACAGCGTATTTAACTGATACTTAGACAATGTGTGACTCTACTTGATTGATACATACCACTCTCAGTCGTAGTATCAACAAATACATATTTATTAGAATCCTCATGATAATTTCAGGCATGTAGTCGGGATATGTATATTTGCCCTGTGTATGCCAAGTCACCTCCACCACCATCACATCATCAGTGTCATCATTAGGATTATACACAGTCCACTTACTTGTTGTAAACTGACGATACTCAAGCAGAGATGTCTGGGGGTGTCCACCTTTGAACTCAGACAGCCACGATAACCACTCCGACGACGTTGTTGCATTATCTATATATCTAAACTGGGTAGGTATATGTGGTTGCCCTTACAACAAAAGACTCACCTGCAAACATTATGCTGACTGTGTATGCCACTGACCCGCCTACACCATTGTCCACTGTAAGGCTGTAGTCCCCGAAGTCCTGCTGTTGGAGGTTGGTAAGGTGTAGTCTGGCAGTGACTGAGATGTCTGAGACAGGGCTGGAGGAACCAGTGAGGTCATGGCTGCTGTTGGTGGTTCTACTCCAGGTTAATGTAGGAAGGGGGTAGGCCAGGACTGACACAATCGCCATCACATTACCACCCAGTCTAGAGACGTACTTCAGTTGCTGTGACTGATCCAGTCGAGGAGAACCTGGATTAATTTAGAAATCAACATACGTAATGCCTCTGGAAGAAACCTGGGAAAAGTAAGACGGAGACCAAATTGACAGTTGGTTATGTGACTGATTTAATTGCTCGAGTGCCAGTTTCAGCAATATAGCCTGAAACAATTACAATAGTATGAATACACAATGTCATTTAGAAAGTGGTCAAATGTAGCAAATGTTATATTTGAGATAAAATTTCTTTAGTAAAGTACAGATTATCGTACTTTTCTTGGGTTGACAGTCATCAACCCAAGAAAAGTACGAGAATATGTACTTTACCAAGGAAGTGTTATCCCAAATATTATATTTGTTAAATTACAATAGCATTGATTAATCAAGAATCGTTCCGTTTTTCAGTTTGTCTTTGCACTTTTGCAAGATGGCTGACGTTACTTTTTAATAGCAGGACGCACGTTTACTTCACTAACGTAGAAAAAGTTAAAACAAAAAGCGTAAATAGCGATTATCATAAAACTAAGATGCATTTAGAATATCCAAAGATTACATTTGACCAGCAACTCCAGCCTCTGGCTGACAGGTGCCCTGATGTTGTTAGTGGCAGTGCAGGAGTAGTTCCCTCTTTGTCCACAGTCTGCTGACTCCAGTCGATATTCCGCTGTCAGGGAGTTATCTGCCCTTGTCAACTCCTCAGTCCCATTCAGTAACCTGATGACTGACCCTGGATTGCTATCAATCTGGCATCTCAAGGTCACTGGATCAGATTCGTTAACTGTCACTGAGCCATAGTTAGAGTTGGCAGTAAACTTCCTTATACTCGCTTGGTCTGCAAAAAATGCACAAGTGTGACTTTGACATTGGCTGTAGATTGGATAGGGACTAGGTAGAACAGGAACAAAACATATGTACCGCCTACCATTCAATGCCTCATCAAAGACATCATTTTACTAATCTGCTTTACAATTGAGAAAGACATCCTTGCTTTAATGTTGCCATTGTAACATTAAGATGTGTACTGAAACTGCGATTAGTGATGCACTTTTAGAGTCAGTTGATTGAATCAGTACACGAAGGCTGTTTCGCTAATACTATAAGTGACATGTGTTTTATGTCTTGTACAGAATGTTATTTGCTTACATCCTGGGTAACTGCTGTGTGGTGTAAGGCTTCAAACAAATTTTAATGTGCAAATTGTGTGAGTGTATTATACACAGGAAATTATTGACCGTGTAATGTTAGGGTTTTTTTCTGGTCACTTGCCGAAAGTTGTTTAGGGGGAAGTTTTGTAGAACTTAATGCATAAAAAACACTCAGTCATTGAATTTTGACTTTCTTGTATACTTTGCCGTAGGCATGTGAACACCTGAAATGGTATGTGAACAAATCTCTTTTTTAGGCACTCTTGTGAGACCCATAATCACAGTGTGTTTTTTCTTTCTGAATGGTGTTTGCGTGTTTGCGTGCGTGCGTGCGTGCGTGCGTGCGTGCGTGCCTGCCTGCGTGCGTGCGTGCGTGCGTGCGTGCGTGCGTGCGTGCGTGTGTGTCTGTGTTGGCCAGTACGCGATCACTCAATGGGTTTGAGCTTTCAGTACCATGAACAATATTATCTTTCGAATAGCATGTTGTTTTCATCTGACCTACCCCACAAATCAGTTACAATATTTGATGATACATTGATTGAACATGAATCAGTCCAAAGGTGACGCTTTTAATTGTTTCAGACACAGTTACTCGGCTGTTTTAAAGTAATCATAAAACATGTAGTGACTAGGTCTAGGAGGCAGATTCAAAGATCAATGTAGAAGGTCATTAACATCCCCGAACTAAGGTTACAACGTTAGAGGTGTGTTTACTTATCTATAGTTCGCTGTGATATGTCCAAGCGAATAAATACTTTGTCACTAATATGCAGTCAAAACAATAAATGTATGCAAACACCTGGCTTCTGTATAAATGTGTCAGGTAACCATGACTGCGATTTTTTTCGGTTTCTGAGGAGTCGGTTTCGACGTCGGTGTTTACATCATTTGGAATATACAATCGTGTGAAAACGTATGGACATCTTGTGTGTTGCCAATTGAAACTTCATCAATCCACTCTAGATAAAAATATTGAAGCCTTTTTAAATGAAACCAAAATTGGAGGTTTAACCTTCTGACCTGCATATGCATCAATATAAAAGCAACAAACCAATTTCCATATTCATGGCAAAAGCATAATTCTCTGTATAATCATACCATATCATTCATACAAAAAACATCCCTATTTTCCCGTTTGCGCACAGCGGAATCTGTTTCGGAAGATAATCGAGAATGATCATTCTCTGGCGTTGACATATTTTATTTAAAATCATTATTAAAAGCAATTCAACATCAACTTTTATTATGAAAGCTTTACCTCACATAGACATTGCATTGAAGTTGAGTGCAGTAAATGTATTATTTGAGTTTTGTCAAAAAAAAAAAAAAAGCTGTGCTTGTGGTAGCAAGACCAAGACAACTGTTGTTATTCTAGAGCGCTCATACTGTGTTGTCATAGGAGCGCAACTTGAAAGTGCTTGACAGTTTGTCAGATATAGATTTATGTCGCATATAGCGTGACTCTATACACGGCTGGGAGCTCGTGGCGCACGTGATGAGGCTTGTAAGTATTATGGATTGTGAGGGAGTGAACTGAGTTTTGATCTGCTTTAAACAATGATTCAGCTGTATCATGCTGTGTGAGCAGCATGTGACATACACACTGGTTTAGAAAAACAAACCTGACAGAAGCCTAAACCTATGTTTTACAGTTCAGTCGAATTCCAACACATTAAACGAATTGATAATTAAAAGTCAATGGGCCGATTCAGCTAATAGTGCCATAGCGATTCCACCTCATGGTAAATATAATATATCTGCATAGTAAATATGATTTAAATATATGTGTTGTACATACTACTTGTCAACTAGCAAACAATGGAACTGTTCAGACCCGTTGCCTACACTATACCCAGCACTTGTTATTTAGCACGGCAAACTGCCGGGCATGATAGATAATGCTTTTGGTAGCCATGATAACCTAGATACTGTAATTTGCATATTGTATCATCACTGCTTAAATTCTGTTTCCTCAGCTTCTGATTTAAACAGAGATACTGTCAAACCAGGCCATATACGGGTCATAATCCATTGAAACGAAAAAGGAAATAACACGCAAATCCGCGACTCACATTGAACGTCCACATTGACCTGGAATGCTGCTGTTCCCTGTTGTTGAGATCCCCCACTTGGTGTCAGCGTGTTGCTGGCAGTGCAGGTGTAGTTTCCGCCCTGATTTCTACTGATGCTGCTTCTGTCAAGTACAGCCCCAGTACTGACAGTAGAACCACCAAAGGTCCAGGTGTAGCCTGTTGTTGGAGGGTTGCCTGGTGTGGTGTAGGTACTACAGTCTATCCTTAGATTAGAGAACTCTGTGACATTCTGCGCTGTTGGTAGTCCAGACATAGAAGGAGCATCTGAAAAATGGAAATTACAAATCCATAAGCGAAATTGAATTGACTGCTGTTAAACAATACACATGTACATTTACTGGTTATTATCCAGAAAAACATGCATGACTATGTAATCTGTTATGGCATGATTTGTTCAGTATACAATTTATATAATTATACCAATAATAAGGGTATTTATACAATGTATGCAATAAGAACAACACACATTTGTACTTTTGGGAGAAGGTGGTGCAATTACTCACACTGTACATCCACATTGACTGAGGCCGAGACTGACCCCTGAGTGTTGCTAGCAGTACAGTTGTAGCTTCCTCCTTGACTCCTGCTGATTCTGCTTCTATCAAGTACAGCCCCAGTACTGACAGTAGAACCACCATAGGTCCAGGTGTAGCTTGTTGTTGGAGGGTTGCCTGGTGTGGTGTAGGTACTACAGTCTATCCTGAGATTAGAGAACTCTTTCACAGTCTGAACTGGTGGTAGTCCAGATATAGAAGGAAGGTCTGAAAAAAGATGAAGGTGTGATAGGTACTACAGTCTATCCTGAGATTAGAGAACTCTGTGACAGTCTAAAATGGTGGTAGTCCAGATAAAGAGGGAAGGTCTGAAAAAGATGAAGGTGTGATAGGTACTGCAGTCTATCCTGCGAATAGAGAACGGCAGGCCAGATATTGATGGGGATTGCTCGTTCAGTTCCCACAACAATTTAACAGTTCTCGCACTTAATGTTATACAATAATAACTGACATGATAGTTAAAGACATAACCTTGTGTTTTGCGATAAATGTCTGCAGGAAATATGCCCAATAATGTTTCTGAAACATTAGCAATGACAATGATCACATTTGGTATGAAATAAATTCCCCATATACATTTTAGAATAATTCAACGAATCAATAAGATACATGTGAGAAATAGCTAAAGAATGAGGTTTTAATAAAACCATATAAACTATTTAGACCGATATTTACATACTCATATATGTAATTGGACGGAATCAACATGTGTATTATCTGATATGTTCTTTATATGTGTTATATAATCTATCACGCTATGCTCATCACTCGTTTTAATGATGTACATAGCGTATTTTGTATTAAATCATCCCCGGTATATTGTTTTAAATGATGCATTAAACACGACCCCCACAGTGTGAATTTAATCATTATATTTTAATATCAGAGAAAATTGTAAGATAAACTACACTAGAAATAAACGGTTAAAGCAAAAACAGATGGAGGTACAGAGTTTTGATATAGTGAAAAATAAAGGAATAAGAGGAGCACACGAAAATAATTATACTTGGGAACATACAAAATAACAACACACATAACATGAAGTACACATAAAACACTACATAAGTGAACTATATTTCCTGTATAAATGAATAAGTGAGTTCGGTGTAGTGCCACTTTGATCAGTGCTTCATTTCTTTCTCGGTGAAACTTACAATTGAACGCCGCCTCCGATTCGATACCTAGATCAGCAGGTCGCAATCGCCAAATTAATTATTTTAATAGTGTAGTTAGGGAATTAACACATGTATTTACCTGTTTATCGGTTAAACTACACAGCTTCCAAAAAGTATCTTTACAAAATATTCATGTATTCATCATTCAAGCAAATTTGCTACAAAACAAACAAAGTGAACATTTGACATTTGGAAGGCAGGATTTCTTGAAACTGTTGACATTTACATTTGTCTAATTGGAAAAGTAGACGCCAATATTTGTCCATTCATTTAGACATTTCATTAGACAACAGAAGCGACTAACAGGATCGGGTGATCAGGCTCGCTGACTTGACATCGTATCCTAACTGCGTAGATCGATGTTCATGATGTCAGGCACTGGATTTACAGACCACTGTCATGCAGCTGAAGTATTGCTGAATGCGGCGTTTAACACACACACACACACGCACACACACACACACACACACACACACACACACACACACGCACACACACACACACACACACACACACACACACACACACACACACACACACACACACAAACGCACGCACGCACGCACGCACGCACGCACGCGCGCACCCATACACGGACACGTACATGCATAATAACATACATGCATACACCACAACAAAGACAATGATATCCAGGTGTCTGGTATCTCACAGTCCATGCACTATACAAATGTTAATCCTGACTTAGTTGGAGGTGACCCTTGACCCTTCTATCCATAATAATGTCCATCACATACTTACCCAACACAGAGGCAGTGACATCCACTCGTCCAGTATCTGACAGTCCACTCACTTGACAACTGTATGTCCCGGCATAGCTGGTTGTCACGTGACTGGCAGGCAGCTGGATGTCTAGGGAGGAGGTGTAGTTACCAACAAACACGCCCTTGTTCTGCCAAGAGTCCAGGAATATGGCTGTCTGGGGAGTCACTGAACCTGAGACTATGCTCACTGCAGAGTTGCCCTCCACCCTCCTCCATGTGAATGAAGTAACAACATCCCCTGGCACAGTGTAGTTGCATCTCAGTGTCAGAGCCTGCTGGTTGGGTATCCCTGTACCTCCTGATCCGGATACTGTCACTTCCCCTTCAACATCTGGAACGAAACACGCAAACACGGAACATTCTCACATATGACTTTTGCCGACGTTACTCCAGTAAGGATGCAAGTTGGGTTTAATCAGTATTCCAGGAATTTCAAGGCTTCTGAGACATATGGGTGACACGTCTCTGGCGAGCACAGGTGTGGTACTGACAAACCAAGAATCATAGTGAGAGTAAGAGCTAAAAACGTTTTAAATCATGTCCTTACAACAGCTGAAAGAACATTTCCACGACTCATATATATTCTGTGATAAATGGAATTAGAATATCACAGCTGCAATCTTTCCTTGATAATAGTATGTTACACCATACTATGTGTACGTGACATCAGATGTAAGAAAAGAATTATATACAGAAAGAAATCCTTATGCTTTTAATCTTAAGCCTGACATACCTTTCATGAGGCAAACTGCAAGCAAAATCGTTGCTTTGCTAGGAAGGGACGCCATTGGCAGCAGTGTTCTGAAAAGGTAATACATTTTGTGCTAGAGAACAATACACATTCCTATCTGGAGACTTACATATTTGGTTATGATCAGATACATTCTAACCTGTGCCTTGCAAGAACTGAGACTATGCATGTGTATATTAATGAGTTATCTTCATAACTTCTTTCAGTGGCAGTTAAATGTATCTTCAGGGAGTGAAAGTGTGAAATTAGCGGGTCTGCACCCTTGATGATGGGTTCGAATCCAAAAATCATTCTTATCATGTTTTTGTTTTCTTAGAACCATACCTGTGCTCGTGTTGTTTAAATGGTACATTGTGATATCTATATCACGTCAGATTGGCTAGTTTGTTTTACCTGATGAAATATTTGAATATAGTTTTTCAATCTGGTGTCCTGTGTGTCAGATGAACGTTCCTTATGATATCCATGCATCTAAGTATTGCTGAACGGATCAAGTGTATGAGTAGCTGATCATGAAGTCATGTTGGCCTCAGACGGGTATCTACGAGAGGGATATCCATTTTATGTATTTGCCATTGTGGAAACCGTAGGTTTCTTTAAGACTTCATTTATCCAAAATACCTAAAGCAATACCTGATTGTGTCAATATTTTTTCCAAAGTGCACCAACATTCTATCTCGTTTGTCTATTTAATGTTTACAGGATACATTTTGCATATAGCCTCTGAACATAAGTCCCCTCCGGGCAGGACCCTTCATCTCCAGCGCTATTTATAACTGTCATTTAACACCTCCTTAGGTCTCCGGATCTTACATATCTAAATGTACATGGGTCACAAAGAGGCGGTTTGCACGGCTAGTCGCCGAATCACCACCAACAACGTCAACGATAATAAAAATCGCTGTTCGACTTGTAGTTAGGACAGAGCGTGTCTCCGCACCTAGAGCATTGTTCACTCGGGCCCCGTGTGATTTCTGTCACGTGATTACTTAACTTTGTACCATTTCGACCTATTTCAAACTACAACAAATTGACTACATTGACTGCCGATGTCTTAAACTTTACCCCTGAGTCTTGTGTTACATCGTCCTTACTCATCTACCAATGGAGTTATTGACTCAAGTGACAGATTAATATCAGTTATTTATAGTACCTCCTCATCTGTGCTGTGTGGCGTGCTGAATATCTATGTAAGCAGTTGCCAATTGGAAGCTAAGCAAATGTACATAAGTACATCAGTCTAGATTTTGTTAAACGTTGGTTAAACTATCAGAAATTATGTCTGTTTCGAGCATGACCAAATACATTGTCTCACCTTTGTGTCAGGGCTGCTTTGTGTCAGGGCTGTCCCTCGTCGAATAATTTAACATTGGTTGTCAGGTCAGACATCATCATGTGTAGTTTCCTTCCTGGTTCATAAATACACCCGAGTAAACATTGAGGCCACAATCGCGTTGCAGCTTGAGTGATAGTATCATTTGTCAACACAGTGACTGCAGATGAGGATCCAGTCTGTTATTGATGACGGGTTTGTTCCTGTTGTGTATGTATCAGTCAATCAATCAGTTTATTGTTTTTCAAGGCCATAGGACCCACATAACATACATATATATCATACAGTTATATTACATTGGACATCTATCTTGCTATTGGATAACATTAAATTTCCCTTCTAATTTTAAATACAATATACATATATATTGACAGATGAATATATTCTCAAGTATTTTAGAATTAATTAATAGCATCATACAGTGGGCTCGGTTGTTTGTTAAAACTTTTTAGGACATACAAAACAAACGTGCTTTTCATCTTCTAGACATTTACCTCTATTACCTTTACATACGTTTAGAACACCAAAGGTATCATATCCACTTCTAAATTTTAACCAGGCCTTCCTGTAATTCAGCACATTAATATTTTGGACGTATCATTCAAACTGAAGTTCTGATTTTAGGTTTGAATAAAATTTAATTGATCGTTATCTGAGAGGAGTTTTTTTAGCACAGTCAATGATACGTTGTTTCAGGACAAAGATAAATGCTTCTTCATCACCAACTGCTTTGATTTCTCATATGAGATGCCCAATCGAAGTATTGCCTGTCACAGGTATCATATAGCATCTGTAAACACCAGTCCGGATGTCTGTGTGTGGGCATAGATAAAACGTTGACCAGTAATTGACACATATGACATAACATTGTGTACAGAGCGGATATCTGCCACACTCTCCATATGCAACAGCATTTGGCAAAGAATAGCTTATATTTAACACATATTAAAAAAATTATCTATGAAATTTTTTTTATATATTTTCTCTTTTATTGTATCCCCTTAGCTCTCTATCATACATTAATATCGGTGTTATTTTTGTGTCAAATATTTGAAAGGCATTATTAACAGATATAATGTATTTGAGCACAAACGATTTGATATTATATGGTGCTTTACGTGCCTGTTCGGTAAAGGTATTACAAGCTGCGGTCCTAATTAGCTGAAGAGTTATCATGAGACCCAGCTATTTATAGGAACTAACAGTCTTAAGTGGTACATTATTATATGTCCATCTTTCGTATCTAGATAGTCTGCCACCATTTCTGAATACAATAATGTTAGTTTTGTGTGTGTATATTTCCATTCTCCATCTTCCACAGTATTCTTCCAAGAGATACAATCGTCTTTGTAACTTCTTAGTAGAATCTGCTACTAGCAATAAATCATAAATAAATAATAAAAGAATTATGTTATACCTTTTCTCTGATATGAACACACCTTCGTTGAACCTAGAACCAAAAAATTCCACTTATTCCTCAATAAAAACTGAAAAAAGTAAATGACGGAGAGTGTATCCTTGTCTTACACTGACTGAACACGTAAAAAACAATAGACATATACATACTCTGAATAACTCCAATGAATTTACTGTGAATATCATTGTTTAATAGTAAAAACATCAACTTATTTCTATTTACCACATCAAATGTTTTCCTAAAGTCTTCAAAAGCACAGTACAATTTATGTTATTTACAGATAATGTGTTTCTGTACTAACGACTGTAAAATGAATATGTTGTCTGTAGTGGAATGGTTTGTTGTTTTTCTTGGGGGGGGGGACACAACTTGGTATTCTCTAATGATATCTTTATTTTCAAGGAAAGTCTCAATCTCTTTTTTAAGAATATAGGCAACATTTTGATACATGGTGTTAAGTAATAAGATTCCTTTGTGGTAAGTAGGGTCTTCTGTGTTGCCTTTCTTATGTATGGGTGATATATTGGTTGTAGCCCTAGCACAAGGAAAGATAGATGTCATCAATATTGAGTGAGACATGGAATTACTATATCTTTGGCATTTTTAAAGAACTCTGACAGAATACAATCATCTCCTGGTGATTTAGGAACTTTAAGATTATCTATCGCATGTGATATTCACAAAATGTAATATCTGATGACAGATCATCAGGATGCAGACATTTTTCACAATCAGTAAACGTATGTATTGATAAGAAACTCTCCACCTCGGGGCTAGACTCTGCATCCATCTCCACATTCATCTGTTGGTTTAGTAGATTATTGAAGCATAGCTGCAAAAAAACCCCAAGAATATTGTTACATGTAAAAGGGAGATTTTGAATAAGTCTATACAAATTTCAAAACGCTCTTACAACCGTGTGCTTAAGATAAAGTGTTACTAACTTTCTATATAGAATTCATAACGTTTTTACGACAATTATTTTTTAACTTTATTCTGACCTTTGTTACATCAGAAAGCTTTTTCTATTTGGGCTAAGGCGGAAATAGGTGGGATAAATTCAGCGATGCAGAATGTGTTATGAAAAAAATAGTGTCGGACACTCTAAACACCGTGGAAATAACTTACACCATTCACATTTAATATATACTGCGAGACCTCCACTATAGCAGCCATATTTTTTAGTGTTTTCGACTGGAAACATGAATGTACGCGAAATATATGTGGAAACTCATTTACACTTTCAGCCCATGTTTCCAACAGGCAGAATATATGTATACTAGAAAGGTAACTTGCGAAGTCAAGTATGCTAAGCTTGTATAAAGTATGTTTACATTCCAGCTAAGGATGGAGCACCCATTTTTAGTCGGAGTTCATCACAAGTGTAGGTGTGCCTTGGGTCTCGGCCGAATCTCTATGCAAATACTGCATCTTTGTCATCTCTGGATACGAACTTTCCAATGATTGAGGAGAGGAATGTCGTAAATGGCTACCTGTGTGTTGTATCAAAATGTATATTTCAACTTGATGTTCAGTCGTATCCAGATGGTCACGTGATTAACTCTCGCTCTTGTCTAATGGATTGTCTAGTTCCAAAATCTTCACCGACTGTTTGTCAGGTTAATGACTCAATTCTGCATTTCTCGTTTCATGCTGGCTAAGTGCTTATCTAAGTTTAATGACAGAGCATAAACTTTTCAGACAATAGTTTAGATAAGTTTGTACCTTGGTAATATTCATGCTGGGTCCTACTATTTGTTCCGATATCACCAGTACTTTTGATGGTACTCTGTCAGGTCATGGATTACTGTCCATGTCACCGGCTAGGGCTACTGTGTTTGTGAAAAATGAAAGCAAATGCCATCTGAAATTCACTCAGAAAACAATGTGTGAAATGAAGCACTTCCTCATTGATAACACCTAAGTACCATTTGGTGGTAAGACATTTCGGCAAAAAGTAGTCATCCCCATTGGCAGCAATTGTTCTCCCCTTCTTGCGGATCAGTTTCTTTATGCACATGAATCAGAATTTCTGTTCGGACTGGCAAAGTCAAAACAAGGTAATTTGGCCAAGAAGTTTTACTTAAACTTCAGGTATATCGATGATCTGATATCGTTCAATAACAACCAAACAGCCAATTCCCTTCCACTGGTTTACCCACCTGATCTAGAAATAAAGGAGATCATTGAGACAGCCTCATCTGTTTCATATTTAGATGTATGCATAAAGATTCAAAGTGACAAAACACTCTCCACAACATTGTATGATGAGAGGGATGGCTTCAACTTTCCAACAGTCAACTTTCCCTTAATGTTGAACAATATTCGAGCCTTTTGTGTTTACATTTCACAACTTTTGAGATACAATCGAGCATGCTCTTTCTACCGCGAGTTGGAAAAGCGTCATACGACTCTTGTTCAGAAGTTGTTTGATCAAGGTAACAACATTTCCAAAAGTTTTATGGTAGGTATGTGGAGGACATTTCGAAATTTGACGCATCAATGACAAATATGATGTCTTGGTCAGTTCCCTATTTTGACTTGTACCATATGTTCCTATTTTATTTTCAGGTGAACAGTTGATTTGCTTTGCATGTGTTTGTGACTTGTGCGTCCGGTGGTTCAGGATACGCTCACCTTTTAGCGAGCACCTGGTATCATACTATTTGATAGTGATTCATAAACACATGCCCATGATAATGTTGGAAATGTGCAATCGACTGTGCTTGATACAGAGATTTGTATTGGATATGGAAAGGGTTTTGTTGCTTTAATTTATAAATGATTCTGTGTGCCAGAAACCTATGGTCGTTGGTCATGACACTAGGTAACACCCGCCACTTTCGCAATGTTCTTGAAAAAGTAAAGTGTTTGCTTGTTGCAATACAACTGCACGAGATGGCAATATTCAGCCACCATACTTTACACAGGAGGAGGCAGCCCAATGAATGCCATGCAAACTCTCAGATTTCACAACCCTGTGTTATTTTATCGTGCACCAACCTTCAGGCGTCTGATCCCTGTGCTGACTTGAATACTCCCCACATTGCCTTTTCTCTGCACATACAAAGACCAATACAAAACGCGATTAATCTGGTTCCGTGTTACCGACCTTAGCTTACAATATGCCCATACAGGTGACTCGTTCGTGTTCAGAGCAACTACATGAGCAACAATGGCTTCACTATCACAGTCAACATGGCATTCAAAAGACTGAATAGATAAGGGGCCAATTATTAGTTGCAATATTCTGTCTCCTCCGATAACCATTCGTTTAACATTATTCACAACATGTATACATTAACAAATGGCTTGAAACTAGTTCACTGTGACTGGAACTTTGTTATGCGAGGTGAGCAGTTCAATGATGGTACAACATGACACAATCATGAGATCCCTAAACGTGGTTGGTGGCCTGGACATTATTTTAAGCGTTTTCTTGCTGAACTGGGATTAAATATCATTCTTGGAAACCCTAATGCCCACAAGCATGGGATGATCACACCGACATTTTGAAACCTTGTGGGTTCAGTGGTTTATTTGTGGTTGTGAACGAATATTCAGCATAGTGTTTCTAGATTGATTCATATATCAAAGGGTGTCCACTGCAGTGTATAACAGCGCAACAGACTGACGACATATTTTAGATAAATCTAGCATCACAATGAAGCGGTGCAGCAGAAATTGATATATTCAACATGAAATAAGGTGTGTACAGGAAATTCAAAATGAATTAATTCCTTTCACTGCCACTGGCGTGAAGGGATACATCTACCTTTTGTCAAGCACCTGGAATTATCGCTATTTTGATGGGGATGTATTTTACATATGATTATAAGATACACGTATACGTACAAGGGTATTTTATGAAAGGTAAGTTATCACTACCAAAGTGAATGGCAAACATCAACTAAACACTATTTATTTAGTGTGAATCACAGTTTATTTCCTGTAAGTATTGGATCCAAAACAAACAGGGCAATGAAGGCATATACAACGTTAAGCCATGTCTATGTGTCCTAACAAGTAAGGCACAAAGAGAATGGATACAACATGCATACAATGTCAACAGGCAGCCGTACCACGTTAGACGTGCACACCAAAATACCGAACTAATATACAGACCAATACATTATTTGAACAATGAAAGCTAATGACAAACTTTGTCATTATATAGTTGCCTTTACTTCACATTACAATCTTTTAAGCACTAAATAGGAGCGCTATAAAAATTCAAGTATTTTGCTTTTGGAGATCATTCGTAGTCAATCTCCTCGCATGTGGTCATCTGCTGAACAGGTAAGGTATCAACCTTTTGTAAACAAAGTTATGAAAAGTGACACATAATATATATTACTATAAAGTTTGTGACAGTCACTTAAAGCCCATGCAAATGTTGGGGATATAAGAATATGTTGTGCTATTTAAGAAATAAATGACGGGAGGGAGTGCAGTACAGGGAGAATAAACCGTGATGGATGCAGTGTTTTATTTTATGATAAACAACGCCCACGAATTATTATCATTTATTTCTCATATTTGATATCAATATTATGTACAGCCTTTTGAAGAGTGATGATAAAATGTGCAAGTTTAAAGTATGTTTACCCGTATTTTAATAATGATGACTCCCTCCATAGAATACGACAGCGGCAATGTCGCTCATGTCCATGTTATGCACAAGTCGGTAATTCTCGTATATTCTAACAGTGAGTAAGTGAGTTTAGTTTAACGCCCCTTTTAACAGTATTCCAGTTATATCGCGGCGTGTCAGCTTAATGTGGGAGGAAAGCCCCAAGTGATGCAGGTATCAGACGTTTACCACTTCGGTGAAACCCACGAGCACTGGTATGGTGCTGACAAACCTAGAAACATAATCGGGGCGAACCGGGATTCGAACCCACAATCATAGGTTTCTGGCGTGCCCAATGGACGCAACTCTGCACAGCGAATCGCGGCGCCTTAGACGACTGGGCCACCCGTGCCCCCTTTATTCTAACAATTGTAACGTCGATTATCTTTACCTTTTCGCTTCGTTCTTCATTGTCGTTTGCGTTTATTTGAGTAGCTATCTTATACATGTTAATATAGTGCAAAGCAATAATATATTGAATGATAAAGGCAACTTCTATAAGATAACTGTCACATGTTGACGTAAAAAATATATACTATATGAAAGGTAAACATAATTTTCAGTTCTCTTCCAGTCTTGTCATCGCATCCAGTGTTTGTTTACTTGTTCCCATAGTCAGGATCTGAAAGTGCATCACATGGAATGAAGATCCGGAAACTAATTTCAAAGTTGTCAAAAGATGACAGGGTAAACGTGTTGTACACCTGGACACAGGAGAAAACGTAGGTTTCTTTTTGAAACTTAAATTACTTCTTGTGTACAATATATTATGCAAGCTTCCATTCTTTTCAGGGGTATAAATATTCTTAATAATGGTTACCTCGAGATTGAGCGCCGCTGTTCTGATAAGGAGATGTATTGATTGACTCGTACGATACTGGAGGAGCTTCTGTCATGTCTTCGTATGTACTTGTCTCTGATTTTGGCTCGACTGAAAATATGATTCGTAACACATTTACAAGGAACAAAATCAAATGTTGCACATCCTTGTTAACGTAACACAAAGTTGAATAGCACACCGATGATCTTTCAGTACCTTCCCTGAGTTTATCGATTGAGAACTGCTATAGTATATAGAATATCAAAGTATCCATCTACCGTTTGTATTTTCATAAATCTTCAACTGTGTGTAATGTTGTTTTTCCGACGCCTCTTTATCGCTTTGGTACTGAGCTGGACTGTTGACGTCATCTGTAACAAATCCATACGAACTTACAATAACGGAGTAAGGGCGAAGTAGAAACAGTCATATTTGTGAACCAAACAATCTATCTGACGAACATTGCTGACTTCAACCTACCCAAGGATGAATATCCTATGTTTTCCATTTCTTCTATTTCGGGATTCCTTGTGCTACAAAAGTAAAGTGAGGTCCGTTCATAGCAATTTATATTGGAAAGGAACATCTACGATATATGATTTGTTTTCTGATTTTAAAGGACATCTACCTTATTACAAAAGAAAATATTTCAAAACGTTGTATTCATACATTAAGTCTACCTTATTTGTGAAGCAGTTCCTGCAAAGAAGAGAATGCATTATAAAGTACCATGTAATACACACATTAAACATGTTGCAAAGGAAGAATATGAAAAGTGAATCGTTAATGACTTAATACAGGAAACATGCACAATAGTTTGTGTTATTATTAGTTCCATATACATTCCTAAACTGTGTGTGCTCATTGTGTGAGTCAGTGATGATTCGTGGGAAACTTTCACGCATATCATTCATGTATATCTACTGAAAGCACACGGAAATGAAATATCGTCACATCACCTCTTTACTCTACTTGCAATACTGTTGTAGGGTAAACATGAGATTTAACAACATACCTTTCAAGATGTTTCCAAACCTGAACCCCTTTCTATAGAGGACAGTCAGAACTAGTCCTTCAATCAGCAAGGTAAGAAGGAGGGTTCCTATTGTGCTTCCTGCTATTACACCTGTGATGTTATATTTGGCATTGAGTGGTTGCTGGTTGTTTGGACCTGCAGTATAAAATGAGTATTACATAAAATTAAGTATTGACTTCCTTTTTACTGAACATATACCTTTATATGTACTTTTGGCGAACTCGAAAAAGGTGTCATTTACTTCAAACAGGCTTTATACTCCAAACTTACTGAATGAGGGTGAATTGGCATTTTTACCTATCAATCCCTCCAGAAACAGTTAAAGATACTCACAGCTGACATTGAAGGTCCTGACATCAGAGAGGTTGTATCCTCCATACTGCCACGCCCCCATACACTGACACTGCTGACCGTTCTGACTCCTGCTGACAGTGAAGAAGAGAGTAGATGTCCTGGTTTGACCACTGTCACTGACCAATGCTGATCCAGTGCCGGGACAGGACCACGTGATAGTAGCTAGAGGATTTCCTCCTGTCACCGAGCAGCTGATTGTCTCTTGGTCTCCTTCAAACATCAGAGTCTGAAATTCTGTGATAGTAGGAGGTACTGGCGGTGGGTCTGAAGAAGGAACAGCCATAATAGTAACTATATATAGAAATGCATAAAGCAGTGGAGAACATGAAAATATCTGGACCATTTTACAAACTGGCTTAGTTGGTGTTAAAATAAGTCCTTTCATCAAACAGTTTTCACTATACATGAAAGAGTGGGTGATGGTATTATTTTATATATCACTCTGCTCCTATGTCTACAATGATCTACAACCTTCACATGTACTTCAATTGTAAATCTGAACTGCTATGAATAACTTGGGAACACTTATATAATTATGAACACGCACACTTAACATCCAGTGATGCAGAACCAGTCTGTGTTGCTGATGTTCTGGTGTTTCTGACCTTACACCTCACTGCGGTCTTGTCTTTATTTGGGCTGAAGGTGAGAGTCTGTGACCACCAGGTAGAAGATCCTGTCACAGGCCCTGTGCTGCCACCTACAGATGTTCCATCAATGTAGTCCCAGGTGAAGGTCAGGTTGGGATAAGCGGTGACAGTACAGGTCAAGGTCAGGTTCCTGTTCTCTAAAGCTACAGTGTTGTCTGGTTTTGTCACATCCACCTGCTCTGGTCCGACTGTAATACAGTACAGTTACCTGTGACAGCAGTGCTAGCTTAACCTCTTACTGCATTTGTAGTACTGCTTTGACAACATGTCATATCCGATATAGTAAGATTTGAACCTACATGAACATCTACATCTATTGCTATTCATCATAATGCAGTCTCATGAAGGAGTTGATAACCTCAATATAATATTGATTTGCTGTCGAACTGACGAAAATACTCACTTTTCACCTATGATATTTTGTCTTGAGTGCCATATTACTGGATTGACTAAATGACTCCCTGACTGCAAACAACTGTATCCCTTCTGTGCGACAATTAGGCAATGACATGTACAGAACAGTAGTTATTGACTGGCTGACTGACTGACATCAGATGAATGATATATGAATATCTAACATCAGAGAGTTACTCACACCACACTCCCACCCGGGCATTGTCAGACTGTACTGGGGAGGGGGTGTGGATGTTGGTGGCTCTACAGTAGACTGTGGCCCAGGTCACTCCTGACAGGGATGATGGTCACAGTACTTGTTGTCTGGACAACACCTGATTGGGATGTGTGACCACTGGATATCCCACTTGCCAACGGAACACTGTTCCTGTACCACGTGACAGTAGCAGCAGGGTAACTGGAAGAGGTCACACAGGTCAAGGTCAAGGGTTGACCCTCAGCAGCTCCCACTTCCTTGTTGGCGGATGTGATGGTTGTGAGAGACACACTGCTGACAGCAACTGCATATAAATTGAATTAATCATAACTAATGCATATATCTGTCAAGACAATACCAATATATCGAACGCAAAAAAGTAACACTTTAGTATTTATGACGTGGAGGGAGCATAATTATTTTATTACTTACTATCAGGATAGGAATATGTTGAGTTGACGGTAGCCTGTGTGTTGGATGCCTGGCAGTAGTACAGAGAGTTCCTACTGTTGCCTGTCAGCTGGTAGTTGATGGTGGCTGTCCAGCCAGTGTTTCCCTCCACTGCTGCTGGGCTGGTGGCCACACTGGTCGCGTCTCTGTACAGCGTCATGGACGGTGGTGGGTTGGAGACAGCAACACAGGAGATAGACGTTGTAGTTCTTGTGATGGTTACATTGCTCAGAGGAACTGAAATAATAACATAGCTTTATAAAGTGTGAGTATCTATTTTTGACTAAAGGGGTTGGAGTCTAATGCTGAAACACTGATTTCGGGAACTGAAATACCAACACAGTTTTATGAAGTATGGTGACGGGATGGGGAAACAGGTGATATATGAAGTAGTTCTAGCAATGGCAACAATGTTCCGGGACCTGCAAAAATAACATAGCTTTATCTATGATGTGTCCATGTAGGATGGTGGTGGGTGGTGGAAACAAACACCAGTTAAACCCAACACTCACCTGACATACTTACCTAGTACATTCATCTGTATCTGGTTACTCCCTGCATACTGAAAGTCATACTGTAGTTTAAGCAAACATCCACAGAACATACTTACCTGATACATCCATCTGTATCGGGTTACTCTATACTTACGAAAGTCATACTGTAGTTTAAGCAAACATACACGGAACATACTTACCTGATAAATCCATTTGTATCGGGTTACTCTATACATACAAAAGTCATACTGTAGTTTAAGCAAACATACACGGAAGATACTTACCTGATACATCCATCTGTATCCGGTTACTCTCTCTACCTCCAAACTGAAAGTCACACCTCCAGCTGAGCCTGTCTCTGCTGTACATGGCGTTGTTGATGGTGAGGGTGTAGTTGGTGGAGCTTGGACAGGAGGTGGTGTAGTTAGCTGGGAGATAAGTGGAGCTGCAGCTATCCTGGCGTACTATGTAGAATGTAATTCCATTCAGCCACTGTATAGCTGTATTTGAAGGTTCTCCCGTGTAACACATCAGAGTACAGCTTCCCCCTGCCTGCACAGAACCTCCACATATTGACGTCAGCTGATAGTCCTGGGCAGTAACTGAAACAGTAGTTAATATGTTGTGAGGCATTGCATCGAGTTCGCAGATAAATATTTGCACTCCGGTTTTTCACTTATCTGACTGATTCAACTGCTTTTATCTCTTACTACACGTCTGATGTCTCATTCATACAGTATTCGGGGCAACGTGTGGCACAGCTGTTTACGACACCCCAATTCGCTTTGCAGAGTTGCGTCCCTTTGCCGTGTCAGAAACATGATCGTGGGCTCGAATACCAATTCACCGTCATTATGTTTCATGGTTTGTCAGCACCGAACATGCGCTCGTGGGTTTCACCAAAGTGAATGCGTAAGACATACATTCTGGCTTTCCTTCTTCATCAAGCTGACACACAGCTGTAAGTGAAATACTGTTCAAACCAGTGTTAAGCGAAACCCACTAGCTCATTCTCTATAATTATAAACAATTCTCGTTATCCTGTCTCATGTGCTGATATATAAAGCACGCAGTTAGGACCTGACAAAACTAACTATTTCCACATACCGAGATTGTCATTGTTTTATTCATCTGTATGCTCAATGTTCATAACTGGTAAACCACATGTATATACCATACTCTTTATTATCAACATGCGGAGGTAGATGTACATAACTACAGGCGTGTCCTACTCACTGACATATACGTGCAATCTACTTCCTGGTTCTATTTTCAGCGACTGTATGTGTGGGAACTGAGTGTGAGATTCATTTCGTTACCCCTGATGCAATAACATTAACACATATAAAGCACAAACAGTCAGATAGTGTACTTATTTCTGGCATCTGTGTTTTATTTTAAACACACTGGATGAGATAGATTCAGTGCGACATACACAATTAATCATTTTGAAAAGTATTGTGAACTTCCAAAACTTTTCCGAGAAATCTTTTAGCTTTCGACTTCGTGAAACTTCTTGTCTGCTACAATACGGGCCTTGAGTCAACAACAGGTACACTTGGAGTTGATGTGTACTCACCAGGGAACTGAATTGTATTTGAAGTGACAGACTTTGTGTACGTTGGCGGGTCAAAGGAGTCGTGTTCCACACTGACATGGAGAGACACCTGCCTGTCGTAAAGACTGGCTGTGTTTCCTGGCAGAGACAGAGAGTTGGTTGTCTGGACCTGGCCTGATGGACATGACCCCTGGGAGGAAGATGTACTGCTGGGAGGGACACCACTCACACCCTGTAAATACAAAACAGTAGTTAGAGAGACTGGCTGTGTTTCCTGGTAGAGACAGAGTGTTGGTTGTCTGGACCTGGCCTGATGGACATGACCCCTGGGAGGAAGATGTACTGCTGGGAGGGACACCACTCACACCCTGTAAATACAAAACAGTAGTTAGAGAGACTGGCTGTGTTTCCTGGTAGAGACAGAGTGTTGGTTGTCTGGACCTGGCCTGATGGACATGACCCCTGGGAGGAAGATGTACTGCTGGGAGGGACACCACTCACACCCTGTAAATACAAAACAGTAGTTAGAGAGACTGGCTGTGTTTCCTTGTAGAGACAGAGTGTTGGTTGTCTGGACCTGGCCTGATGGACATGACCCCTGGGAGGAAGATGTACTGCTGGGAGGGACACCACTCACACCCTGTAAATACAAAACAGTAGTTAGAGAGACTGGCTGTGTTTCCTTGTAGAGACAGAGTGTTGGTTGTCTGGACCTGGCCTGATGGACATGATCCCTGGGAGGAAGATGTACTGCTGGGAGGGACACCACTCACACCCTGTAAACACAAAACAGTAGTTAGAGAGACTGGTTGTGTTTCCTGGTAGAGACAGAGTGTTGGTTGTCTGGACCTGGCCTGATGGACATGACCCCTGGGAGGAAGATGTACTGCTGGGAGGGACACCACTCACACCCTGTAAATACAAAACAGTAGTTAGAGAGACTGGCTGTGTTTCCTGGTAGAGACAGAGTGTTGGTTGTCTGGACCTGGCCTGGGAGTAAGATGTACTGCTGGGAGGGACGCCACTCACACCCTGTAAACCAAAACAGTAGTTAGAGAGACTGGCTGTGTTTCCTTGTAGAGACAGAGTGTTGGTTGTCTGGACCTGGCCTGGGAGTAAGATGTACTACTGGGAGGGACGCCACTCACACCCTCTAAACACCAAACAGTAGTTAGAGAGAGTCTGGCTTATGTTTCAGTCTAGTGAAGAAATGAGCAATAATTTTCCTGAGTACTACAGGTAGAGAAGCTCGTTTTTATTTAGTGATAAGACATAATATCAGATAATTGGAAAGAAAGAGTTTGTTATTGAAAAAAAATAAATCCTCAGAACATGCTTTGGAACATTTGATACCTTTTTCAAATTCGGCCGAATTCCAGAACTATTTCTTTTCTTACGACACAGTGATAACAATTAGTGGATAGATAATGTCCCATAATCAGATTCGCCTTCTGATGTTGTGATCTGACTGTTGGAATAATGGTAAATATACTTAACCGCATAAGAAACGTCACCATGGATAGATATATGAGAACCTTCTTTGTCCATACACCGTAAACATTCTTTGAGACATATTAAAAAGATGAAACTTGGCAAAACTGATCATCAAGGTTGAAATTAAAGTGTCAAATGCTCTTCAAGTGAAACACAACGCTAGTCTCTGAGAAAATGGTATCACAAGTCAGTATCTCGTGTGTCCGCCATGTGCAATGATTTCAATCGTGACTGAGGGCAAGCCACTGCATGGTTCTGATGCCATTCAGCTGGAGGAAGTCTCTTGTTGCTCTCGCAGTGTGGGCATGGGCGTTATCATGCTGAAATTCATGGGTGCGGCGACGTGCTGACACTCTGTGCAAAACTAATTCCAACCAACACCATGATGTTCGGACCACCCAACGAGTCTCTCGCAACAACACAATGATCCGAATAACGTTCCCCACGGCGTCGCCGAGCTCTCTCTCTGCCATCTGCTGTTGAGATACAGTAACGGCTGTTGTCTGAGAAGAGGACTCTTCCGCATGGCTTGTGGCGCCAATGATGGTGCTGTGTTGCCCAGTGAAGACGGTCCCTGCGATGACGTGGTGTCAGAATGGGTCCTCTGTGTGGCCTGTGACAGTGGAGGTGTCTGCTCGTCAATCGTCGACGCACGGTGTCTGCACTTATGTGTCGCTGGTGTGTCCCCATGGTCTGTCAAACAGACTGCAGCAGTAACAAAGCGACCTTGAAGATGCTGTCGCCCAATCTGACGATCTTGACGTCAGGTGGCGACCCATGGTCTTCCACTACGTGGTCGGTCATCTGTAGTGTTGGTGGTCTGGTACCGTTGCTGGAGCCTTTATATGGTCCTTACGTGGACTTGAAATGCATTGGCTACTTGCCGGGCGGTTTGTCCAGCTTGCAATCGGGCGAGGGGTTGGTGTCGATGATTTCTTGTCAATCTTGGCATGTGGTAGCAATTCAATAACGAAGAATGTTATCCGATCTGGGTGGATTTGTATAGGGCAAGAAATTGGGGAACGCATGTGCATTTCAATTTGCACGGAACTCCCGTGCATCGGGTTACCACGACAATTGATATGATTCGTTTGGGCGATCGTTTTTATTGTAATCTGCTTTGTTTTTTCTGTTATTTTAGGGTTGAGTATAAAGGGTCTGATGATTTCATAAAATCACAAAAAAACATAAAATATTAACTTTTTCTTGTGATACATATTTATAAACAAGCATGAAGGAGCAGGGCCCCACCTTGCTTGATATACATAGCATGCTAATATTGATAATGGTACACGGCCTACACGTGAGAAAGGATGGTGCTGTTACTTTAAGCGTTATAGAGGTAGCCTTCTGCCCCACCAATTTCAGACGATCTGTCCTCGTTTGGACTGATGTGTGTGAGTAGGGTACAAACATGTCTATTGTGAGTTTTAGTATTGATAAAATGTCTTTTATCGTATTGTTATGATTTCAATTTGGATTTTTTGAAATTGATAGAATTTCCTTGGCTACTTTGTTCAAATATGTTCGCGTAGCTGTCCATCTCTCAGAAATAGAGTTATTTTAGCATTCGCTATTGTATCTCTTGGCTTCAGGAGATCTGGGACAAATTGCAGATCTAACTGATCTAACTGTAATTCTTGTTGATTCTTGTTTCAACAAAGCCAGTCAGATGGGCATACCTTGGCATAGTGCTTTGTCCAGAGCTTGCTTCGCCAGTGTGTTTTTTTTTCATTTACATGAATATCTTTGTGAGGCGGGACCCAACACACCTTCGCCTGTTTTCCTTGGTCCGATGGTTTTGTATATTCGTACATAATATTATTGACTGTATTTGGTCTCGATTTTGAGTTTCTACCGCTGATCGCTAGTCGTGCACTTAGCGAGGCTTCCAGCAGTTCCGGTACCATTTTGAGTGTGTAATGATTTGCCTCCAATTGAGCAGTAAATATTGATGGACCGAATGTACCTCGGGTTTGGCTATAAATATGGCTCCGGTAACCCTCGCTGTTGTTGATAGGATTCTTGGATCCACCAGTGTATATATAGTTCGAATGTTAGTGATAGCAGCTGATCGTATTAGGGTTGGGGGGCACGTGTGGCCCACTCGTCTAAGGCGCCGCGATTCGCTGTGCAGAGTTGCGCCCCTTGGGCACGCCAGAAACCTTTGATTGTGTGTTCAAGTTCTGGTTCGCCCCGATTATGTTTCTAGGTTTGTCAGCACCATACCCGTGCTCCTGGGTTTCACCGAAGTGGTAAACGTCTGAGACCTGCATCAGTTCGGGCTTTCCTCCCGCATTAAGCTGACATGCCGCGATATAACTGGAATACTGTTAAAAAGTGGCATTAACCCCAACTCATTCACTCACACACGTATTAGGGTTGGGTTTTCTTTTCACTGACTTCTGATGTTAAAGCAGTGTTAACTTTTGGCGTGTTTAAAGTCAAAGGATTGTGTAACCCTTTGTTATGATGGCTGAATGTCATCACAATTATTACTTCGGATGTGTTCACACACTTATATCTCAGATGGCTTCAATGAGAGAATTTCCAAACTTTGGCTTCATCTCTTGTGGTTTGTCTTGCCATATTTTTGCACCAAAGGGTTCGAATTTTAGGGATCGTTGTAGGGTTGTGTTTTCTTTTTCAGTGACGGAGTTGGCGAGAGGTGAGGAGGGGTGAGGAGGGGGTGAGAGATGAGGAATGGGTGAGAGATGGTGATTAGGGAGGGAGAGGTGAGGAGGGGTGAAGAGGGGGTGAGAGGTGAGGGGTGAGAAAGGATGAGTGATGAGGAGCGAGGAGGTGGGTGAGAGATGAGGAGAGGTGGTGAGAGGTGAGGAGGAGGTTGAGTGTGAGGGCTGAAGAGTAGGAGGACAAATTACAAGGGCATAGTGAAAGGTTTGACAGAGGGGTCAATATACAGAGATGTGAAAATTGAGGTAGTTGGTGAAGTAGAGGGGGAAGAGAAACAAAAACAAATTGTATTTATGTTATGTATATTAGGAGAAGAGCTTTTTAGTCAGTCATAAGGGACGGGCGTAGGGGCCCATGGGTGATGTCTAGGTGAGCTAAAATGCAACATTATGTTTACAGTATGTTAATGAATCCAAACACACAAGATGATCCAATACAACAAGATGAACATACAGTCCCCTACCTGTTGGTATCTCCATGTGATGACGGCGGCAGGGGCAACACACGGGGTGGTCACTGTGACGGAGATGTTGTTCTGTGGGGTCACGGGGGACGGGAGAGAAGTCAGTTGAGGAGAGAATGTCACAGAGCTCCAGTCCAGGACAGCTGGCAAGAAGAAATGATACAATTAGGATTATGATAGAGATCTTGGAACGTCTTGAAAGTTCACGCAGCCCAGTCAATCAAAAATATATATCAACGCATGGCCATGCTGTATGACCGCTCTGAATACTTCGTCATCTGTCTAGAACTTTCAAACTGATATTAAATCTAAAAATGTATATATTAGTGAGATTGTGTAAACTTGTTGTATGTGCCTAGATTAGTAGAACTGAACGTGGGAGTGAGTTTATTTTGAGTTAACAGAACAGGCTGGCAGCAATTGCATGCTTCATCACAACTGATGTGTGAAAACATTTGAACATATATTGTCTTCAACCGAATTAAATGAATTGACAGAGATTCATAAACACATGCTTACGATAGAGTTGAATTCATACAATGGACCCTTCTGTCAGCAGTTTTTTTATGAGTATAAAAGGGATTGTGTCGCTTTTATTAATATGCATTAACCAACTTTAGTGAGTGAGTATGTTTTTACCCCGCTTTTAGCAATAGTCCACCAATATCACGGCGGGGGACAGAGGAAATTGGCTTCACACACTGTACCCATGTCAGGAATCGAACCCGGGTCTTCGGCGTGACGAGCGAACGCGTTAACAACTTGGCTCCCCGACCGCCCCTAACCAACTTTAGCTGTCCTTTAAGTTATGACGTGTTGTCTGCTCTCCAAGTCCATATGTTTACAAATCAATACCTTATGACTTGTTTGATTGTTTCCTTTAATCAATACGTGATACGAACCTGCAAACTGTGACAGTGTGATGGTATTAGACAATGTGGTACCATGAGTACATCTCCATGTCCCGCTGTCTCTGATGGGATCTGGTGATGTTATGTCTAGAGTCAGGATCCTGGATGTACTGTCCAGAGTCACGTTGTATCCTGAGACAGGAGAAGAACAGCTGCCTGATGATAAGCAGCCTCCCTGGGTAGAAGTATCCTTAGAGAAGAGGGTAGTTCCACTCAGAGCTGCATCTAGTGTACAGGTGATGCTGAAACTGACACCCTCCACAGGAACACGTCTGTTGGTAGCAAGAACTGCAGCAGAATCTGAAACGATATAATACACTTGCAAAAATCTGCACTAGTTATGATTTCACATGCTTTCCCTCTTACAATAATTTGTGAATCTTTACTCTCGTTAATTGTTTTTGAGATCATGTAATATAGATACTTATTTTGAAGGGTGCCATACAATGCATAGATGTGTATTAATATATTGATTGCTAAATAAATCCCTATTAGATGCTATATTTCATACAACCAGTGTTTTCCAAAACGCATGTAACACACGACACTTTTTGAATACACCACTATTAATAAAAACGGGGACAAATGTAAAAATATATTTATTCAACAGTTTCGCTATTCATCATTGAAAATATGAAAGACATTGCTCGTATAAGGGTACAATAAGAATTCAAAATGTGAACTAGATGATTCGACCATAGACTGCTCTCTCAAGGAGAAAACAACACTAAATTGCTCAGCATTCAGCAAAGCTCGCATCAATGAGGGAATAACTCTGCAAGCCAATTCTGAATCTGGGCGTGTACCAACATTCGAAGCAACAGGCACTTAAACCTAATTTGTTTTAGAGAATATTTACTTCGTCTAAAATTAACTATATACTATTGTGACAAATTCAAAATTAAGTTTCCAGAGAGATGATTCATCAGTTATGAAATCCATTGTATTTGCTATGCCACTACACCATCTGCTTATTTCATCTGTTCAAGTACGAAAGATTCACAACACACATGATATAATCGGCTGACACCAGAACGGCATCTTGACTGTCCACTTGGTCCGACCAGGGCTATTGTTATTTGCAACATGAGTGAGTGAGTGAGTGAGTGAGTGAGTTGGGTTAAACGCCGCTTTTAACAGTATTCCAGTTATATCACGGCGTGTCAGCTTAATGTGGGAGGGAAGCCCGAAGTAATGCATGTCTCAGACGGTTACCACTTCGGCGAAACCAACGACCACGGGAATGGTGCTGACAAACTTAGAAATGTAATCGGGGCGAACCGGGATTGGAACCAACAATCATAGGTTTCTGTCGTGCCCATTGAACGCAACTCTGCACAGCGAATCGCGGCGCCTTAGACGACTGGGCCACCCGCGCCCTATTTGCAAAACGAAGTCAAAACAGTACATACTCGTGAAAGTAGGAAATCATTATGTTGTTTAATTCAGCAATATGGTGTAAATGTACATGTAAATCACGTGTAAATCAGTTTATATCACATAACTAGTTGTGCTATATGCACATGTTTTATCTGGAAGATCGCTTGAGCCCTTAAAAAACACGACGAATGAAATAATGACTAAAGGCAGACAACATGTGATTCGTAGTTTGACCATGAAAGTCCTAAGATAATAAGTTCTGTTTAAACTGTAATATCCCTTACGAACGTAACCTTACTTTACATGCTTCGATAGAAAATTGAACGTATGTGTGGTGGCATTTGTCACTAAATATGGTGACCAAAAATATAGTTACAATCTATCTTCAAAGTTTCAGAACGATGTGACAAAAATGAAAGCAATTGTCATCTGATGTTTACTGAGGAAACATTGTGTAAACTGATTGACCTCATTATATATATACTCACACACTCAATTTGACTGACGACAGTTTAATGGATTAAAAGGCAGATGACATAATTGTGTTTTTTTTCAAAATTTAAGGGCTTACATAGTTTCGAGTCAATACCCAAAATGTCAGTCAATACCTGGTGTGACCACCATTAGCATTGCTCACTGCCACACATCTCCTGTACATTGATTGGATCAGACGATGTGTAAAGGCCCTAGGGATCCTCCTGCACACATCCAGAGCAGCTGTGCGTAGTTCACATTGGGCGCACATTATGCAGACGCCTTTGAACCTCATCCCAAAAGTGTTCGATGGGGTTCAGATCAGGGCTGAGGGCTGGCCACGGTAGAACACGGATGTTGTGTTGTTGCAGAAAGGCTATGGTAGCTCTGGCAACATGGGGACGAGTGTTGTCCTGCTGGAAAATGTGTTGTTGATGTTGTGCAAAAAATTGGAACAACGTGGGGTCTGATCACTTGGTCGATATACCGCTGAACATTGACGCCGTGTCCCCGACCTTGACCAACATTCAGAAAGCACATGGGTCCAAGTCTCGCATTGAGTCCAACCCCTGCCCATATCATGACGCTAGGTCCACCCCATGGATCCTTTTCCACAACGTTTCGGGGCAGTTGGGTAGCCAAGTGGTTAAAGCGATCGCTCGTCACGCCGAAGACCCGGGTTCGATTCTCGACATGGGTACAATGTGTGAAGCCCATTTCTGGTGTGCCCCGCCGTGATATTGCTGGAATATTGCTAAAAATGGCGTAAAACTATACTCACTCACTCACTCACTCCACAACGTTTCTGTCAGCGAAACGATCACCTCGACGCCGCCAAATTCTGACTCTTCCGTCTGCATGGGAGACACAAAAGCGACTCTCATCAGAGAAGATGACACGCCTCCACTCACGATGACGCCAATTAAACGTTTGGTTAATGTTCCATTTTGGCCACGAACTTTGAAGATTTTGTCAAATACATTGAAACTAGAATACTAATGTTACAAAGCCTTACTTCCTACCTTGTGATCTCACCGAGCTTGGCTATGTGAATTACACACAATATTGTACAGCACCGGTAATTACCGAATAAAAGTACAGTAAACTACGGTTATAACGAACACTCTTATTACGAACTGACGGATATAGCGAACTTACTTTGCTGTAGTCATGCTGTATATGTACTTATAACGAACTACGGTTATAACTAACTAAAATTAGTGGTCCCATTGGGTTCTTTATAACCGTAGTTTACTGTAAATACTTACACAGGCTAATATCATTCATACTACATGTATGTCCGCCCATAGTGATATTAAGACATAACTGCTAAGCATTGTGAAACATATAGCCATTACGGTTATAGAAAATACACCAGTATCTGGATTTCTTCTAATTCATGCAGCCCAAAATACTCAATTCAGCCATGAATCCGAGTTCACACGTGCATGCACGAATATTCACTGCATCTTACGTTTCATTATATCAAAGTTGGGAATGATATATGACATTAGTCCATGTCAGGTAAACATTTATTTTCACAACGAAATATTTGCTATCATCCTAGTACCTTTACTACTTCAGGGTGATTTCATGTGGCTTTCGTTGTTCTTTCCATTCAGGGACAGTGGTTGCCAGTTGCAAATCAATGTGCGGAATGTTTAATCCTTAGCCGTGTCATGGTTCATGGATCGTGGGTCGTTCGGGTTTCTAATAATGGTCTCAACTCTGTCCCCGCCTCACTAGTGGAATGAATCATGTTTCACAGAAGTAGTAAACTTAAACATCCGACGTATCTCCTTCGTGTATTAGCTGCATGACGAGTTACCTATTCATGACTATCATAGATACATATACCATGACTATTACATAGGTCAACGAGTTCAGGTGTTCCTGTAGGTCCGATCATAACTAGCAGTCCCCTTACCTGTACGAGGAATCTGTCCTACATCCACCAGAATCAGAAGTGAAATGTATGTGAGATATCCACAGGTAAACATTTTAGAGCTGACACTCACACATACACAGTGTTGTCATCTCAAGTGTACGTATTGAAATGGTAATTTACTTCCGGGTGGCGAGAGAATATGTAGGTCAGAACTACACCGAGATATAAATAGATGAGCACGCTATACCCACAGATTATATGTATTCTACAGCTACACAGCACATAACATATTCATCCGACCTATCTGACACATCGTTCTAAGTACTGCTTATATCCAATACGCCCCGCACGTACAACAAACAGCCCTGAAAAAAACATGTGTGTTGTGTGGGAAATTAAAGGAAATAAACAAACCGTGGTTTCGTATTTGCACAGCACTCAAGTCAGGACTCAGAAGTTAAGCAACGTTGATCACGGAGGGTAGTTCGACCAGTGACAGTGAGGAACCTTGACCCATTGGAGTTCCTAGGGCTTCGGTCCTGCCCCACACTGAAGCACATGTGGCACATGTGGTGTCCCCTCAGTGCAACATGAAATATTATGTTGTCACATCGCCTTATCCGGCACCCTGAAACAGATTCCACTGCTACAATCGATGTATAGCGGACTCTTTCCGTGAATTGGATAATTTGTATAGTTGTGCAAAAACACACTTTACATTATATTGTTGAAATTCATATTTGACACATCAGTGACAAAAATGATGTTCAATGCAAGTCGTTATTTTGACTTGTACCATTTTTTCAGGTGAACAATGGGCTTGTTTTTAACTGTTGTAACTGCTTTCGGGCGTCCAGAGCGACCCTAATACAGTTACCTAAATGTATTGCCGTTCCTTGTCCTTGTGGTCAATTACGCCATGACATTGCCACTCGCCTTGTCCGCCGCGGCTGGGCTCCGTCAAGGAGTGATTGGTCTAACGACACTTACTCCAAGTTGTCTCTATCAGCATTCACACACGCATAATAAAGAAACGCAACACCAGTTTTATACTCACATAGTTTTACTTACTCTCAGCCCATCTATCAATACAGGACAGGATCAGACTGGCCTGTCCTTGTCACATGGCACAATACCTCATTTTGATTCGTTAAAAGTTAGATCTGACCATGCACTCATGAGTGTCGTAATCGGAAAAATACAGAAGCCGACGTGCCAGATTGCTCATCTTTCTATTGATTTTGTGACACGCATCCGGAAGCGCCAAATGAAATATACCCTGAAACTCTCTATTTGTTTCATGAACAAATGGACGATAGCCAGGAACTAATCCAATGATAATTATGAAATGTCCAGAATACACTTGTGATAAATGTGAAATGTCTTTTATCTATTGATTCCTTTCAAACTAAAAGATCTGTCACAAACTATATCTAATGCAACTCCTCATTGCAGCTATACTGGTTTTATTTGTTATCATTTTCTAATGTTTTTTAGATGCATTTTTAACCTTATAACATCCTCCGCCTGTGGACAAGAGCTGCCCACAGCTCGGAAAACCTAAGCATGAGTTCAGGTCTGAGATGTAAAATACAATCACAATAAACACAATAGAAGTAAAACAGGATCGATCATTCCATGTATTAAATTGTAGGAAAATGTTTTTGAGATGCATTTTTAACCTTATAACACTGTGATTGTGATGGGAGCCACAGGGGGCAGGATACGCTCTCCTGGTATCATCACTATGTGATGGTAATTCATGGACGCATGCTCATTGGGGCGGTCGGGTAGCCTAGTGGTTAAAACGTTCGCTCGTCACGCCGAAGACCTGGGTTCGATTCCCGAAATGGGTACAATGTATCAAGCGAATTTCTGGTTTTCCCGCCGTGATATTGCTGGAATATTGCTTAAAGCGGCGTAAAACCATACTCACTCTCTCACATGGTATGGTCGGAATTTTAAACTGACTGCTTCTGGCAAAGATGTCTTATGAATATGGAAAGGTTTTTGATGCTTTGATTTGATACCTCATCAAATTAAAAATAAAAAAATTATCACTACATTCGACATTCTTTTACGCACTATGAAAGATAAGTTTTACATTGTTCATGTTTGAATAACACAGCTAATCCTAGTTTGAACATAGTAGTACGATGTGGCATCAACACAGTAAGCAATAGTGAGCTGACTATGTTTTATTCAAATTAGAATAGGTTTCACTGTCTTCTTTCTAGACTGTTTCCTCTGGTATGTGGATCAGCAATCACACACTGAATGTAGTTAGCATTGCTATAGATTCAATGTTTATGTATGGTATTTTCACAATAGAATGCACACTGCCCACATCTCGTTGCCCGTTCAATACATACAAAGCTGCCAAAAGGTCACACAATGAGACCAAAACACAACACAACTTCTGCCTCAAATCAAGCCAACGAATAGTATTATTGTGCTGCTATTTGTATCAAATTATTCGAAAATGCTCTCTCTACGAAGATTTCAAAAAGTTTATTTGATCAGTGTAACAGCATTTCAGGTAGTTTGTTTGTATACATATGGAGGGCACCAATCACATAATGAATGTCCAGTGGACCTCCCTATTTGTATCATGTCTTGCCCTGGTATTTTCGTGAGAACAATGTACATGTCTTTGCTGTTTGAGACGGGTGCCACGGGTGAGGCAGGATACGCTGGTCGTATCGTGAACACCTGGTAGCATAAGTGTTTGATAGTGATTCATCATGCGTATGATATTGTCGAAATTGTACCATTGCCTCTTCTTTAAGCTGAAATGTCTTATGATTATGGAACTGTTTATTGTTGCTTTTATTTACAAGAACCACGTCGATTGAATGCTTTCGTTCCCAGACAATTTGGAATCTTCATTTTGCTGGTACTCCAAGCAAGCTTGGAATCACATGGCAATCACGCATTCGCAATGTCGAGATAAATACTTTATTGAACGAATTTTAAAACAATAAAGTTCAAACGTTTCTGAACAGTGTTGTACAATATAAATATAAAGTGTCATGAACACCTCACATAAATTCCTTACATTTAGATAAAAACTAGCACACAAACAAGGACTATTTGCAATCGAGGTGGTTTATCACATCATAAAAGCTGTGCTGGCTGAATGAGATAAAAGTGTGGATTTATCTTGTTATGAAAATGGCAAACGAATATAATATGTTAAAGAAAATTACATTGCTAATTCCAATTTCAGTTGAAACAAAACATTCAGTCATGCGAAGTTGGTGGTGGAAAAAAACGTCCACTCTACAATAACACAAGATGACATCAATCAGCCACCATAGTTTAATCTGGTCACCTTGTTGCGTGATGACATTTCATGCTGTGGATAACTTGCGTTGTGACGCCATGTGCTGTCATCCAAAAATGTTGTGTTCTCTTACACCATAGCAGTGGAATCATGTCCAGAGCAGCTAATCAATCTCCGCAGTTCTGTCTTAGAGATGGCAATAATCAGCCAACGTACTTTACACCTGAGTAGGGAGTCCAACGATGACAACATTTACCATTCACAACCCTGTGTGTTATTAGATGTACACTAGCCACCACGCGTTCCCGTTCTAAATAGATACTCACCTCGTTGACTTGTCTATGGATATGGCAACACCTACACAAAACGCGATTAATCCGGTGCCCTGTCACCGACGTTAGTTAGCGATATGCACATACAGGTGACTCTTTCATGTTCACAGCAACTACACCAGCAACAAAAGGTTCACCATCACAGTCAACATGATATTCAAATTACTCAATTGATAAGGGGCCAATAATTATTGGCCTAACCTATTAGCCAGCCGTTGAACAGTATTCACACCATGGTTTCCGATGACTTGGAAATATTTAGAAATTATCGTATGAAGTTTTGGACGACGAACATAATGTAAACGATAAAACATGACAAAACATGAGATCACGAAAGATAGTTGCTGGCCAGGACGTCACTTAAACCATTCGCCGGTTGAACACTCCTTCATACTGTTCTCGAGGTTTTATATCATTCCTGGAAATCATATAGCAAACAAGTAAGGGATTTAACAGTAGTTTTTTTAGGTTGTGAAAGAATATTCAGCATTGATTCATATACTAAAGAAAATCTGCTGGAATGTATAACTGGACAACAGACAGAGGGACGACAAAGTTTAAAGGAGCATCTGTGGTAGGAACTACCGCACTATAGTGGGCGGAGCTTAAACGAGTGATATGACAGGTCAATATGACGTCATGATAACACACACAATTCATTGGTTCATGCATAAACGGGTGACGTCATGTAAACACCCACCGACGTGGACCGTTTGACAAGGACGTAAGTTTTAATGGTAATAAATATCTATCAAACGATTCCAAGACTTTTCAACAAACGCGTAGGTCTTTAGTTTTAAAACCTACCTGCTATGTCGTCTTCACATCTTCACAAAATGATACCGCGGAATGAGAAATATTGGCGCAACTTCTGACGCTTCAAATTAGGCCCCTTCCTAAACACTAGTTGAACAATCTGTGTAATAATTTAAGTTTTATAAATATACTCTGATTATTGTGTGGCACAGATCTAACTGTTGAATGCAAATGACCCAAACTAAACAATTTATCTGTAATTTTCGGATTGAACTGAAAGAATCGTGTCGTCAATTTCGTATTTAAGTATCGTTACTGTTACATTAACCGAAACCGATGTTCTGCTGCTGTTCTGCCGTAAAAATATACAACACAATACACTTTGACCACAAATGCATTGAATTTGTCACATGTACACATGACCATGTGCTTTGCTATTCATAGCGCAACCGTAAATAAGCTCCGCCCACTGTGGTTGATGCAGACGTCAAACACGATCGGTTCGATTTTTTATGATAAAACTACCGAAAATGTATCCATTTGTTGTATCCGTGGTTTGTCATTCATGTTGATACGAAGTTTGACGGTGATCTTATTCCCGTATAGTTTTCAAAAAGCTTCTCCCGACACTCGGTTATGTTTACATTGTCAGCCATTATTCGAAACTGAAACACCGCCACCTTGCGGGCTATTTATGGTCAGGTTGGGCTTTAATATGACGCCACAGTCGTATAGAGAGAAGCGCCAAATACCAAGCTCTCTGTTAATACATTCTCTTTAAAGATGTCTATCATGTGTTCTGCACGAAATGTATTGCCACACATCCTTCGAAAGTTGTGAAAACAGCAACATTGAATTTTGTAACCTGTAATTGTAGATATAAATATTTAAATATGCTTAACGAAAATGACTGAAAAAAGTGCTATTCTAAGAATATATGCCCATGCGGCCGTCAAACCGGCTGTTTCAATCAGAGGGGGTTTATTGTGATTTGATAGCCCCTGATTGACCAATCTGAATCGAGTTATTTCCACATTCAGTGATCTATGTACGTGTAATAATACAACAGGTATCAAGTCACATCATTTGAACATGAGAAAAGTATACTGTGTCCCCACCGAGCTACCATAGTTGTGATCTAAGAATAGCTCGTCCCACCTGACACGGCAATGAGGAAGTATAATGTGTAATAGTATCATTAATATGTTTGTTTGTGCATGCCCTCTAACGTATGCTCCATTCGTCTTGAATACGACTCATATGTGAAGAAGAGAATTCCAGCTGGAACAAGGTAAGTGTTGCCTCTCATTACCGAAACAATCATCCGGGTACCCAGGGCTGGCTGTCAAAACAAGAGCCCTATCCATACAGTCAATCCAAGATGGCGGGATCGATACGTTTATGATAGAATGCGTAAGTTAAGGTTGTTTTTGGTGCTGTCATTTACTGACAGTGAGTTTACAAATAGGAAACACGATTAACTATAATTACCAGTATTTTTTTAAAGTTTAATAAATTCCGGCACTGCACTGATCACGTTTAACACTCGATGAATAGGATCATGTACATTGACATCTTGTGATTCAACTGTGAATGTCGGCAGATCAAAAGCAAATGGCCTGTCTTGTTTTCTTTAAGTGAGTGTGTGAGTGAGTGAGTGAGTGAGTGAGTGAGTGAGTGAGTGAGCAGAAACTCCTAGGTGACCCCACTGTTAAAACGTGTCAATAGTATCGTTAGCCTTTTTTGAAGTCAATAAAAGCTAAGAAAATTCATATCTTGAGCGACTTCCTCGATTCCACTATGGATGTTGATGATAAAATGTGTTCCACTGTTGAGGGGCGGTCGGGTAGCCTAGTGGTTAAAGCGTCCGCTCGTCACGCCGAAACGCCGGGTTCAAATCCCGACAAGGGTACAATGTCAGAAGCCCATTTCTAGTGCCCGCCGTTGTGATATTGCTGGAATATTGCTAAGTGCGGCGTAAAACCATACTCACTCACTTTCTCAACTGACGACCTTCCTTTTCTGAACCGTTTTGTTCGTCAGATACAAAGTTATTGTTCTCCTTCAACTTGTACAGTCTCTTATTTAACACACAACAATAACGTTCAATAATAGCTTGATTTGGTAGGTTAAAGGATAATATTTGTTAACACATGACTATTTCGAGATTGTTGTGATAATGTCTTTCATCCATTCAATGTGGGAAAAAGTCCACACTGGTAAAACCCACGAGAACGTGTTTGGTGCCGACAAAGCAAGAGACATAAACAGGGCGAATCTGGGATTCGAACCCAGGAACATGGGTTTCTGGCACATCCAAGGGACGCAACTCCTCACAGCACATTTAGACGCCTACCCCAGTTTTCGTTGAGGGTAAAACGACGTGAGCAAATAACATGAAGATGAATCAAAGTTTGTTGATTTACACGGCAGTTAGAGAATAACCAACGAACTAACTACGAGGATTTACAGCATCAGTAAAATCTTCCGAGCTGCGAGTAGAGAAACATATAGGTTTCCTGATCTCATGTTTGTGACACCCCGAAGACCAGAAGACGTCATCTAAACTATTTGCAGTATGCGTTCATATGACATCTTCTCAAACAATGAAAATAAACAGACATTTGGACCGAAAGAGCCAATCATCACGCAGCAATGTTATAATGCTCCGAGAGAATTTCTGAAATTCACCGATGCGTGCCCCTATGGGTAATATTCAGCAAGTCAAACCAGTTGTGGGTAATATACTGAACCGCAAAAGAAAAGTCACCAAGGATAGATATATGAGAAACCTTATTTGTCCAAACACTGTAAACATACTTTGAGACATATTGGTTGAAATTAAAGTGTCAAATGTTCTTAAAGTGAAACACGACACTAGTCTCTGAGAAAATGGCATCACAAGTCAGTATCTCGTGTGTCCGCCATGTGCATTGGTGACTGCTGTGCAACGTCGATACATGGAATGGATGAGCAGTTGATGAAGACCATAGGCACTTTAGCCCACACTCTGAGGAACGCCTGACGCAGTTCAGCTGCGGTTGTCGGCCTTGGTCGGACGTCATTCAGTGAATCTGTGAATCTCGTCCCACATATGCTTAATGGGATTTAAACTAGGACTGAGGGCAGGCCACTGCATGGTTCTGATGCCACTCTGCTGGAGGAAGTCTCTTGTTGCTCTCGCAGTGTGGGCACGGACGTTATCGTGCTGAAACGTGTGGTTGCGGCGACGTGCTTAATGAGGTATGGCGTGTGGTCTCAAGACTTGATAAATGTACCGAGCTGCTGTGACCATTGCCTCTCCCTGGACCCATGTAAGTCCCACAGGGCCGACCCTCTGTGCAAGACCAATTTCAGGCTACACCATCATGCTCGAACCACCCTACGAGTCTCTCTCAACAACACAAGAATCCGAATAACGTTCCCCATGTCTCTCTCTCTCTCTCTCTCTCTCTCTCTCTCTCTCTCTCTCTCTCTCTCTCTCTCTCTCTCTCTCCCTCTCTCTCTCTCTGTGTGCCATCTGCTGTTGAGATACAGGACTTTTCTCCACTGCTGGTGGCGCCAATGCTGGTGCTGTGTTGCCCACTGAAGACGGCCCCGGCGATGACGTGGTCTCAGAATGGGTCCTCAGTGTGGTCTGTGACAGTGGATGTGTCTGCTCGTCAATCGTCGACGCACGGTGTCCGCACTAATGTGTCGCTGGTGTGTCCCCATGAGCTGTCGAGCAGTTTCCGCAGCAGTAACAAAGTGATATTGAAGATGCCGTCGCACAATCTGACGATCCTGACGTCGGGTTGCGACTCTGGGTCTTTCACTACGTGGTCGGTCATCTGTAGTGTTGGTGGTCGGGTACCGTTGCTGGAGCCTGTATATGGTCCTTACATGGACTTGAAATACATTCGCTACTACCCGGGCGATTTGTTCAGCTTGCAATCGTCCAATTGTAGCTGATTCCTAATCGATCTTGGCATGTGGTAGCAATTCAATAACGAATGAATGTTATCCAGTCTGGCTGGATTTTTAAAGGGCAAGAAATGGGGGGAACTCATGTGCATCGCGTTACCATGGCTGTTATCGTGATGCGTTTGGGCGATCGGATTTATTGTCATTTGCTTTGGGGTTTTTTATTATCAAATGTCATTGTTCCGGACAACGTAATGTAAACTTTTAGAAACTTTGACAAAAATTACCCAGATATATAAAAATGACATTTTTTCATGGATTGTTACTTGGGGTTAAGTTTCTTTTGTGGTTCAGTATATGAACATCGTCCTACGCTGATCCAATTTAGTCACTTTTTTCAAGTTTTTTACTAGAGTCTCAGATTAACTGATTTTTTAAGATAATATTTTGGACCTTGTTGCAAACATGTATCTATTATTATCTATTCACTTGAAATGAAAGAGAGTATGTAAGAAAATAACCATGAATCTTAATGTGTCCAGGACTTTAGAAAAAATGCCTATATAGCTATTATGACCTGATATCTGATAACAATTATTGCCATTGAATTCAACAAGAATGTATTCATATTTCAGAGACATGACCACTCCGACTAGATGTCTCATGGGATCTTTGCGTACGGATTTGATGATTTATGTTATCGGAATTGTCATCAATGGTAGGATTATTGTCTTGCACAATTCTCTTAAAGTAACACCTAGGCTTTCACATATGGAGTTTATTTCTGTAGAATCAAAGCACATCAATTTCCGTTATGTTCAGTGTATATTTTAAGCAAGTGTCATGTCAAAGCATTTGCTCTGTTCGAATCCTAAGACTTAAAATATTCGCGGTAACCCTTCTAATACATTTAGGGTATTGCAGACAATGTAAACTCTCTTTCCCCCTGTTGTTGTCACATCTCCTTTGTAGGGACTTTCGTCTTAGTAGTGAAAATCATAATATCCGAGATTTGAAATCACAAGCAGTGTAGGTATTTGAATATAGATTGACGTAGGCATTCCGTACTTTTAGGGCGTTATGAACATGATGATGTACCCTTTTGTCAGATGCGGATAAACATGTTTTGAGTCTGGCATCAGGTTTGTCCAACGTAAGTTATGTATGTTAATTCATAGTACTATGCTTGATTACATCTGTTGCAGGTTGATGTTGGTGCATAATGTTCAGGTCAATAACTCACTGTCTTAGTTGTCATAGGATGAGTTATATTTATATAAAACAATATGTAAGCAGACTTCCATTAGCGCTAGTGAGTGAGTATGGTTTTACGCCGCGTTTAGCAATATGCCAGCAATATCACGACGGGGAAGACCAGAAATGGGATTCACACATTGTACCCATGTCAGGAATCGAACCCGGGTCTTCGGCGTGACGAGCAAACACTTTCACCACGATGCTACCCGACCGCCCCGACTACCATTAGCACTCTGGTTTGGGTATAAGCGCGATTCTTAACAAACAATACAACAGTCCGATCACGTGATGCACATGTTTGTGTTAGCTATCACAACATCAATTTTGTCACTGATGCGGCAAATTTGGAAATATACTACATATATAACGTTTTGAAAGCTTGGCTGAGGCATTGAATGTTGTTACCTTGATCAAACTACGTTTGCGGAATAGTGGTGTTACGCTGTTTGAAATCTTCGTAGAAAGAGCATGCTGGATTGTTCCTCAAACGTTTAAGTCATCAGTGTACCAGAATGTGGCTATGTACACGAGACATTGTTTTCGGCAGGTGTAGAGTCCCAACTGTCCTCCAGTCCTGTGTTAGTGAGGGAGTCTGAGACAGCCAGCTTCAGGTGGCAGGTACCAGCTGTACCAGGACTCACTGTGCTGTATGTCATCAGTCCATCTGGAGCTGTAGTACTACTGGCCAACAGAGTCAATAACCACCAGACATTCGGGAACTACACAACTCGTGTCACCTACAACGGGAATCTAACTGCTGACCCCAGGTTCATGGCTTTTGACCTCCGCAGTGTCGTCAGATCTGATGCTGGGGACTACACCTGTGGGAATGGTGGAGTATCTGACATCTTACCTCAGTGTGGACAGAAGCTGGTTGTTCTAGGTAAGTGTTATGTGTACACATAATAGAAACAGTGTTATTCGTAAGTTACATATGATAACATACAGAAGCTGCTTGTTCTGGGTAAGTGTTATGTGTAGAAATATTAGAAACAGTGTTATTAGAAACGGTGGCATTCATAGGTTAATTAAATGGGTTAGTTACATTACCTATGATGACACACAAAAGCTGGTTGTAGTAGTAAGTGTTATGTGAATATATCAGAAACAGAGTCTAGTCAAATAATACAACAATAATAACGTACAACATGTTCTAGTTACATAACACACATGATATGTTTGTTCTGGTAAGTGTTATTTGTAGTAATATTTGCAACAGCATCATTTATAGCTAAGTTGAATAATATAACAATACCAAGGTACAATATGGGTTAGTTATATTACCTATGGCACCAAAAAAGCTGGTGGTTCTTGGGAAATATTTGATGAAGAAATATCGTAAATGGATTGATTCATGGGCATCTAACAACACATATAACAATAAGTAGCAAGGTACGAATCATGTTGGATTGATCACCCTTGAGATCATCTGGATGTATTTTACGGGATTTCACTTGGAGCATCACAACGCAAATACGTATCGAGTAAGACACCACATATATTGAGCTCCCGATAATTTTGTCTAACTCAAACGACTGCAGAACAGATTATGTAAGACATCTTCTACCTCACCTTATCAAATTATTATAATACACACAAATCGAGATTCACTCGCCGAAACATCAAATTATATTTAATATTGATACAATTATTTGCGAAAAAATATATATTATAATAAACACTTGATAAAAAGAGGTCAACCAATCATTTCAACTAATACAATCTGAATGTTTGTTTCAGATAAAGCCAACACATATCGCTAGCACTAAATATTTAGTGTAGGGCGAAAAGTATGATTGTTGTGCTCTGTACAATTCTCTATACTACTCATGTTTAGAAATGCATTGGTCATATTTTTTCAACGGCAATGTTGGTGGCCATTTTTAATCTCAAATTCGCTGACTTTTTCAACTATGTATTCTTTCCCTTAACATCTTGTATTTCATTAAGAACAAAACAATCCAGGCGTCTCTGATTTTGAATAATGCATATAAATGGCATATGAATGGCGTGAGTGTTGATGTTGATATAAAGTAAGGAAGAGAATTTATGCATGTTAACTTCTTTATCAACAGGAACACAACGTTTCGGAGTATATACTTTAAAAAGTATAAAGCAGAGGCCATATATGTCTACGAACAACAAAAGTAATAAGATAACGAAGTTGCAAACTTAACAAGGGACGCCAACAGTTGATTGAAGCTATTAGGTGATGTTTAGAAATAGACAACTGGACGCCAGGACTTAAATTATCACTGATTGGTAATAGGCAATGGACAAAGGGCAAACGGGAGGCAGGGGGTATTCAGCACTGATGGGTAACTGAAGAGAAATGGCAATGGGCAAAAGACAAAAATCAAAACCGTATGTCCCAAGCACTGGGCAGGTCGGTTCCTTGGTCACTTGGTGGCTGGCTGTTGTCTCCTGATGTCAAAGGAGGGGCGGTGGGGTAGCCTAGTGGTTAAAGCGTTCGCTCGTCACGCCGAAGACCCGGGTTCACTTCCCCACAATGTGTGAAGCCCATTTCTGGTGTCCATCGCCGTGATATTGCTGGAATATTGCTAAAAGCTGCGTAAAACCATACTCACTCACTCATTGACGTCAAAGGCTTCTTGTAGTTTTCTTTGTCGCCAGTTATTTGTTGGTAGACAAGACTTTGGTTGCTCCCCACACTGTTATGATCTTGGTTCTTGAGGATGTGTTCGGAAATAGAGGATATCAGGTCTAGTTTGTTGACAGAGGTCTGATGTTCTTTGAGACTGGTGTTGAGGGGTCTGAGGGTTTCTCAAATGTATTGGTGGCCACATTTGCAGGGGATCTGTTATATACATCTTGTGGGGTTGCTAATTACCCAGCTACAATGTTTGTCCCCCGCCGTGATATTGCTGGAATATTGCTTATAACCATACTCACTCACTCTTGAAATATGAAAGTCTCTAAACTTTAAATTTCCTGAAAATATATTTTATTTTTATGTTCTTAAAAAAAGTAGGGGATCATGAAATATAAATGTAAACACAAAGTATTAGAACAAAGATTTTATTCATCGTGTATAATCTTCTCTTGCATTACCAATGTCTATATTTTTGTCTGTAACGGGCTCTTCTGCCTTACTTCACTACCGGTTGTGATGTGTTCCCGATTCGATTTATTAGTACAATCCCAAACTCCTTTTCAGTTCAGATTTGTTCGACTTTGTAAGACTGGGGCAGTGCTAAGTATTTTATATGGAGGACAGCATCATGGTTTGTCTTTCAGCTGTCCGTCTTTAACATTGAAATTGACAAATGTACATGATAACCCTGAACAATTATGTCATACGGGTAAATAGGTTCTCATCTATGAGGATATGTCAGTCTTAGTATCCCCAATGGCATCACGTAAAATCGCTTTTGTTGTCAATACAATAACCGTGAACGTGTTGGTTGTGCATGCGTGTTGTACAAACACAAATAAAGACATATTGGCTGACAATGACAACAATGTGCTGTCCCGCTGAGGCCGTAATAACGAGTCAATATTTAGTGCAACCACGCCTGTTACAGATCCCATCGGCGCACTGTCACCTTCACCTCATTCAGGTTCATTCTGAAACTCACCCCAGCTCAGTAGGTCAGGAGAGTAAATGAGCCACTCTATCCTGGGTGTACCTAGTTTTTCAAATCATGACATTGACCACATATCCGAGGTGTGGATGAGCATTATCATCGACGTATAGTACTAATGGATGCTATCACAAGTGGGGCAAATTCCTCATGTCTGTCGTAAGAGGCGACTAACGTGATCGGGTGGTCAGGCTCGCTGACATGGTTGATGCATGTCATCATATCCCAACTGCGTGGATCGATGCAAACTTTTTGTGCGTTGGAATGGCACAAAAGACCATTATGGAGGCACCATGAACCAAAGAAACATCGTTATAAAAACGTTTACAGCACTGCCTCTTATCATGAAACGACGGATTAAATCTGCTGTTATCCGAGAACATAACTGAAGACCACTGACGTTATAACTATCGCTGATGACGTCATCACTGCTTGCTTATGGCGCAGTATCTGTGGTAGAATATTACAGGACGTCAAGAATGGAGATCACCACAACACAAACAGATTCTTCTGGTGATCATGCTCATGTGTACGTTTGCAAAATGTACTCTCCATCAAAAACATGTTACGCAGGTCAAAGTTAACAAGGTTCCTATCCTGCCTCTGTGTTCTGACCACATGACGACCAGGTCTTTGAACGTATGTCACAGTTCTAGCGTGAAACAATTACATTTTCAGGTCAACCAACTAAACCAACTCTCAATGGACCATCATCCCCTTGGTTTGGGAGACAAGTCACCTTGACCTGCAGCTCCACCTCAACCACTGTCCCAGCTGACCATGGCCTGACCTTGACCTACACCTGGCAGCGTGACAACACTAACATCACAGTTACCTCCCCTGGTTCCCCCTACACCTTCACAGTGAGTTCCCGGGACAGTCACAGCTACAGATGTAAGGCAACAGAAGACCAGGGTCTGGAGTCAGAGTGGAGCCAGGGGTACAACATGGAGCCACAATGTAAGTTTATGGAAACTGTACATGTGCATATTAAATATTTAAAATTACCACCACAGTTAATATGTCTTTGTTTCATAGTAATGTAACGTGTATTAATAGATGCTCATTTAACCATTTCACAATACAACGCTATTATAAATCACATGTATACTCTTTAAGTCAAAATTAACTGTGGCTATTTTACTTAGGGGTTCCAAAACAGAATGGCAGAAAGCCTTATCATAAGTGTTCTATCATTATTATTCTGTCCCCCAAATCACCAATATATTTTACTTGTTTGAAATTGCTGTTGTTGCTTACTCCTTTAGCGAAGACCTGGAGTCATCACAGATTTTTAGTGGTTTATTCATTTAATTTTCTCATCTATTTTGCCTTTTACACCATATGGAGCTTTGGCTATTCTCGTGCATTGGCAATTTATATTTATATTATACATCGCACTCAGCAATATTCCAGCTATATGACTGCAATCTGTAAATAAACGAGTCTTGACAATCCAGTTACTGACATTAGGAGAATCGTTCCTCGCAATTGGGATACGACGACATTCATCAACCAAGCCAGCGAGTCTGACCGCCCGACCCCCTTAGTCGCCTCTTATCAACAGGCATAGGCCAAGATGCAGACCTATGAGGACAAGTCAGTATATATTAAAGTCCAAAAGTCATATGTCTCAAAACTAAGGGCAGACAATTAAAAATCATTCATATGTTACATCTGTTACCCAACTGCTCCTCAGCTGCTCATCCAATAACTGTTTAACTTGACAGAAGCATCCTTTATGAAGCAGCAGATGCGAGTAACTTTTTGTGCTTTAATTTAGGCCCTAGGTTTTGTACGTTTTACAGCCACATATCAACAGGCTTGATTCGCCTGCTCTGATTACCAGTCTTAAGATCGAATACACTACCCGAGTATCACCTACCGAGGTATTCAAGGGTCGGCGTCGTTATACCGTCAGAGAATACGCCGCCGACATAAAATAAGGGAATTAATTATTTGAATGTAGCTATCGTTTAGATGAAAATTTACAATACTGTGGCGCTGCATCTGAACGCAACATCTAATCACAGTGGAATTTCACATCCTTCATGAATAACACATGGTGCACGTGCACACATAAGCCAAAGCGCGTCCGCGTATAGGGGAACTCACAATCACTAATGCAATTGAGCTAAGCACACGCTTAAAGGGTCTCCAAGACAGTATCTCAATGAACAAGCAAGCGCATTGTGGGTACGACAGAACTATTTGTCTCTTTCATGGAAAGGCCGCTTCACTAGGCTGAATGTGCTGCCATGTGTAAATACAAGCGCACTCAACTGCACTTGCAAGATATATATGATGTTTGCAAGATATATACGATAGTGCAGAAATCATTACTCGAGACTTTTTTAACGTTGCTTAGAAGAGCATTAAGATGGTCCTTAATTAAAATTGAACTTCCATATTGTAATAGTCAGCCACGGTCGTAAACGGTCGAGCCCTTCAGTTTTTGCCCATGTTCCCGAAATCGTATTTAATTGACTATTTTATTCAATTTTATAACTGTTTATTATCACAGACATGTCTTGTGTGTAAAACATATACATATTGTAAGTGTAAGATCAATTAAATGTATAATCTTAATATTTGTATTACAGATATATCTCTGTCCTTCGTGATGCAGTCAACAGCATTGACATATTTTAATCAGTGTATGATTTTATTACAACAAGTACGTGATTTGAAAAGTTATCACAATATTATATAATCAATGAGGGGATAACATACTGTTATTGACCCAGGAGGCTAAATTACTCTAGCTTGGATACACGTAGCGCCCAACGGGTGTAATAACAATCATGTTTGAAGGCGAGCTCCGAGCTCTGACTGTGACGTGAAGCTCTTACATAAGTTGACAAATATCACTGTAACAAAGAGCGGATCGCGTCTTTCCAATAAATACGACCTCGGGTTTGCACAACATTATGTTCATTTCGATATATATTCAACATGGAATTGCGACTTCGTATGGACATGAACTGGCGGAAGGTACACACATGAGAATCTACGAGAATCTACGAGGGACTTACGACGACGTTTTAAGGGAAAGACGATGCGGAGAGAATCATATGGAGTCAGCAGGTTGGGTATCCTTGGACCTTTGCGTGGTATAAACGTATATGGTTAAGTGACATAACTGTACACTACAAGTCAACCTAAATCGTCATAATTGGACAAGCAAAGGTTTTGTCTGCATTTCTCTTGGGCAAACTCTCTCCCGACACTGAAGCTACTGCGGTGCAACGGGCTGTACAAGTTCCTCGGTCACCCATCTGACAAGACAGTCAACAGTCTTCTCCTCAAAACAAGAGACTAGTTGGATTTGGTTTTGACGTTGAAATTGGAGCTGAAAGGCTACAAACTCTGACACCTTATATGTATTAACTTGTGTACCATGATCCTGTTATGGTGAAACGATATGGTCCGTTGAGTCAGTTGAGTGGACACGAGAAATTCAACGATGACATCAAGTCAATACACTTGAAATGTTGGTCTCTGCTGTGGAAGCACTAACCGTGAGGAAAAGTCAGAACAAAAAGACTGAACACAAAACGCAAGTTGGATAATGTACTGGGACACGGACGATCAAAACGAGCTAGTCTACCAGGAGATTATCAGTACGAACGTCGCGTGCTTAAACACCTGTTGAAGGGGGATGCAAAGGAAGGAGAAATATCACTGGTCGCCTGGGTTTATTAACAGTTATATCCATGTTATTATTTATTTCACACTCAATGTAAGGAACGGATCTGTTACATAAGTAGATATAATCTCCTTTTAGTTCCTCGCCCAGAAATGATTATCAGAGAACATCTTCACAGTCTGCAACATAACGCAGCTTATTGCTGAATTCGCCTTTACTTGTGATGTTAGGGAACTACTTCATATTTTTGGCTTTTGTGAAGTTCCACTCACTTTAATGCTTATTCTCACTCTAGTTTAAATCTTAAAATAGTCATAACTTTTGTAAGAATAAAAAAACTCCATTGTGAAACTTAGAAGAGGATAGCACAAAAACTAAGATAACGCATTTTGCATATATTTTGTTATATAGTCAAAACCTGTTTCATTATTAAACAATTCACTGAAAGTTCCAGGGCCCCTGCTATATGCACAATTCCCGACTTATTCAAAATGTTACTTCATCCATATCATCACAGCTGATATGCAAGGTATAGTTAAATGGTGGACACACCAGATATCGATCTACATGCCCGGAATTTACTTTACAGACATTCATCATCATTACACCTTAACTATCATTTCATCAGTTTCATCAGTGTATGTACCAACAAGATGACTAATATCAGCCAGCAGCTCAAAGTTCATCATACCAGGTACTAGATCACAAAGGGTGGCCACAGACGTGTTTCCGTCACATTTGTTTCTTTTTGGAACAGTCTCAGAAATTTCAACACTGAGCAGCGTCCGTCATTACTAAAACATTCTTCCTCCGGAAATGCCATGCCAGCTGCATTACTAATGTAATTTAGTCTGCAAGTGTGATCAAGGCGACCAGCATCTCCAGCACTGCACATGATTAAGTGCCATTATCTATTGGGTGTTTATATGTGGCGATTTGATATTAGGCATATTACATGTTGACTTCTTATTCTTCTATTTAGGTGAAGGGTTTTTTTCCCAGAAGGCTTTTTTACTACTCCTTGTCACTGGCCCGATTTCGACGAGACTTTAATTGAATAATGAGATTGTCGTACAGATGGCCAGATGTTGTAACCCTACAACCCTCCACTCTGTCCTACACCAGGAGGGAAGGTCAAGAGCGTGTACCAAGTACCCTGTGTTCCCCCACCTGTGTGTACATACATTGTATAATCTGTTTCACTGTTCTTCCTTTCTGACAGATGGCCCCTATGCTGTGACCCTACAACCCTCCACTCTGTCCTACACCAGGAAGGAACGTCAAGAGCGTGTACCAAGTATCCTGTGTTCTGCCACCTGCAGACCTGCGTGTACATCATACAAGTGGTTCAAGGATGGGACAGTCCACAGTGATGGAGCTACACTGACTCTCCCGGTGGCTGACAGGTCACAGACAGGATCCTACAAGTGCCAGGCTTCCAATACCCACGGGACTAATGACAGCTCAAGTGTCTCAGTGGATGTTACATGTGAGTTTTGTCTAACAGAAATCAGTGACTGCAGTATTAATTTTCTCTAAACTACTTGGTTGGAACTGGATTGCCGCACATCATAAGACAAATTGTCACATGTATGTTTCCAAATGCCATAAACATGCAATGATATATCATCTACGTAAATAAACGTTAATGGACTAATGCATGAAATATATATCGGGTTTGCCCGACAAAGAAATCACACATTAATACACACCAACCAAAGAATAGATAGATATAAACTTTACTTTTAAACAGATTCCAGTTTCATGACAAATATAAACAGGTCATATTAATGGAAGTTGTTATTTTAGCAAGGTTAGAAAATTACATCAGATTACTAATTTGGTTCGACATTGGATATGTAACATATTAAACTTTTCATTGGTTGAACATGTCGTGATTCTGTAGGGGAAACAATGCTGAATTAAGAATACATAAAACCTTCTTTATAGCCACTACACTTGCTCCTAGCTATACGGTGCATAGAGTCATGGTTTTGGACGGAAATACATCAAGAAAGAAATGTATTTCCAGGATGGTCCTAAGAATCAAGTATTTACTCCAGTACTGAAACTACATTCCTCCCAACACCTGGACGTAAAATACATTAATGAAATCCAATCATGGCAGTAAACATACTTTGATTTTATATACAAGGTGTATTTTTTCTTGAAACAATAATTATACCAGGAGGGTCGGTCTGGAAATTGGTATTGTTGTTATTATTATACACGCAACCCAGACAGTGAATGGGACTTTTCCTATGAAGCGCTGCCTAGTCAAACCCAACCAGAACTTTTCATTATTATCATTATTATGTACAGATCAAAATAAAAAAATGTAGCAAAAAAGGGTTTTGGTGATCCCGGCACAGTCAGGCTGGTTAGGCTCATCATCAGCTCAGGGCCCTTGCCCCCTCTACACGCAGCCCAGACAGCGAATGGGACTTCTCCAAGGAAGCGATGCCTCGTCCAATTCATTTGCGGAAGATGTGAGTTAGTCAGTGAGTGAGTTGGGTTTAACGCCGCTTTTAACATTATTCCAGTTCTATCACGGCATGTCAGCCTCTATGTAGGAGGAAAAACCCGAAGTGATGCAGGTCTCTGACGTTTACCACTTCGGCGAAACCCATGAGCATGGGTATGGTGCTGACAAACCTAGAAACATAATCGGGGCGAACCGGGATTCGAACCCATAATCATAGGTTTCTGACATGCCCAAGGGACGCAACTCTGCTCAGCGAATCGCGGCGCCTCAGACGACTGGGCCACCACTGCCCCCTCGGAGAATGTGAAGATAATGCAGCCTTGTGCATTATACAGATTGTCAGAAGGGCTATATTCTTGGCACCGGATATTCGGGTACTCCTCCAATGTCATACAACAGAGGTTTGGTACCTCCCAATCTGTTGAAAAGATCTGTCACCAAAGGCATAAAACGTGTTGGGAGGTACGGCAAGGAGGATTGTGTCAGCTGAACGAAGAACTCTCAGTTGATACAAAGTGATGAGAGCTTGATGATGTGGAGGGGAGATCTTGTGTACTGACTTGTATATAGGATTTCGTATTTTGAAGTGTATTCCATGTATACATTATGCCGATCAGTAAACAGCAATGGCGTATCTGATATACTAACTCATAGTTGTTGGAGGTGGCATCGTCTTAAACGACATAGTGGTGTCTCGGAGTTGGGCTACCCGTAGGTTTCTGTATAATGCTACACCATCTCCTGTTGCGTTCAGCTATATTTCCTCCTTACACATTGTCACATGTTACGTTAGGGATATAGCTGTTTTTTTTTACAAGTTTTGTTTTCTTTCTGCATCATTGACATCGGTCCAGCTGTAAGAATAATGTTAGGGGCTAATATGTAGCACATACTGATATTTCTGAAATACCTTTTATTATTGTTTATCTATTATTATTATTATTATTATTATTCTTTGTACATATTAACGAAGTAAGCGCTGCATGAATTGATAGTGTATACTTATATCACTTACGTATACATGAAGATTAACTCAGTTATTAATTTAATTAAACCTATATGTGTACTTGTTTATTCAGATGTCCCAGAGGTAACACAGGGCCCCACGTGTCAACCACACACAGTCTATGTAGGGCAGCCCAATGCTCAACTGATATGTCAAGTGACGGCAGCAAACCCACCAGTGACATCTTACATCTGGACACACAACGTTTCTCCTATCCCATCAGCAACAAGCAGAGAGTACAGCCTGAGTCCTGTCTCCAGGAGCAGTGGAGGAAGCTATACATGTGCTGGAAGGAACTCAGTGGGGACATCTAATGTGTCAGCTGTCACAGTGGAGGTGCAGTGTAAGTAACATGACTACACTACTGAAAGACAAGGATGTGTGTTTGTTGGGGAAGCTATACATGTGCTGGGAGGAACTCACTGGGGACATCTAGTGTGTCAGCTGTCACAGTGGAGGTGCAGTGTAAGTAACATGACTACACTACTGAAAGACAAGGATGTGTGTGTGTTGGGGAAGCTATACATGTGCTGGGAGGAACTCAGTGGGGACATCTAGTGTGTCAGCTGTCACAGTGGAGGCGCAGTGTAAGTAACATGACTACACTACTGAAAGACAAGGATGTGTGTGTGTTGGGGAAGCTATACATGTGCTGGAAGGAACTCACTGGGGACATCTAGTGGGTCAGCTGTCACAGTTGAGGTGCAGTGTATGTAACATGACTATACTACTGAAAGACAAGGATGTGTGTGTGTGTGTGCGAGCGTGTTTGTTGGGAAAACTACACATGTGCTGGGAGGAACTCAGTAGGGACGTCTAGTGTGTCAGCTGTCACAGTGGAGGTGCAGTGTAAGTAACATGGAACTAGCTAATCCATTTCGTGGCAAAATAAATATTAAATATAATCTATGTTGCAATACTTATGTGAATGTAAGCGTCATGAAAACATGTCCATAGATTACGTATAATTTGCATATATTGAAAACACCACGATAAAACAAATTGATGTCCCTGTTATATCCAATAATATGAAGTTAAACATTAAGTCAGTGTGTTGTTTGCTTTGTTAAGGGTATATGATAACTTTATATCTAATTTCAATTAGTCCACTTTCACTTCATGAACTATGGCTAACACTTTGGGTGGTGTTGACAGTTTGGATGTTTTTGGAGCACTAGCATCATATTTTACAATATATTTATTTTCGAAAACGTAACACAAATCAAATGATTGTTTCAGTTGGTTTGCTACCAAGCATTTATGGGGGAGATGAACGCAGACACCAGTGTGAACTGAGGGGGACATTGCTAAACCCATGTAACTTTAGAATGAAGATCTGTAATTGCTTCCAGATAAACCTTCAGTGTCAGTTCCCCAGTCTACACCTGTCAGGGAGTCACAGACTCTCAACATATCCTGCTCTGTGGATGCCAACCCAGCAGCAGCCGTGAGATGGACAAAGAAAGATGACAGCAGCTTTACTCCTCAGGCTGGATCTACTCTGACAATCAGTAACATACAGAGATCCCAGGCAGGGACATATGTGTGTACAGCTACCAACACCCTCAGTCCTTGTGAGGGGACAGCTTTACCACGCTCTGAATCTAGGGAGATGACAGTGGATGTACAGTGTAAGTATCATTGTAAGAATACTGGACATATGTGTGTACAGCTACCAACACCCTCATTCCTTGTGGGGGGACAGCTTTACCACGCTCTGAGTCTAGGGAGATGACAGTGGATGTACAGTGTAAGTACCATTGTTAGAATACTGGACATATGTGTGTACAGCTACCAACACCCTCAGACCATAAGTGATGACGTCTTTACCACGCTATGAGTCTTGGGCAATGACAGTGGATGTACAGTATAAGTATAATATTTTAGAAGTTTGGCCATGTGTGTGTGTACACATATCAGTACCCTCGGTTCCTGTGGTTGGTGGAATATTATTAATATCTCCATACCAGAGAAAATGCAATATCTGATTATGTAAAGTTGACAAGTATGCTTTACAACATCAGTACAGAAACTATTTTCAGGATCTTAATAGATCAGGATATTAACTTTGCCTCCGTTACATGCACGCAGGTTGACGAAGGCTGAGCATCCAAGTACTATGGCTGGCTATGTAATATACAGATAATAATGTGCAACATGAAATTCCTGATAGAAACAGTATCATTGTTGTGTTAGCTATGTTGTCTGTGATGTCCAGTATCAGTTTCTAATGACAGTCAATGCATGATCTGGGTGTCACACACTAGTACTGGGAAATCCTTGCAACATGACTAAAATATACTCTCCCTGTCCATACTTAAATATGTAACTACATGAAATGAGATACAAATGATAGATAACTTGTAAAACACACTCATAAAAGTCTTTTTTCCTGATCATATGTGCCTGACCCTGTTAAATCCGATGTACACATAATGTCCTGTTTAGCGTTTTTGGTTATATTTTCAGATCATGCCAGCATAAGTATGTTCACCGCTAACTCTCGCACAGGTTCAGTGACAGTTAATGAGTCTGATGAAGTAACCTTGACATGCCAGTTAGATAGTGCTGGTAATCCAAGGTCAGTCATCAGATTACTGAATGGAACTGAGGAGTTGACAAGGGCAGATAACTCCCTCACATCAGAATATAGACTGGAGTCAGCAGACTGTAGACAAAGAGGGAACTACTCCTGTACTGCCACTAACAACATCGGGGCACCTGTCAGCCAGAGGGTGGAGTTGCTAGTCAAATGTGAGTAATCTCTTGTCCAGTGTAGTAGCAGAAGTAGTGATAGTTATTGTTGTTGTATTAGTGAAGTAGTAGTAGTAGGGGTAGAATAAGAAGAATACGGAGTGGCAATAACATTTTTAAAGGTATAGCCGCTTTGAAATAAACACTACTTTTCTTTACTTTCCTTATGACAAGATATATCTGGTGTCGTTACACATAGTAATTTTAATACTATGCTCAATTCAATTGTATATGTAGCGTATACACTCGATAGATGAGACAGTTGCAACGTGGGTGTTTACTTAAAGAATGTTTTCCATGACTAGATCAGACACGTGTACAGCAATGAGGTAGCATTGTCCACCAAATACTGTGGTGTTAATCTTTCCTTGAGTCATTGAGGAATGTTTTGCACTAGGTTCTCCTCGACTGGATGAGACAGTTTCCCAGCAACTTAAGTATGCTGCTAAACTGGGTGTTAACTTGAATGTGTCTGTGTCGGTCCTGGCCTACCCCATTCCTTCATTCTCCTGGAGTAGATCCACCAGCACCAGCCAGGACCTCACTGGTTCCTCCAGCCCTGTCTCCGACATATTAGTCACTGCCACACTACACCTTATTGACCTCCAACAGCAGGACTTTGGGAACTACAATCTTACAGTGAGCAATGGTGTAGGCGTGTCAGTGGCATACATACTCAGCATAGTGTCTGTAGGTGAGTTCCCAATTTCTGATTTCTGATTTATCATTCAAGCTTTTAGGATTAACCTTTTCTTATATTTGAATAACTATTTGTTGTATGCTCATTTTAGGTTCATTGTGGTTTTACAAATAATGAACTTAACATTTCAACATTCTCAAATGAAAGTCTGATAACACTCGTTTTCTTATTTTTTTTGTTAAGGGCCACCACAGACACCTTCACAGTTTAGAGATCTGGATAATGCAACAACGTCGTCGGTATGGTTATCGTGGCTGCCTGGTTTCAATGGTGGTCACCCTCAGACGTTTCTGATTGAGTTTCGTCAGTTTGCTACAAGAACATGGACTGTGTATAATTCTTATGATGACACTGGCGCGATGATGGTGGTGGTGGAAGTGACTGGGCTTACACCGGGAGATATTTACCCATTCCGACTACATGCTAGAAATGACTATGGGGATTCTAACAGATATGTATTTGTAGAAACAAGGACTGCTGGAGGTATGTGTTCCTCAAGTACTCACATTGTTTAATCAACCCATCAGTTATATCTAATTGCCAACTCATCAACTTCAGCGCCAAATAGAATTCTGATATGAACATACGTAGTCTTTGTAATTGTACTGTTTGGTTACTTATCCAGTCAAAACATGTGTAGACTTTGGATGTTTACTATTTTTGACTTATCCATTCAAAATAATTATTCTTTTTTTTCTCTGGATAGTTTTTTTTATATTTTTACAAACTTGTGTGGACAATGCAGAGTAATGTGTCTCCAAAATAAGTGATGACATGCTAACAAATAGTATTATTTAAAATGGTGTGAAATGTTATCCAGTATCCTGTTTGGATATAGACCAAAAAAATTGTGCAAGTACAAGCAATGAATATTCTAATGTATCATTTTCTTTACATCAAATGAAGATTTCAAGAAATATTTGCATTCAAAGAAAACATGTGTATCTAAGTTAAAGCGAATTAGTCGGTATATGTTGTGCGTTTGGCAATATTAACAAAACCCGAAATCAGCTTGAGAATCGAACCGAGGTATTCTGTGTGGTTACCCGCCGCTTAGACGCAAGTCTACTAACCTCTTAGACACCTTTTCACCTGAATACAGTGATGTACGATAAGCAGTCGTCTGTTATGTCTGATATGTTGTGTATATTGCAGATCCACCTACTCAGCAAAAACTCGAAACTCCATGTTCGTATACAGGGGTAATAGCAGGATCCACAGTAGGAGGCATTCTTCTTACCTTGCTCATTGGAGGAATTTTTCTGATGGTTCTGTACATGAAGGGACGCAAGTTCGGCAATAGACTAAACGGTACATAGTTAACGTTCTGCTGTAAAATGATTAAATATTGATTAGAGTGAACGGACATATTAAAAAAACGATGTTCTTATGACATTGAGGAATATGTTTGAAAGAAATATTGTCAGGGGTTCTTATTTTAAAAGAATAATTCGGCATAAAAAATGAAAAAGGACGCAGTTGTACAAGCAAATAATTTTGTTAAAAGATGTTTATCCCAGTCGTTCCCAGTTTACTTAATCCTTCTCTCTTGGGATTTCATTAATGATTAAAGTGACTAGTTGGCATGTGTGATATGTGTTGTACACTATATACAATGTGGCTCTTTTTTTCAGGAAATGCATCACGAAAAAGGTAGTATAAATGTCAAGATTAAATACGTGTATAACAATGTATGGAACTTGTGAATTTACGATGAAGGTAAAGGTAGATATAAAGATAACTAAAAACATGTATTAAATACTGAAGTTTGTCGCTCCATTCTACTATGTATTGTTAGAAACCGACCTTGTTAATTTTGCAGCAACAGGAATCCAGAAACTGTTGAACTTGACAACAGAGGATATTCATCATTAGGTAAGTACTGGTTATTTTTTTATATATATTTATCTGTTTGGGGAGGGAGAGGGGGAGGGGGATTTTCCCTTTCGTTGATATTACTATTATGTCTGGACCTGTGTAGCACTGAAATCATTACTATGTTCTCACATTTATTTATTTCAGATCAGATAAATGGTCCAGCTCAGTATTCAAATTTGGAGTTGGAATCAGAAAAACAACAGTACTCACAGCTGAAGATTTATGAGAATACAAAAGGTAAATGCTGACGTTGGCATTTTCCCCAGCTCTGTTGAATTTCACGTATTTAAGAGTAGGTACTGTCACAATATTGGAATGATAATAAGAAGAAGGGAGTTATAATTTGGACATGCTTTTGAAACACATAATTAATGATATCAGATTTATGAGAATACAAAAGGTGGATATGGAATTTGTCATTTTGCTCAATATTGTTTAATTTTAAGTACTCCAGTGAAGGTAATATTAAAGTGCTACTAAGATGAAGTGAGTTATGATTTGGATTTGTTGTTGACTACATAATGAATTAAAACTTCAGCGGATGCTGCAGCAGATACAAGTACCTATGAAGGCATGACAGAGACTCCCCCAGTGACCTATGAGTCCATCAGAGCATCTCCATACCAGAACACTGGGGCACAATCTCAAGGTAACCAAAACATGAAACGCTCTACTTGCTGATTGAAATCCTATGTCACTGTGGATCATGTCGGCATGAACGTTTTGAGAGAATTTAGCACAACCATATGCTTTATTGTGTGATCCAAGTAAATACACAGTCTTTTCACTCTAGTGTGCTTTGATATAAAATCTGTCATATTCTACATTTAGTTACCTGTAGTTCTGTATTCTTCAGGTCCTGACAATGGAAATACGTGAAGAAGCATGGGGGTACACACCAGTTTCAGTTACAAGCCAAGAAACACTTTCAGCGCATTGCATTCCTTTACTTGGGATCGGCCAGTTTTACTGAACAAGCATGCATTCACCTAAAAGTCAACACCATGCCAGGATCATATACTAATATAATCATTCTGACAGATCTGTGTATACTGAGATGCTAAGGAGAAATATAACGTCATGTTTAGCCTATTACATTTATTTAGCGACGTGAATGCACATGTGTGCGTGTGGCTGCTTGTTCTGGTTCGAACTAATGCCAGTTTCATAATGCTAGCCCACTGAGATACTATAGTTTAACATGGATAGCAAACTCAGACACACTTTACGGAATTCGTGCAAACCAGTCTTTGCTTTATCCCAGATATACCGAAGGCCACGCATTTACATAAGTGATATTGTATAACACACATCACACTATGATGTTCACATCGTTAAAACGTTACAATGCTCTTTTCCAGTCAATATACACTGCATATTGCTAATGTTGTGGCTTTCTGCAGTAGTCCGAACACATCTTTCAGATTTACTATTTAATATTGTGCATCCCTTGCAATTGCAATTGACGGTTTGTCAAGAGCTGCTTTGGTTGCCACATTGGCTTTTGAGTTAACTGCACTGCCTACATGACTTAGCAGCCAGCATAAGACGATGTCACATTGGCCACAAGAAAAACAATAATTGTAAAGTTCTAAATGGATTCGCGGAGACACTTTTTAGTGTCTGAAGGCATGACAGTGAACCTGGAAAGGTGATGAAATATCTACATTGGTTTTGTTGTTACATACGGGTCTCCATTTAGTAGAGGATGAATACCTTTTTTGTATGTATGAACTATACTCATGTGAGAAGTAGTTTTCCTACCTCAATACAGATTATTATAGAGGAAGAATTACGTTTGCAAATCTGTTTAACTCATGTGATGTTTATGTTTTACGATTGATAGCTTTATGTTTATGCGAATTGTTTAAACAAGACCGGGTAAGCCCTACCACGTTGGACATCTGATCTTAATAAAATTTATCTTTCAATTCCACCACGGGCCAGTTGTCCTGAATTTACAAAATATACTTGATGAACTTTACTTACTTGACTTGCAGATAATATGTTCCACAAACACCTTAACTACTTTTATATTTCAGGGAGGGATATTGTTTCATGTCCGGACTTCTTGTATATTTCGTAGGTTGAGAATTGAAATCCTTTCGTATGAAGATATTCTATATTGTCCATCACATAAAACTTCCCGTTTGAGATAAAAGCAATGGTGTAACTCAATTGTTTGTGGATATCATATAGAAATATTGTGTGACTACTTTACTTAAATTCAAGGAAATTATGTACATTATCGTTTTGTAGCGGCGGGCTATATTGCGACAAATGCTTATGTTATTTTATGTTATGTTGTAACTTCTTCATGTCAATCTCACCATCCACCCCTCCCTCACTTATTCACTCACTCATTCACTCACCCAATAACTTGTGGCACTATGCTCAGTGGATAAGAGCGGTGTCACAGTATGTGACAGGGCGGACTTTTCAAACGTTGTTTTTTTGTCAAGCAGATGCAATATAGGATTAAGATGTGGGAGAAACTTCAGTTCAACCTTATACATGTGCAATTGATTATTGTGAGTTAAAGGCTTGTCTTTCACACGAGGTAACCATCAGACAGAATGGAATACATTCTGGGTACATCGAACTGTCAGGGTCTATGTAGTTACCTGTGTGAAATCGATTGTCACAACTCAATCGAATGTCCCTTTTATCAAAATGCAAGGACAATAATATTTAGTAGGATCACTGAAATGTGTCAAGTCAAACTGGTCACTGATGTGTCAATATCGTTAAATGGGAGCTATCATCTCAGCTACAACGTACAGTTATTTGACTCTGTCCATAAGTATATCAACCACACTATAATAGATTTACGTAAATGTAAAACACCGTACCCGTTGCTGTGCTTATATATGTTTCTATATACTATGTCTTTGGTACTTTTGTCAATGTTGCTACTTTATAACGGTAACCATGTGCATGTTTCGGAGAGGTCTGCATACGTTGTGAAAACTTGTGCCAAATCCTTTTCCTTTTAAATAAAATAATTTTGAATGGAAATGTCCGTCTTTGTTGACAAAATGTTTAAACCGCCAGTTACAACTTCCAGCACCCAAATCGGCTTCCACTTTATGTTCTAAACATTACATTCCTCTGCCACATACAACTATGACTGGCGCAGGTTGTAAGAGTACTGGATTTATGACACTAGACTTCACATAGTTAGCTAGAGTTTGAGTAGCAGCGTCTATTGGCATAAGGCAGTATAGTCTTGAAGGAAGGGTGGACTATAATCGAGTAACTGCAACCTATGGTGTAAGTGTAAATGATTTTGCCTGTTTGATTTCTTACTTCAGTAATCCCCTTCAGCACATTAACACATTGAAATGTTATAAGTTACCACAGTTATGATTGGCTGAATGTAATAACATATTATGTGCTAATGTAACCAAACAACGGAACTGAATACCCTGTTCGGGTGGATTGCACAAAATGCGATGTTTAACCATGCGTTGAAGTACTCGTCGACTAATCTTTACGTATGGGAATAATACAGTCTGTGTTGCTTCATGCAATAGTTGCGGTTTGGTTTTTTGTCCTCGTTACATTCCGTCAAACAAATATCTCGTCGTATATTCCCCCGTGTGTTAATGAAATGATCCGACTCAATAATGTCAATTCACTTCATGGCCGGAGCCTTGAGTACAAAGCTATAATTTGACATCCAGTCTAGCGTACGTCTCACGCTCATGTGATCAAAGCATGCCAATTTCTGTTTCTCACATTTACTCCATTAAGCCGTATAAAGTATAGGTTAATGAATAAATACACCAAAAGGTTTAACAAACCTACTATCTTACATGCATAGTAATTGATTACATATATAATTTTCTTGTAAGTAATCAAAGGAATTACAAGTACTTAAAATTAATTGGATGTAAACAAGAAAAAGAAGAAAAAGTAAATATAATGGTTTCATTTTTATTCAAATAACAAATATTGCTAAGTGAGATTTATGTAAGAATAAGTACTTTAACTTTTGGCTCAATAAGGTCACAATCAGCGACACGGAAGTCATATCAGATACATGTCAACTACAATAGTGTAGTCAATTAACTTGTACATGGGTCATTGAAGCAATATGTCTTTGTTTTAATATCTCACAAATATGAAATGTGATATTCAAGGATCGCTTAACTGCAATAACATTCTGAACGCTTCGTATGCACCTGCTGACGTCACACCATGTGGGTGCAGTAGAGAATACGTCTTCATTGACGCCGCCCTTGTGACAAATGTCAGAATGTGGATAATGAAAACAAAACGATAAGCAAAAGAATACATATTCGAAAATGAATTGTACAAGTTATCTATAGTAATATTTCGTTTACACGTGGCCTTAATTCATTCTCGTATACACAAGATGAAAGAATCAGTTGCAGTTAATGTTTTACTGTGCATCGAAGCGATGCTTCTCTTTAAATTTTCTCCTTGAGAAACGAATACAACTGGTAGTGCATATCGTGCGAAACATAAACAGGTAACATTGTATAGCACTAGGGTGGCGATGTGTCACCTAGGTTGACGCCAGAATTCTCAAGATCCGAGGCTTACCCAACCATGTTGTCTTCTTTGTATATCATGTCTGAACTTAAGCATACGACATATGTATATCAACGAAAGGAAAAAGAAACCGTGTTTCATATAAAGTTTATTATATAAGTCTAATTATTTATTCTTAAATTAGATCATTTAACTTTCAATGTATATTCATAGAGACATCAGTGCGACTTAAAGGTTGTGATTCAAAACTTGCACGTGCATGCACGTTGCACCATTAGTAATGATTGGGTGTTTGTTGGGAGCATGAAGCTCACATACGTGTTTTTTTAATGTGAACAGCAGACAGTGAAAGTTGAGCTATGAGGTGCTCATCAAAACAGTTTTGTTTAACCGTAAATAACGCTTACGCAGTGCCAGGGTATGCCGTGCTATGCTACACACAGGAACGGAGCAAAACGAAGTTGCCAGACATCTTAATGTTCATGAAAACACAATATCATGTCTATGGAAACCTGCACGGGTCAGTTTTCTTTATGTGACGTCACAACAACAAGACAACAATATTCAGTTGGTGTATCTACGGAATCCACACCAAACTGCCCTATTAAGATCTCGGAAAGTTCCTAGGTTTAGATTAATTATTGGCAGAACTGTACGCAACCTGTTGAGGAGACACAGCATCCGGCCTCGATGTCCAGCATTATGGTCAATTGTGTACCCGGATCGCCTTCAGGCACGCTCAGTGAAGACATTATATGATGTTCAGAAGACAAGGCAGTATTTTGTTCATCTAGGAGTTTAAGTTTCATCTGGACAGCTCTGATGGTCGTGTTGGGGTCTACAGGAGTCCAGAAGAACGTTACTCAAATACATCAGTTTGGTGTGGAAGTGTTATGGCATGGGGTGGCATCACATCTCATGGGAGAACAAAACAAATTATTGTTAATGGTAATTTAAATGACGCACGCTACCGGAACGACATCCTGAGATCATGTTCTACCCATTGTGCAATGCAGGGAGGTAACGTCAAGTTACAATATGTAGGTGTTGTAAAAAGACTTTTCGGCGTAGCATAACATTGCTGTACTGCCGTTGCCGGCTGTTTCTGCAGGCCTCTCCCCATAGAACATGTTTGAGATGAAATAAAGCCTACCACAGGATTAGAACCAGAACCAGACGGTAATGCTAGCTCAGTTGGATCAATCCTTGGTTGACATGAGGCTGTTTTCAATCATCTGTGATGCTTAAATTTAGGGACAGATCCTATGCTACAGGGTATATATGCATTGTGTTCAACATTATTCATTCTTTGATACAGGTCTATCGTCACAAAATCTTTAACACCTAGGACAATCAAAATGAAATTAATGCAATCTAAATAAATAGTCAAAAATGAATTATGTAAGGTAGTCAAAGAATTATGTGGGTTACTCATACTGATAAATAATTCCTTTAGACACACAACCAAACCCAGAGAGAGATAAGAAATTCAGTATCAATAGTGATTAAAATATTACGTATTACGTACCATCGACAAACTCACTCACTCACTCACTCACTCACTCACTCGCTCGCTCGCTCACTCACTCACTCACTCACTCACACACTCACTCACTCACTCACTCACTCACTCACTCACTCACTCACTCACTCACTCACTCACTCACTCACTCACCAAAACACACCCACCCACTCACTCACTCACTCACTCACTCACTCACTCACACTCATTAACTCACTCACTCGCTCACTCGTATCAACATTTCTTGTTAGCGTTAACAAGTTCACCATTCATGTTATTCTATCTCCCCACGGTTGTTGTGGTAGATCGCGTTACGACTGCGAACAGGAAGTAATATAACAAGTGTCCTCAGCTGACTTCCAAACACTGCAGTACACAGTCACCCAGTGACATGTCGGGTACGTGTTTTTGTTGTTGTTCCAACTGACTTCAGTCACGTTAGCCAGCTGGTGATATAGTATTCATGCTGTTTTTTAATCACATTCGGATCTCATAACACAACTTTGAAAGGTTGATATTTATCCCTGCGCTGCGCTGTTGTGACGCCATTTTAGACAGAATGTATACAGTTGTGGTTTTGTGACCTAGTTTGCTTCAGTAAGATTCCTTTTGCACCCTAATAGATATCCCTGTGTTTACACCAGCACCCACAACTACGCAGAGCTACAGTCTTCACACAGCTTGTTTGTTTGTTGAAATACTGTTAAACACTGTAAGTGGGATATCTACTGTATATCTTGTATATGAACACTGTACAGTATCTGTTGTACATAACCAATTCATAGATACATTGGATATTTCAGTGTGAGTTGCCAATACTATTCTCATTTGAATGGTCAGAGAATATTAATTACTACTTTCGTCAGAGTAATGTTTTGCTGAGAATGGTGTTAAACACCTCTTCAGGACAGAGCCATGTCAACATAAACAAACTGTCATAGTTTGGAAACAGTAATTTTGTTTTTAATATAAAAAAATACGTTGAAAGCAAATCCAAACACGTGATTTTACGCGCAATTCATCATTGATTACGTGACCGAGACACTGGTGTTGACAGTATACACGTAATTGTCGACATAATGTCATGTGACGTCAAATGAGTTATTGTTGACAAAATGTACATTTCGACACATAAAGTTGACACATTTGTTCCAATAAAGAAACAGTATTATTTTGAAGTTGTATACTAAAACTTTTGTGTGTTTCATACTGCTGTCACACACACTTGTAAGGACGACATTCACAGCCATGTTATAGTGTTTAGTAATATTATATTACATAACAAGTTGCGCCGATTTTTTTGCAGATAAAGGTTTATGCAATTTTGGTATGAACAGCAGCATCTACATTATTAGATTTTCTTTATCGCTTTCCTACAATTACCTATCACTTTTAATTTCCTTCTCTTGTTCTATGAATTACTTTTGTTACATTAATTTATGAATCATCGATTGAATTGTTACACAATCATCTCATTAATCCCCTACCAGGCATGTCGGACAACATGTCTGTGTGTTCCTTGCTGCTGGCGGTGCTGCACTTGTGTTCAGGTGAGTGACTGCACATACGATTGGTATACTGGCACAGTATATTGGCTCAATCATTTTATTACCGTCTTCGACATGCTTGTAGTTTTGACACAGAGGTCCATCCAAGGTGCCACCCAGAATATGGAGAAGGCGTACCAAATATTTTGGACTAGGACCGTATACAGCATCAGACATATCCAGAGCAACAAACCTGATCTTGTCCTTTTTGATAAATCCAATGAAATCATCCATATCATTGAACGTTCTAATGTGGTTGACATAACTCAGGAAAAGGCATGGCACATATGCGGACATCACAATCGAATTGTTACGTTTGTATCCCAAGTACCAAGTTGTCCGACTCCCTATTGTTCTTGATGCCTTATGCACTAGCATAACCTTTGCATTTAAACAGGCAGGATGTGCCTTACTGTGCTTTTGTGGTGAGTCAACAGCTCGTACATAAGTAGGCAACAACTGTGGAGGGGAAGGAGTGAGTGAATACGATTTCATTGTCGCACCGGCAATGACACTTCCAATAATGCGAATTAAACGTTGTAATATGCTTCAACACATATCGGTACCCATCGTGTGAGTTTAGATCGAAAGTTCTTTAACAACTCGAAAATAGGTAATCATCAATTCCCCTACGTTTTTGGTATGTTTTAAGTTCCATGTTATTCATCTCTACCAAACTGACTTAGACGTCAACTCTGCTATCAACTGTCAGTGCACTTTCAGGAATGTCAGTCAATCTCAGTGGATCTGCCTCCTATGCAGTGTTGGACCAGGCGTTTCAGTTCACATGTACAGTCACAGATGATTCTTCTACAATGGGGTTTGTGACATTCTCAGTGTCTGGCAGCACACTAGACTGTGCTGTCCTTTTGTCATCATGTACACAGTTCACACCAGTGGAAGGCTTCACCTGTGGCTGTGTGAGTGGACAGAGAGGAGTGTACTACCTGAACATCACAAGTGTCAGTCTGATGGATGATGGCAGATGGGAGTGTCGGAGAATACAGTTTAGTGACTCAAAGACATTGCCAGTATACTGTAAGTATAACACAGTCGTGAGTGTTAATGTGAGTGATGTGTAGAATATTGACGACCCCAGACATCCATGACACTGCCTGTACAATGTAAGTATAACATAGTCGTGACTGGTTATGTGAGTGATGTGTACAACATGGACATCCCAAGACCTCCATGTCATTGCCTGTACACTGTAAGTATAACACAGTCGTAAGTGTTAATGTGAGTGATGTGTACAACATGGACATCCCCAGTCCTCCATGACACTGCCTGTATACTGTAAGTATAACGCAGTCGTGAGTGTTAATTTGAGTGATGTGTAGAACATGGACATCCCAAGACCTCCATGACAACCCCTGTATACTGTAAGTGTTACTGTGAGTGATGTGTACAACATGGACATCCCAAGACCTCCATGACACTGCCTGTATACTGTAAGTGTTAATGTGAGTGATGTGTACAACATGGACATCCCCAGACCTCCATGACACTGTCTGTATAGTGTAAGTATAACACAGTCGTTAGTGTTAATGTGAGTGATGTGTACAACATGGACATCCCCAGACCTCCATGACACTGTCTGTATAGTGTAAGTATAACACAGTCGTTAGTGTTAATGTGAGTGATGTGTACAACATGGACATCCCCAGACCTCCATGACACTGCCTGTATACTGTAAGTGTTAATGTGAGTGATGTGTACAACATGGACATCCCCAGACCTCCATGACACTGTCTGTATACTGTAAGTATAACACAGTCGTGAGGGTTAATGTGAGTGATGTGTACAACATGGACATCCCCAGACCTCCATGACACTGCCTGTATAGTGTAAGTATAACACAGTCGTGAGTGTTAATGTGAGTGATGTGTACAACATGGATATCCCCAGGCCTCCATGACACTGCCTGTATACTGTAAGTGTTGATGTAAGTGATGTGTACAACATGGACATCCCTGGACCTCCATGACAACCCCTGTATACTGTAAGTGTTAATGTGAGTGATGTGTACAACATGGACGTTCCCAGACCTCCATGACACTGCCTGTACAATGTAAGTATAACACAGTCGTGAGTGTTAATGTGAGTGATGTGTACAACATGGACATCCCTAGACCTCAATGACAATCCCTGTATACTGTAACTATTATACACACTATATATATTAAGTCGCATTAAGTGGCAGTGTGAGAGCACTTCATAATAATTAACAGTGATAACAATTGAACAATACTTCATGATCATAACAAACATCACGGATCATGATAAAAGACTTTGTCAGAAACAACTGCCAGTATATAGTGTGCATTATTCATTTGTAAAGAACATAAGGTGAAGGTACAGGAATGTGTTAATTATGTAAAAGTAGCGAGCATTAATGTTGTTCACAGAGGCTTAAGCTAATTCCACAACATGTGTCCTTAAATAAGTCAGATATTCATTTGAAATTATTGTTTGTTTCATGTTATCGTGCTGAAACATCAGTTAACATGCTGTCAGACAATATCAGCGTCTTTAACTATATTTCATTTTACCAATGACTGTAAAGTGCAGACTCTTGTTTACACAGTGGTCAATCACTTACACAGTCAATGCTCGTTCATGTGCATTTAGTAAACAGTCACTAACCAATCTCAAATCAGTTAACAATTACTGTGAAAAGTAAATATCCCTTCACAACTGCATTGTATGATTAACTGATCCTTAGACCAATTCCATAAGGACGAGAACTCAAAATAGAAAAACAAGAAATGTGGTTTCAGGGGGATACTGAATTCTATAATCAGAGAGTAATGATTTGTTGTAAAGCAGTTATTAATTTCCCAAAACCTTTACCACAACAGATGGGCCATTCAACAACATGACACTCGACAAGTCATCCCCTCAGATAGTGACAGAAGCTGTCACCCCTTCCCTCACAGTTGCCTGCTCCGCTATATGTAAACCCTGCAGGTACACCTGGAAGAAAGGCACACAGACAGTCTCCAGCAGTAGGACACTCAGTCTTACCAGCATCACCAGGAACCAGGCAGGAGACTATATCTGTACTGCTGTCAACACGGCCACTGGGGTGACTTCCAGTGCTCCAACACTTACAGTCACAGTGTATTGTAAGTGAACTAGGAGGAAAGTTAACAGAGATAATATCATTAGAAAGACTTCATTTGAAACATGTGACTTAAAAAGCCGTGTATAGCAATTGTGTCGAACCGCTGTCACGTATATAGTGTCATATTTAGATAATAGCCATGTACTATGAGGAATTAGACACAATCACTCCAATGCAATTAACAGACAGTTTTTTCACTCAATATTTGTACCCTCATACATGAAATTTAAAAAGTGTAATTTTATCAATCAAGAGGTAGCATCCTCAGGCTGTCGGCCACACAAAGTGTATGTCGGTCGACAGCTGATATCTGTTCATATACTCTACTTCATATGTACACAGATGCACCTGATGTCAACCTAGAGGCAAGATGCGACCATACAAAGTGTATGTCGGTCAACAGCTGATATCTGTTCATATACTCTACTTCATCTGTACACAGATGCACCTGATGTCAACCTAGAGGCACGATGTCGACCATACAGAGTGTATGTCGGTCAACAGAATGTCCAACTGACATGTCAAGTGACGGCAGCTAACCCGACAGTGACGTCATACAGCTGGGCAAGAGATGGATCCAGTATCCCGTCAGCAACAAGCAGCATGTACAGCCTGAGTCCTGTCACCAGGGGCAGTGCAGGGAACTACACGTGTGCTGCCAGGAACTCAGTGGGCACATCAAGTTTTTCACGGATTGGTGTTGATGTACAGTGTGAGAAATTCCACTTTTAATTATTCTTAAAACAGCATCCAAATGTCCAAAAATCAGAACGTCGAGTTCTTAGTCTAAATTGCTTTTAAACATGGTTAAATTACGGATGCAAGCTTCTTGACTAGTCAGCGATGAGTAGAGTTTTCAATAATGACGAATGCCTGTATGTCCAGTAAATGTTTGAACCTGTGCGTCTTTTTAATTCCTCTTTTGATTGACAATTCATCTTTCAATGCCCTGTTCAGCCAGGGAATTGCTAATTGCTAATAAATCCTTATGAAACATGTTTTTCATATGTTGTAACAATCTGAATCGAGATTGTAACCTACATTTGATAAAACACGTTTCGTTAGAAACACAGAAGACGCGTGTTGACCACATGTATTTGTATCTTGAGAATTAAATAGAATGAATATTCACATTCCTGTAGCCTGTTTGATTCTTCCAACAGTGTCATTTATTTATTTATCAGAATAGTGTCAATTTCTTACTCAAGTTTACAGTGTATGTTACTTTATAATTTTCAGACCCACCCAATGTCTCAGTTCCCAGCTCCCAAACTGTGATCGAGACACAGACCCTGACTGTGACCTGCTCTGTGGACTCCAAACCTGCAGCAGCTGTGAGATGGACAAAGAAAGATGACAGCAGCTTTACTCCTCAGACTGGATCTACTCTGACCATCAGTAACATACAGAGATCACAGGCAGGGACATATGTGTGCACAGCTACCAACACCCTCAGTCCTTGTGGGGGGACAACTTTACCACGCTCTGAGTCTAGGGAGATGACAGTGGATGTGCAGTGTAAGTGTCATTGTTAGAATACTGGACATATGTGTGTACAGCTACCAACACCCTCAGTCCTTGTGGGGGAACAGCTTTGGCATGCTCTGAGTCTAGGGAGATGACAGTGGATGTACAGTGTAAGTATCATTGTTAGAATACTGGACACATGTGTGTACAGCAACCAACACCGCAAGTCCTTGTGTGTGTGTGGGGGGGGGGGGGGGGGGGGGGCAGCTTTGGCATGCTCTGAGCCTAGGGAGATGACAGTAGATGTGCAGTGTAAGTATCATTGTTAGAATACTGGACATATGTGTGCAGAGCTATCAACACCCCCAACCCTTGTGGGGGACATCTGTAATGAGATCTGACTCTGTGGAAGTGACAGTAGATCTGCAATAAGAAAGTGTTTGAATAATGCATGTACTTTCTTAGTCACCATACTTATTGATGTTTCGACACACTTTGAAGGGTATATGTTATTCAGTGTGTTGTCAGTGTCACCATATGTCTTCACACTTACTGTCGATTTAATTATTGTAGGTAAAATTGAGTTTTTATCCAATACTTATATCAACGTGCATGCAAACCATATAATTAGACTTGTGCATAGCATCGACATCATAACCTTGCATTTAAGATTGAGGTAGTTGGACTTTCGAAAAGAGTTTCGTTTGGATTGAGCATCCAAATGATGATTATTATTCTCCGATTATGTTTCAAAATCTGGACCAGATTTGATATGGGGCTTAAAGCATGGCAGTGTGTATTTTGGAAAATGCATTTGCGCTTGAATAAGTTTAGCAATAAACATACTTGTACTTGTCCAGACGGCCCATCCATGTCAGGAGTTCCATCCACGTCCCCTGTGACAGAGACAACAGCACTACGCATCAACTGCAACAGCTACACCGTCCACGGCAACCCCACTATTACAAACTACAGGTGGACAGGACCAGGCTACAGTTCTAGTGGCCCTGTCCTCAACATCACCAGCATCATCAGGACCGCATCAGGTGTCTACAACTGTACAGCATCCAACACTCTCACACCAACAGGCGGACAACCACAAACAGGGTCAGCCATTGGGCAGTTCAACGTTGATGTGCAGTGTGAGTAGCAGTGTTTGTCCAAATGGAGAGATCCGTTCCGGCAGTCAGCAATGAGAGAACACTTACATTTATGAACATATTACGTTACTGGATCAGGTTTTATTTTTGTTAATGTTAATGTTTTCTGTTGGCATACGTTTTTAATCGTATCAGGTTGCTGCAATCGCTTGCTGCTTGTTTCATCTAGAGAAGATAAATTTGCCGATTTGAAATAAAAAATGTCCACTAAGAAAAATATGCCAGTACAACTGTGAAGTATTTTTGTGATTGTATATTCACTTGCAAAAAGTTATGCATAATATTCCCTTTAAACAGTGCTGCTTTCAAATGAATATATATATATATAAGAACGCTGTGCAAGTGCTAAGCAACCGTGCATTTGTTGTTTGCATTTACGTTTGAGATAAAGAGGAAGATGAGCTTAAGGTTGAACTGACTGACTGCTTATTGTGTCAGGATAGCATGCTCATTCAGTAATTTGTTAAGAGGAATACACCAATGGATAAGTTCACTTAAAAACACACAATATCAGCATGATGCTAAGGCGTTTGCTGGTCACGCCGAAGACCAAGTTTCGATTCCCCAAATTGGTGCAATGTACGAATACATATGTATAATAAAGCAACTTTAACGTTACACTTTTATATGTGCACACACTATGGTTTGTTTGATATGTTAAGTGTATGAAGTGTTGTATTACATGAATGTGTTTATGTACAGCTATCAGTTTGCTTATGTTCAACGTTTAATATTTCAACGATTCCAGACCCACCCATCATAAACACATTCACAATTAACTCAAGAAGCAACAAAGTGACCGTGGAGGAGACTGCATCTGTGAACCTAGGATGTCGAGTAGACAGTAACCCAGCATCGACCATCAAGCTGATGAACGGGAGCAGTGAATTAAAGACGATCGACAAAGTTCTTGTGGTATATTACAACTGGACGGCAGATTGCAGGGACAGAGGAAACTATACTTGCACAGCTGATAATAAACTTATGACTGGTGAAATGGTAACAAGAAAGGTGGAATTGATTGTTACATGTAAGCACATTGATACCTACAATTATTGCATAAACAACGTAAAAGATGGATATTATTCCGCCCAAGGAATAGAATAGAAAATTGTGATATGCTTATACGACCGATATTGAAAGTTGCTCTGTCCAAGGAATAAAAAAGAAAACCGTGATATGTTTACATGACCCATTATTTCAAGGTGCAGAAGATGTTTATATTTTGGTAATACATAAACTTCACTTGCCATTGTGAGCTTCTATTTCTATTAGGTTCTCCTCGACTAGATCAGTCAGTGTCCAAGGAACTCAAATACGCCTCTAAACTAGGTGGTAACTTGAATGTGACTGTGTCAGTCCTGGCCTACCCCCTTCCTACATTCACCTGGAGTAGAACCACCAGCACGAGCCAGGACCTAACTGGTTCCTCCAGCCCTGTCTCCGACATCTCGGTCAATGCCAGACTACACCTTACTAACCTCCAACAGCAGGACTTCGGGGACTACAGCCTTACAGTGGACAATGGTATCGACGGGTTAGTGTCATACACAATCAACATGGTGTATGAAGGTAATATTTTGAATATTGATATAAATCTATTATATCTAGACCTACCTCGAGAGTATTTCATACAAACATAAAACATAGGACTTCGGGGACTGACATTTTACATTTTTCCGAACACCGTATGAACACTTGGTGTAATAATGGGAGGGATCAGCAGTTTGTTTTGGTATCCATTTTTTCGGGTTGATATTTTAGCTAAAAAGCAACGTGTTTGATGGATGGTTTTCCTTTATTCAATTAGTGTCTTATTGTTCATTTGGTAATTTATTTATTTTTGATATAAATCCATTTTATCAAGACATTCTACAAGACTAGTTCATACTAACATTAAACAATAGGACTTCAGGGACCTCAATTTTACAAAGGACAACAACGTAGGAATACTTGTGTTATACACAATTGATGTAATAATAGGAGGTGTCAGCAGTTCATTCTGGTATCCATGCATTCACAACTTATATCATGATTCTTGTATTTACATGTATCAGACTCTCCTGAGACACCAACACTCTTTAGAACAAGTGGAAACGCCACAGCATCGTCTTTATGGTTATCATGGCAACCTGAGTTCAATGGAGGACACCCCCAGACATTTGTGGTTGAGTATCGGCAGTATTGTTCCACTACATGGACTGTGTACAATATCTATGATGACACAGGCAAGATGATGGTGGTGGAAGTGAGTTGCTTGACAACAGGAACAACTTACATATTCCGTCTACATGCTCGAAATGACTATGAACCTTCACACAGGGCATACGTCTATGTTGAAACTAAGACTGACGGAGGTAACTGTTTCTCTTGCACATTTTCGAAGTTTTAGCTTGAAAGCGTGATTATGAATGCTTATAAAACAATTAAAAAGTTGTTTTTACGAAATGCAACATAACTTGATAATCAAAAACGATATCACGGCATCATATCCAGTTAACACTGTGGGAAATATGTTCATAATAAACACGACTTTTATGTGTATAATGACCGATCATAAACAATCTGTGTTGCTCTTCTGACAACAGTGATGATCATTTAATACATTCCTATCACATCTGTATTGTTTCATAAGTTCCAACCGATACCAAAGATCCCGTGGCTGCTAATAGTGGAATACTTGCTGGAACTGCGATAGGAACCCTTCTTCTTACTTTACTCATTGAAGGAATTGTTCTAATGCTGCTATACAGAAAAGGGTTCCGAATTGGAAACAGTCAGAGAGGTATATCAAGAAAACTTTAATCATCTACTAGTATATAATGCTAACCAGTCGCAGTGTTGCGAGTAGGATTATTGAACTAATATTTACATTCAAAAGACACAGTGAATAAAAGTTATGATCATGTTCATACATAAATGTATCTTTAATTTAACATATAAATGCATGTTATTGTTAAAAAGAAAGGAGTTTTTTCACAAATTGTGTAAAACAGAAAATATGTCATCAGCGGTAGATTCAAAACGTTAAGCCATCCCACCCCTCAGTACTTTACATGTAACATTCATAGACAGCATAACCGTAAAGCTATATACTCATGTAGTTCCAGTTATGAAACCAAATCAGCATTATTTAGTATATAGACCTGTTTCAGTTCAGACATCTGTTTAAATTATACTCGTTCTGATCATGTTTTATATTTTGATTCTAACTCATGGCACATATCATGGAAGTAGGCTGGTCTCTCAAGGCCACTGACACATTTATCTATACATATCTCCCATTTATTTCCGTAGACCGTACAGCCTTATCAACATAGACATACCAAACGTGCTGTCGTTTTGTTATGACATTGTGATGTTTGTCCATATTGTATGGACAGAATCTTATTCAGCAGTCAGGCCGGCCACGGGAAGCACGTTAACTCAGCATTGTGCTTCAGTGTGCCTTGTTTGTACATTGGTTGGTTATCGCTGCCCTCAGCAATATTTCAGCTTTGTTACAGCATTTAGTAAATAATTGTGTCTGGACCAGATATTTCACTGTATTATGATTAATTGGTGTAGTAAGGCAGCCACAAAATCCGTTTGTGTGTATCATCCATATGTACCGTATTATCTACATACAATGTCATTAGGTATAGCTAATTGAAGATTTCTCGGAGTAAACTGACATTAGTATCTGCGGCACTAGATTAGATACAGCATACGACCTGCATACTATTTATTTTGTTATACTTTCAGAAACTGCTTCGCGAGAAAGGTAATGTATACACATGATAAAACATGAAATAATCCATTTAATAATATGGTACTAATTCGTAAAGTAAAGTAAACTGTTGAACAAAATGATCGTCTCTTTCTGCACTTTAAATAACCGAACATGATATGTTTTATTCTAGCAGCAGAAGTCATGAGATCGCAGAAATGGACAACATTGGGTATTCTTCCTTAGGTATGTGGACAGCAGCTTCACTTGTCAGTATTGCAGTGACCAAACGTTTACAAATAAAGGCCATTGCATGCATGTCAAACAATTTACAACAATAATGTACAACTCAGTCACAAATCCACTCAAGTATGCATTTATGTTATACAATGGCCATGTCACGATTTGCTTCAGATCATGTCAATGGACCACAACAAGATTCAAGCTTGAAGAAGGAGGAGTCAGACAAATCCCATTACTCACAGCTAAAGATATATGAAAATACAAAAGGTAGATTTTCATTATCAGGTGATATTTCACAGTTATCAAAAATGCATACACCTACTCTTATCATACTACGTTGCATAATACTATGCTGTCCTTATAACACAGCACGATTTAGTGATCATTTTACTCTTTTGTTTAATATCCTGTGAAATAAATGTGACACTTGTTGGAAGACAGTACAAAGGTTTATTGTAATAATGAGAAAAGGAAATATTAGCAAATGCAACAATTATGGCATTTACATCTGCAGCTGGTGACGAAGGAGAAACAAGTACCTACGAAGGCATGACAGAGACGCCCCCGGTGACCTACGAGGCCATCAGTGCGTCGCCCTACCAGAACAGTAGTGCTCAATGACATCATCGAGGTGATGCTTATCAAGGGTAGATGCGAATTACATGAACGATCACACACTTATCTGCCGCGCCGCGAACATTATGTAACCAAATTTTAAGAAACATTTGAGCTCGTTGAGTAAGTGCGTGGGTGCATTGGTGAGTGAGTGCGTAAATGCGTGGGTGGGTCCGTTTTGGATGGGTTGGTACGCTTGGGAATGTGAGTGTGTTGTTGGTTTGTTATTTAACGCCGCACTCAGCAACATTCCAGCTATTTGACGGCGGTCTGTAAATAATCGAGTCTGGACCAGACAATCCAGTGATTGACATCATGAGCATCGAACCACGCAATTGGGATCGATGACATGCATCAACCAAGTCAGCGAGCCTGACCACCCGATCCTGTTAGTCGCCTTTTACGACAAGCAGTCACCTTTTACGGCAAGCATGGGTTGCTGAAGACGGTAATGTGAGTGCGTGAGTTAGTGAGTAAAACATATTATTACTCAATTGCGAAGAGATAACCCATTTAACAACAATACACCGTTATTGAACAGTGTTATCCAACGTCTCTGTACTCCTAGACGGATACCTCCGATGAACATTATTATTTTTCACAAACCACCACAGATACATAGCGCACTACAAATGCATTTCACTAATATATTATGGACATATTTTACGAGTATGTGAGATCCTGGAATTTTTTTAACTGCCTATGATCTATCGACCGACTAGCGAACAAATACGTTCGAAATAGAGAAAGACTAGAGTGAGCGTTTATGCAAATGTTTTCGCAAAGACACAAAACATTATGTCGAAAGACCATCATGACATTTATCGCGGCGTCTTCTTACGACCGTGAACCTTGTGTGATAAATGAAAGGATCTCCCATTTGCCCAAAGTGGATAGGGGTTCATAACGTCCCCATCGTGTCAATTAACAGATCTGTCTCGCGTCGTGAAACTATCGCGCTCCGAAAAGAACAGATAGTCTAGCTCAAAGGTGTAATCTGCTGACTAGTTTTAAATCAAAATAGGCAACATGACATTTGATTCGATGAGTCAATGGTTTCACTGATTCTCTCTGTTCAAACCATATGTAACACTATATGTTCCGCTCAGTTCATATATTTTTAACTTGATGATGTGAATGTATATGAATGCTGTTATGGTCATGGTTTGAGAATCGACATGCAATCGTTCCCATGTTTTTTCAGGTGAAAGTTGACTTACCTTTGCATGTGTTTGTGACGGGTGCCAACGGTGGGGCAGGATACGCTCACCTTATCGCAAACACATGGTATCATTACTTTTTGGAAGTGATTCATAAACACTTGGTTATGACGTGGTCGGAATTATACATGTTGAGAGATTTCTTTTGGATATGGAAAGGGTTTTGTCGCTTTATTTACAATCGATCACGGAGAAATCTCCATACTTTTTGACCAGCCTATGGTCGAAACATACGCCTCCCTGATACAAATAACGTCTTGCTTCAGCATTGAATATCGATAATATGAAACATGTCACGTTTTGAAATGAACTCGTTTCAAATGAAATAAGTTATAGGACGGTGACTCATTTAGTAATATATATTTCTCATCATTACGAAAATATAATATGAAAATGATAAGTGTATACCCCAGGAGTCGGAGAATTTGTTCTGTTTTGTCAGTAAATTATATCTATGTTAAATCACAATCTGAGGTTTTGTACAGTTTAATAAATGGACAAAAATGTTAATCATAAAAGAGAATCATTGATTTGGCAACCTACTCAAAACCAAAAAACGACATATTACATATTCATATCTGCTTACACCATAGCTTCGCCTGCACGAAATTGAAAACTTTGATTTAGCAAATATATAAGTTCGTCTTTTTAGTTCCTGATTGTGAGCACTTTGTATGCATATATATATATATATATGTATATATGTATCCTGATAAACTGTTTAAACTGTTTACTTGTCTCAATGGCTATTATGATTCACTCACTCTATAACGCGTGTATTGTTCTCTTTCCAAACAACTTGCATGGACAGGAAACTACTCTCTACATACACCTACTTGAGGACAATGTGTATGTTGACAGTATGTGCATTGCATCTAGTTTTCCTCGTTGAACTACAATATGTTTGAATACAGTTTCCTCAGCACTTTAAACACATACACACAATAGAGGACAATGTGCATGTTGACAGTCGTTGAACTACAATATGATAAAATCAAGTTTAAAATCAGCACTTATCCTGTCAGTCAGGTTCACACTGATAACTTCGAGTTTACATTCCATGCTGGTATGTACACCATATGTAATGTAGATCTAATACTTAAACAGCTGCAGTTAACAACAAATGAACAATCTCAGGTGTCTTATCTTGCAATAAAATACTCCTATCTGATTGGTTACTGGTATGTGCGTGTACTGATAAGGTATTTGTTTCGTATACCCCGCTGTGAAATGCCGAACTTCTTTCCAAGGCGAAAACAGTTATATGTTTATATTCACTCGAAATCGAACACCTGTCTCATGCAAGTGTAATAAATGATCTGGGTATCGTCTGACTGCTGTCAAGATGTCAGTGAAACGGTTCAATAGCTAAGCTGATTAAGACGTTTTAGATGAATTGACGAATACTTATTGTATAATAATTGACGAAATTGTTTAACCCATATCTTGATGTTTATTTTATGATGTACACCCGGTCAACAAATAATACTGTACCTCTGCCATACACGTGAATAAATTACATTACTGAACACGCTTCATGGTTATTTTGTAAGGAAGGCGGCAAGCCTGCATAGCGTGAGACGACAGTTGTTGGCTTTTGTGAAGATATTCGAAACCCATGTGAATGGAGTTTAGTCAATGTTAAAGGAGACACTTGAGATTTGTGGGCGACGGCTGAAGGTGAATAACCTCCTGTACCAACCACCCGCCAGGCTATAAGAGATACGAATGCGGGGTAAGTGGGTCACTAGGTCGCATACTGACAGAAGAATATAACATGTCCTTGCTGTAAATATATACTGGGTCGATGTTTCTGTTGGTGCACTAAAATGCTCGAGTTTCATCATAAGCTCAGCAGTAGAAATGTTTAGGCTGAGATACTAACATTGCCCCTACTATGTTACAAAAGTATCCTGTTTCACAACCATTTTCTCTATATTTATTAGCAGCTGAATCTCTATCATTCATTATGGTCTATTATTTATTTATAAGCAGTAGGCATTAACATAAAATCCTTTGGACAAATCCACATCGAGTGCATGGTGTTTCTTTCGTTTGAAACGCTATTAACGCAATTGTAGTCATGTTGAAGTCAAGTCTCATAAATAGATACTTTGACAATGTCAAACTGCAGACAACAGTTCGAAACTGGTGACAATGAAACACAACTTAGCCTTAGCAGCCAATCAAGAAACAGTAGTGTGAAACAGTATGAAAACATAAGCCCCAAAAAATAACTTGTTAGCCTACCAAGTGTCACACACACGATAAAAATACAATAACTTTGCTCGTGTCCCTCACAAGGTTCCCCGAGTAAAATTTTGTTTTAGAGCAAAGGGATCAAGTGCTTAAAGTTTTGTATTTTCTCTTCATAAATTCAAATCACTTTCTTTACAAAACGGTGCTAGCAGCCTCGAGTATTCATACTATTGTTTGATCGTATCTTTCCCAATGTTGTTTTCCATAATATATTGAACGCAGAATTTGTAAATAAAACGACAACCAGATAACAAGATATAGTACATACCGTGTACACTGGTATGTTACACAGGGGAAGCTTCACACACAGACATACAGTGGCAGAATGGCACTATGTTATACAGAGTAAGTCAGGGTAGCTGCAGCTCCCCTGACTACATGTTTTGAATTGTATTCAATATGTGGGTGTCAGGAGAGACAGCCTATTGCAACTAGTAAATGAGCCCTTATCTATTCATTCGTTTAAATATCATGTCGACAGTTATATTGAACCTTTTGTTGGTCTCCTTGTTCTGAACACCAGAGAGTCGCCTGTATGTGCACATTGTAAGCCAAGGTCGGTGACACGGAACCACATTCATAACGTTTGTACGGGTCTTGGTGTATCAACAGACAAGGCTATGTGGAGAGTATTCAGTTCAGCGAGGGTGGCTAGTGTACGATCTTATAACACACAGGGTAGTGAATTGTCGTTTGTATTCGTCGGGCTGCCTACTAATGCACCAAGTATGGCGGCTGATTATTGCCATCTCCTTTACGGAACTGCAAAGCCTGACTGACTTGACTTGACTCATGGCTGCTGTGATGAATGGCAGGGCAACATTCGGGGATGACAGAGCAACGCATCATAACTTGACTTGACTCATGACTGCCGTGATGAATGACAGGGCAACATTCGGGGATGACAGAGCAACGCATAAAACTTGACTTGACTCATGGCTGCTGTGATGAATGGCAGGGCAACATTCGGGGATGACAGAGCAACGCATCATAACTTGATTTGACTCATGGCTGCTGTGATGAAAGGCAGGGCAACATTCGGGGATGACAGAGCAACACATCATAACTTGACTTGACTCATGACTGCCGTGATGAATGACAGGGCAACATTCGGGGATGACAGAGCAACGCATCATAACTTGACTTGACTCATGACTGCCGTGATGAATGACAGGGCAACATTCGGGGATAACAGAGCAACGCATCATAACTTGACTTGACTCATGACTGCTGTGATGAATGGCAGGGCAACATTCGGGGATGACAGAGCAACGCATCACAACTTGTCTTGACTCATGACTGTCGTGTGGAATGGCAGGGCAACATTCGGGGATGACAGAGCAACACATCATAACTTGACTTGACTCATGACTGCCGTGATGAATGACAGGGCAACATTCGGGGATGACAGAGCAACACATCATAACTTGACTTGACTCATGACTGCCGTGATGAATGACAGGGCAACATTCGGGGATGACAGAGCAACGCATCATAACTTGACTTGACTCATGACTGTCGTGATGAATGGCAGGGCAACATTCGGGGATGACAGAGCAACGCATCATAACTTGACTTGACTCATGACTGTCGTGATGAATGGCAGGGCAACATTCGGGGATGACAGAGCAACGCATCATAACTTGACTTGACTCATGACTGTCGTGATGAATGGCAGGGCAACATTCGGGGATGACAGAGCAACACATCATAACTTGACTTGACTCATGACTGCCGTGATGAATGAGAGGGCAACATTCGGGGATAACAGAGCAACGCATCATAACTTGACTTGACTCATGACTGCCGTGATGAATGACAGGGCAACATTCGGGGATGACAGAGCAACGCATCATAACTTGACTTGACTCATGACTGCTGTGATGAATGACAGGGCAACATTCGGGGATGACAGAGCAACGCATCATAACTTGACTTGACTCATGACTGCCGTGATGAATGGCAGGGCAATATTCGGGGATGACAGAGCAACACATCATAACTTGACTTGACTCATGACTGCCGTGATGAATGACAGGGCAACATTCGGGGATGACAGAGCAACGCATCATAACTTGACTTGACTCATGACTGCCGTGATGAATGACAGGGCAACATTCGGGGATGACAGAGCAACGCATCACAACTTGACTTGACTCATGACTGCTGTGATGAATGACAGGGCAACATTCGGGGATGACAGAGCAACGCATCATAACTTGACTTGACTCATGACTGCCGTGATGAATGACAGGGCAACATTCGGGGATGACAGAGCAACGCATCACAACTTGACTTGACTCATGACTGCCGTGATGAATGACAGGGCAACATTCGGGGATGACAGAGCAACGCATCAAAACTTGACTTGACTCATGACTGCGGTGATGAATGACAGTGCAACATTCGGGGATGACAGAGCAACGCATCATAACTTGACTTGACTCATGACTGCCGTGATGAAAGGCAGGGCAATATTCGGGGATGACAGAGCAACACATCATAACTTGACTTGACTCATGACTGCCGTGATGAATGACAGGGCAACATTCGGGGATGACAGAGCAACGCATCATAACTTGACTTGACTCATGACTGCCGTGATGAATGACAGGGCAACATTCGGGGATGACAGAGCAACGCATCACAACTTGACTTGACTCATGACTGCCGTGATGAATGACAGGGCAACATTCGGGGATGACAGAGCAACGCATCATAACTTGACTTGACTCATGACTGCCGTGATGAATGACAGGGCAACATTCGGGGATGACAGAGCAACGCATCACAACTTGACTTGACTCATGACTGCCGTGATGAATGACAGGGCAACATTCGGGGATGACAGAGCAACGCATCATAACTTGACTTGACTCATGACTGCCGTGATGAATGACAGGGCAACATTCGGGGATGACAGAGCAACGCATCATAACTTGACTTGACTCATGACTGCTGTGATGAATGGCAGGGCAACATTCGGGGATGACAGAGCAACGCATCATAACTTGACTTGACTCATGACTGCTGTGATGAATGGCAGGGCAACATTCGGGGATGACAGAGCAACGCATCATAACTTGACTTGACTCATGGCTGTCGTGATGAATGGCAGGGCAACATTCGGGGATAACAGAGCAACGCATCATAACTTGACTTGACTCATGGCTGTCGTGATGAATGGCAGGGCAACATTCGGGGATGACAGAGCAACGCATCATAACTTGTATTGACTCATGACTGCTGTGATGAATGGCAGGGCAACATTCGGGGATGACAGAGCAACGCATCATAACTTGACTTGACTCATGACTGCCGTGATCAATGGCAGGGCAACATTCGGGGATGACAGAGCAACACACCGTAACTTGACTTGACTCATGACTGCCGTGATGAATGACAGGGCAACATTCGGGGATGACAGAGCAACACATCATAAGTTGACTTGACTCATGACTGCTGTGATGAATGACAGGCGTGTGATGTAGCTGCTGTGTCAGGAGCTAGGAAATGACGAAATTGGAGATTCCAAAAGAAGAACACAATGTTGTTGTCTCGGAATTTTTTGGACAGGAATAAGAACGTCACAAAACTGCATTATCCGTGTGGGTGGAATCTGATCCAGTTTACACGTAGTTGGCTTTGATTGACTCACAAGGGAAATGACTAGATTCCCAGACGCTGATTCAAATTCAGCTAGCTCCACACCATTTTAACGTTCAGAATACACCTCATTCACACGTGTATCATTGGCTTCAGAGGTTTATAGAGATCTGAGATCTTGATCTCATCAATTTTTCATGTGAAGAATGAATTGTAATTTTTTGAGAGGATAACATCGTTTTCTTCTTTTGGAAGTGGAATGATTGTGATCATCCTTCCCTATAAGTTTTGACAGTTGAGACAAGAGGGACTTTGCAGTATGCGTGTTAGTTAATATCTTCTCATGGCAGTAATGGGATTTGGCCTCTGGATAACTCTGTTTGAAACTGATCTTTTACTCATAAAATCTGTCTATGGATCTCTAATCCTAATTGTCTGCTTTTCCTTTCTACTTTTCGTATCATTTCTTTTGCTGTTGTATTCGCATTATACCACGGAACATTTGGATTGACATGTATGTGCCGTGTGACTGGTGGAGCATGCTTATCTCATAAGTCAGTCTGTCTTGAGTCACACACTGACTCACTGTCTCACTGACTCACTGACTCACTGACTCACTCACTCACTCACTCACTCACTCACTCACTCACTCACTCACTCATTCATTCACTCACTCTGTCACTCACTCACTCACTCGCAATAAACATGCATTGGTATGCCAGGGATTGTATTTAGATACCATTGCACTAGTTTAAGCGACTAATATGCATGTAAACTCGACGTTGGATATTAGTTTCGGGATAAGTTGAGAGGTCATGAGATAATTGAAATACTGTTCTGAACGGGGTTAAGCAAAACTCACTCACTCACTCACTCACCCACCAACCCACTCACTCACCCACCCACCCACCAACCCACTCACTCACCCACTCACTCACTCACTCACTCACTCACTCACTCACTCACTCACTCACTCACTCACTCACTCACTCACCCACCCACTCACTCAGTCACTCACTCACTAACTCTGGTATGTAACACTATACCTTCATTGATATGCCAGAGATTGACTCGGCTATATTTAGCCGCCACTACTGAACTAGTTTGAAGTGACTGGTACACATGTAAACATGACCTTGTATTTTACTTCCGTGTTGAGCACACACGACGACTGTAGCAACGATTTGTGTCTGACCGATTGGAGCCTCAGACGGTATGTGCAAAGTATATATGTCTAACCCTCTCACATGACACCTTATTTGTTTATGTATATTTGTAGCACCTTGTCGAACATACATAACGTATCTTGGAGTAACCTACACTATGTCTGTAGACTCGTGTACTTTGACCTGGCCTCTATTTCTGTATAAATGCTACTTGTGTGTCAGCTATCTGTACGTGGAGGGTTAACTAAAACACAAAGCTTTACAACCTGGAAACTGAACACACACTGACATCAATGGGATCGTCTAGGTCGTCTAAAGGCATTGCAGAGTCGTCTCCCTTTGTCAATAATACTAAACTTCTACTCTGTTCACACCAGTATGGAAAAATGCGCGAGTGCGATGGGAACGCAGGACATACAGATGGACAGTCACATCAGAATTACATTTTTCAGATGTTTATAGCATGCATAGGACAGATCTCGCCTCAGTGGAAATTTTGTAAATAGTTACTTTATTTCTTTAAGGCGACAGAATTCCTTTTGTGTTATTTGACGTCGGAGAAGCAGAGAGTTTTGATGATATTCACAATTATCGTCTTACTGATGCCTTGTACCAGTATGTATGTTCATATCATCAGGATGGTTGTCTTTCCTTCAGTCATGTGGCAGCCTTTCTTAGGCGTGCAAGAATCCAATGATCGTGGGTTCGAAGTCAAGATTCCCATGCTGTGTTCATATATGTATGTAATATAAAACATATGTCATGTGAGCATAAATCACACTTTTAATTAATGTTTGTGTTAGTACAGTTAACAATATAATCCAAAATTAATCTATCGTGTTGAAGTTTATGAAGTTAATACGCATATATTCATCTAAATCATCCATCAGCGTTCAGTGTGAAATGCGTATTTACTGTCATACCGTCTAACACATTTACAACTATTATCATACTCACTATCATCATAGACAAAAATAGACAGCACGTAAGACAGTAACGTGATCCTTTTCTCATACGCATATCTCTTAGATACCAAATGTATCAAATCAGTATCCAAATTACTGAAAAATGATGAACCTATATTTCAGGCCTCACCTAGGTACCAGACAACGAGCATGATGAAGATAACTACTGCTGCTGTATTATATGTGATTGCAGGTAATTCTTTCATATCACCCACATGTGTAATGACTGTGTATCTTACAATATACTTATATTACCCTACATACTTGAGATGAATAGATTATATTCTACTTAACGTGTATACGGTCATACCTCATGCTACATGCTACCTATCCACATATCGTTTCCGGCAGGTGTTGGTTCAGGTGCCCCCAGTGCCAGTCCGGTGTTGTCTGCAGTGTCTGACACAGCCAGGTTCAGCTGGGAGATTCCACAGGGAGGTCTGGGGACAGGGAGTAGTTTCTACACTGTCAGTCCTGCTGGTGTCATTGTGTTCCTAGTGACAGGTACTGGGACATTCATCAACTTCACAGACAGACTGGAGTACCAGGGGAACATAGCAGCCAGGAATGTCACCTTCACTCTCAGCAACATCCAGACATCTGATGCAGGGACATACACGTGTGGGGGTGGAGGGGCTACTATTGTGATACAGAACTGTGGACAGAAACTTGTTGTCCTGGGTGAGTGGCTACTTAGTTTTGATTTGTTGACGTTTCGTACACATAGTTTAGTCCTCTTTATTTTTAATATACATATTCAAATCAAAAATAAACGTGTGTCTTAAATAAGAATGTAATGTAAACATAATCGTCCGTGTTTATGAATTAGGTATAGAACTCTCAGTTATAAGGACGGCTGTCACACCGGGGTAACATTATATCCTCCATTGGTGCTTTGTTCTACACTGTTCAATTCAGCAAATGAGAACCTACTTATGATACACACAAGGTTGCACAAAAAATGTGTTCCATGGAACATAAGTTCCCCTTTAAATAAAAATACAACCACGTGGGCAGTTTGAAAACAAAAGCAACCTTTCATCACTTGACTTTCCTCGGAGCGTGTCCTGATTATGAAATAAAACAACTTTGTTTTTAAAATGTTAGAGTTGTTATTCTGTGACAATACCTGTATTCCTTGTCTCTACTATTAGGCACAGTGGGGTAGCCTTATGGTTAAAACCCCCACTTGAATTCCGGATTCGATAACCCACATGGGTGCAATATGTGAAGCCCATTTCTGGTATCCCCCGCCGTGATATTTGCTAAAAGCGGATTAAAACCACACTTACTCAAATAATATTAGATGTCGCAGGTAACAAACGATTGTAATATTGATGAGTGTCACCTGCATGCAAGGTAACACTGGTACAACCCATGTGATATTACTGTCAGGAGGATAATTACAAAGTAATGATATTTAGAAACGGATCAATTGTAACAGCAAAATATAAACCCAAAAACAAAAACAAAACAAAAACAAAACAAAAACCACCCACCCGATCTCGAACAAACGTTCACCCATTGAGGGCAACCAAGTGATTGTCGTGAGTGAGTTGACACTATAAATGTGGGAGGACATTTTCTGAACTGTTACCACTCTTGAGAAATCTACAAGACACATGTGCTGCTGACAAAGTCTAGCTCACCTAGATGACACAATTCTGACAGAGAAGTGCATCCTGACTCAATTAATTACAGACTGTTGATATATTCATGACTGGGGTAAACAGCAAACGGAAAGCTAAATAAACAAACAACATTCTTGAGAGTACTAAGCCGAACGCCAGCAGTCACTTGGTTACCTATGCATTTAGTGCATGGCCACGTTCTTTAGGAAAATGTATGTTGTGATATCATCAGTGGTAATATCGAATCTATTTTACTGATTGATTTTGAAAACCCGCGTGTATTCCGAGCAAGCAAACATTATAGTACCTGAATAATGTATATGAATGTGTATCCTTATGAAACTAAAAAATTACATGTGTGTTCTTTTGCTACATTGTCATCACCTCATCACACCCTCGTATCTCTATTGTTAGAGGCATCATGTACAATGACAATATCAACTTATGATTAATTATAGTGAACCGTACAGTTGTCATTTGTTTATGTTAACTTGGTCAGTGTAAAATTAGAAATCAATTCACGTCCCATTTCTTTAAATTAATTCAAAATATTAGTTGAGAAGTTATTCAATTATCGTTGTTTTATCAACCACCATTATTATATCCATTACGAAATAAATATTTTTATGAACGGGTGGTATCTGCTCGAATGTTATAGAAGGGGCATAATGGGTGACTAATGGGTGTTGTATGATATTCTACTCTGGCCATATTCAGCAGTTGGGTTCCTTCTACATGGACCATGTTCAATTCCTAGGCATAGCAATAAACAAAACACTATAACAAATAAATTTCTGCAGAACTTTGTTTCCTTAAGATCAAATACACTTTAAACCGAAATAGTGGACCCTGCTTATAGTGGTCTCGCTTTTGAAAAATCCTTACATACGTGGGATTTTATGGTCGTATTGTGCCTCTGTGTGTTTGTACTTGGCATTGGTTGAATAAAAGAAGAATTTACGTGATTTCGGGAAAGTTGTGTAGTGCATATTGTCGCTACGGTGGTTTGGAGCCCAATTTAAAATACATCTATGACGTCAGTCAATTGTTCCAACTGTTGATTATCTGTAACCAATTGACAGTTGACTGACCTACTTTTTGCGAGGCAAATGTTTAGCTCATGCATTAATTATAAACACAGGCTTAAGAATCTACTGGCTATACCGATCAATTCGCAGAAAATACAAGTGTGTGCAGTGCGAATATTCGGATAAGGTTTACATGCATGACAAATGTACTGCTTGACATTTCCGTGCATATTGTTATGGGATTTTTGTTCTCTTATTTATTGATCTATTAACTTTAAGGCTGTATTTTCCATCTGATTACACAGTGCTTTGTTAATCCTGTATTTTGAGTCATGTAAATAAAGCGACAAAACCCTGGTCATATCCAAAATAAATCTCGGCATAAAGCAGAGTCGATTACGCACGCATTACTAGACATCAATTACATATAATGACATACGCCAACATCTCTTGCTCGAACCTTATTTGTAACGCATGTTCGTTTGAGCTGAGGTTAGCTTGCGCAACGTCACGTGACTTTCGTTGACTCGGAAAAAGCATGCGGCGTTTTGCTTAGAAAAGGGGTAGAAGGGAATTATTCTGCCATTCAGAAATCCACGTGCAGCCTGACTTGCTCGTGGTGGGGTATAAAAGATTAATTCCCCTGCAGCGAAATGTATTCTCCTCCAAGGCAGGATACGCAGTATTTTATAAAGTGCAGCACGTGGACCAATCAGAGGTATGATAATAAGTGTTATTCAATGAACGGAATTACGAGTGTAACACGTAGCGAACGAGCCACGTCCCTCGATTTATCGAGTGTACATGAGTAATTCCATTCAACAATGAACGTGTAGGAAGGACCTGTCCATCATATTTCAGTTCACGTCGCCACCGCTTTAGACGTTCCAAAACTTTTTGCGTGCATGAACGTTCACAATAGATATCTTACGAATTCGCAGAAAGGCTGAATATTTGCAAAACACACAACAGAAAAGATTTTAGAACATTAAAGATTGCTATTGTATCTTATCTGTTGGATTCATCATGATTGACGAAGTCGGGGAATTGTAATCTCGTCAATCAATGCAAATTCGTATCAAAGTCTGGTTTATTTTCTGTTTAAAGTATATAACCATATGAGTAAGTCATAACGTTGGTCAACATCAATGTTGACGTCACATTAGTATTGTAAGAATCATGACATTGCAAAGTGTGTAGAAAACGCAACCTTCTCAGGAATGCTTATTTTTAAGAGTGGATGACAAGAGTTCACACGATTCATCACATGTTTGTCAATATGAAGATAGTTATCCATTCTAAAGCTTGTGTTAATGTTGGTAACATGGCAAAGCTACACTTAAGCATTCGCCCAACCACTCAAGCTTTATATATCTCTATATCTCTGCATATCATATGCCCCTAATTTATACATGATATCTTTTGAAAGGCAAGCCCACCACTCCTAGCCGTCCTGTGTCATCATCTCCTGTCTACAACCAGCAAGTGACCTTGACCTGCAGCTCCACCTCTACTACTGTCCCAGCTGACCATGGCCTGACCTTGACCTACACCTGGCAGCGTGACAACACTGACATCACAGTTACCTCCCCTGGTTCCCCCTACACCTTCACAGTGAGTTCCCGGGACAGTCACAGTTACAGATGTAGAGCCAGAGAGAGTCAGGGTCTGGAGTCTGAGTGGAGCCAAGGATACAACATGGAGCCTCAGTGTGAGTACTGTAAACACGTTGCTTATGAATGTCTCACACTACTGATTCATGTAAGGTTTTATCATCAATTGTCAATATGAATAGTTTCCAAACATACACTGATAAAAAACAAAGAACTACATTTAGAACTACTTTTTTCGAAGAAACAGGAAGGGTGTGTCAGTGAATTAGCTTTTGATATATTGTCTGGCTGTACGCATGCCATTGGTAGTTAAAAGATCTACTAATTTTTTGTGTTCCTCACCCACTGTTAAAAATCATTATGGGTCTATTCTTGGTCATCAGTTGGTCCTTCATATGGGGAGTCGGTTGAACTGTACAACTGTACTCTACGTCTACTTTTACTCTTATCTCTTATTATCTGCTGATAATCTACTCCAGATAGAGCCTTGCGAAGTTCAAGAAACATCAGACAAGCATCCACAAAAAACACTATCATGACAACAATCGCTGAATTATTGAAATACCTAGTTGAATGTGATGAGTTATTTCACTAGCTTTGTTTATACCCTTACAGGCTAGATGTTTCCCCTGATGTGTCGTACCTTAAGTTAGGCTATTATGAAGATGTTTATAAAGTTACATTTTTTTCAATGTTAAGTAACACATATTAATTATATAGCCTTTGGAGATATCACAAATAGCTGTATTGCATATTGTGTTAAAACACCATGTCCGGACTATTTGTAGTCACAGCTGATCATTTGGAATGGAGGCGTCGGTAGCACATTACAACATTACACAATGTTTTCTCAGCTACCAGACGGAGAACTTACACCAGAAAGAAACTGTTTATATTCTGTATAATTATGTTCAATTGGTAATTAATATGTCATATGGCGTGGGACTACTAAGCTAGACCTTCCTCATAAACACAAAACAAACCTCATGGATTTCCTATGTCGATTCTATGGCATTCTAAATGTATCAAGCTTACTTTGGATTGGTGAAGTTTACAGCAGAAAACGAAAGTCTATCAAAGCAACGTATTCTTGTATTCACAAATTAATGCTACCCGAATTTCAGTTGTTCTAGAAGTATAGATTCACAGACTCCAAGGGAGCTTGGCCACGTGTGTTTCAAAGGATAATGAGCTCTTTCGTAACAATAGACACCAGCAGACCGCAGTCAAGTTTCCCAATATTGTTTCTTTTTGTCTCACAGGCTGTCACTGTGAACAGACACAAAACGTAATAACTATGAACAAATTATATATAAAGTGTGCATATAACATGCTGAACAATAATATTTTGAACGCCACACAAAACCGTGGAATGTTTAGACAATCATGTAATGCTCCTATTAAATACACGCTGCGATGTCATATAGTTTTAAAGTGCTTTTCTGAATATCATCAACTCATCATTGTTTACCACATGTGTGTCATTAGAGGTATAATTATATCTTGTATCACGGTATCAGTGTCACGGTGCCATGTATTCCAGACGGACCCTACCAGATCTCCCTGACCCCCTCCACCTCCTCCTACACTGTGACAGAACACCAGGCTCTTCCATCAATCACGTGCTCCGCCCTCTGTAGACCCGGATGTACCTACAGGTGGTTACACAATGGAACAGCTGTCATCAGTGGAGCCGTGCTCCAGGGACAAGCTGACAGATCTAAGACAGGATCCTACAGATGTCAGCCTTCTAATACACACGGGAGTAGTGACAGTCTTACAGTCAGTGTTGATGTTCAGTGTAAGTATATAGTCTACACTGATGACACTGTTACAGTCAGTATTGATGTTCAGTGTAAGTATTTCGTCTACACTAGTGACAGTGTTGCAGTCAGTGTTCATGCTCAGTGTATGTATATAGTCTACACTGGTAACAGTGTTACAGTTAATGTTGATGTTCAGTGTAAGTATATAGTCTACAATGGTGACAGTGTTACAGTTAGTGTCGGTGTTCAGTGTAAGTATATAGTCTACACTGGTGACAGTGTTACAGTCAGTATTGATGTTCAGTGTAAGTATATAGTTTACACTGATGACACTGTTACAGTCAGTGTTGATGTTCAGTGTAAGTATATCGTCTACACTGGTAACAGTGTTACAGTAAATGTTGATGTTCAGTGTAAGTATATAGTCTACACTGGTGACAGTGTTACAGTCAGTGTTGATGTTCAGTGTAAGTATATAGTCTACACTGATGACACTGTTACAGTCAGTATTGATGTTCAATGTAAGTATATAGTCTACACTGGTGACAGTGTTACAGACAGTATTGATGTTCAGTGTAAGTATATAGTCTACACTAGTGACAGTGTTACAGTCAGTGTTGATGTTCAATGTAAGTATATAGTCTACACTGGTGGCAGTGTTACAGTCAGTGTTGATGTTCAGTGTAAGTATATCGTCTACACTAGTGACAGTGTTACAGTCAGTCTTCATGCTCAGTGTAAGTATGTAGTCTACACTAGTGACAGTGTTACAGTCAGTGTTGATGTTCAATGTAAGTATATAGTCTACACTGGTGGCAGTGTTACAGTCAGTGTTGATGTTCAGTGTAAGTATATCGTCTACACTAGTGACAGTGTTACAGTCAGTGTTCATGCTCAGTGTAAGTATATAGTCTACACTGGTAACAGTGTTACAGTTAATGTTGATGTTCAGTGTAAGTATATAGTCTACACTGGTGACAGTGTTACAGTCAGTGTCGGTGTTCAGTGTAAGTATATAGTCTACACTGGTGACAGTGTTACAGTCAGTGTCGATGTTCAGTGTAAGTATATAGTCTACACTGGTGACAGGTAAAGTTGTGTAAAAACATTAATATTCGTAAGCACCCTCTTTAAAAATGTTAACGCATGCGCTGAATGTAACAATATAACTATGGTTTTCCCTTCGTGCTAGTCCCATGGGATATTCAATCCAATGTACAACCAATACCTTCCGTGACAAAGATACAACGAGTCATATATATTTTCAGACCCAGCGAGTGTAATCATGTTCACCGTCAACTCACTCAGCGGCACATTGACAGTTAACGAGTCTGATCCGGTGACTTTACGATGCCAGATTGATAGTAATCCAGGATCAGTCATCAGGTTACTGAATGGAACTGAGGAGTTGACAAGGGCAGATAACTCCATGACATCAGAATATAGACTGGAGTCAGCAGACTGTAGACAAAGAGGGAACTACTCCTGTACTGCCGCTAACAAAATCGGGGCACCTGTCAGCCAGAGAGTGGAGTTGCTGGTCAAATGTAATCTGTTTGGATATACTATGGAGATGGTAGTGTTGTGATGATTCCCATTGATGTTTTTTTACTATGATAATAGCACTGCTGAGTACAGGGCAAGCCTACGGTATGTTTGTGTATTTGTTTTATCATGTTTCCTATGTTGATACTGCAAAGTTGAAAATAAGGCTCCCGATGAATAATTTGGTCTTCATCATACTCTACACGTAACCGATATTATTTGTTCCAGAGCCATTGCATATGTTGTTTACATTGAACCAGGTTATCCAAGACTAGATGGGACTGTTGCCCAGCAACTCAAATACGCCTCTAGACTGGATGGTAATGTGAACGTGTCTGTGTCAGTCCTGGCCTACCCCCTTCCTACATTCACCTGGAGTAGAACCAACAGCACCAGCCAGGACCTCACTGGTTCCTCAAGCCCTGTCTCAGACATCTCAGTCACTGCCAGACTACACCTTACTGACCTCCAACAGCAGGACTTTGGGGACTACAATCTGACAGTGGACAATGGTGTTGGCGGTTCAGTGGCCTACACAGTCAGCATAGTGTCTGAAGGTGAGCTTTGACATTCTCATTTATCATTCCCTATTTCAGGATGCACTTGTTCATGTGTTCCAATACCTTTCTCTGACTGTTCTGTAATCATTGCATCATCATTGTAAAAATGAAGTGCTTCACATTACAAAAGTATCTGAGAAAGCTAAGACAGCATTCCCTTTCCCATTATTTCTTTCTGGAAGGGTCACCACAGATGCCTACACAGTTTAGAGATCTGGATAATGCAACAACGTCGTCGGTATGGTTATCGTGGCTGCCTGGATTCAATGGTGGACACCCTCAGACGTTTCTGCTTGAGTATCGGCAGTTTGCTACAAGAACTTGGACTGTCTACAAGAGTTATGCAGACACCGGCAAGATGATGGTGGTGGAAGTGACTGGGCTTACACCGGGAGATATTCACATATTTCGACTACATGCTAGAAATGACTATGTGGATTCTAACAGATATGTATTTGTAGAAACTAGGACTGCTGGAGGTATGTGTCACTCAAGTAGAATCACAATTGAATTAATCTGATTATCAGTTAATGGTAATTAACAACTCATCACCATAAACAACTTAATAGATCAGTATATGTTGTATTTGGAAGTTTCATTTTTTCCTCGTTTATGTTATCAAATATGACTCATCTTTTTTAATTTCTTATTTTGAAGTACTTGAAGTTTTGTTCCTTATATGAAGTGTCCAAGGGTTCTATTCATTCAACGTGAACATGTGTATCTGTGTTCGAGCCAATGAGTTGTGAGCTACATATCTTTTAGCAGTGTCAGTATCAATGATACCAGCCATCACGTTTACACATATGTTCAGATTCGAACCTATGTACTCTGTGTCACCACCCACCAATCACCAGTTAGTTTGTTTGACAGTAGGAAATTGGAAACGAATATCCTTTCACCCGACCCTTAACACTGACATACGATTAGCACTCGTCTGTTATGATCTTTTGCTTATGTTGCAGATCCACCAAATCAGCAAAAACTCGAAACTCCATGTTCGTATACCGGGGTAATAGCAGGAACCACAGTTGGGGGTATTCTGCTTACCTTGCTCATCGGGGGAATTGTTCTGATGGTACTGTACAGAAAGGGATACAAGTTCGGACATATTCCGAAAGGTATACACTTAAATTTCCGTTGTAAAATGATTGCCAATAGGAATAATACCATAATTTGAGGAATGGGTTTGAAATGTGCATGTATTCGACATTAATATTGATATTGTATCATCAAATGTATGTAGTTATTACTATATATATATGGAGTCATTTACAGGTGACTTGATCCTTGTCGATGTAGGTTTCATTTATGAATGACGAGTTTAGTTGCCAGGTGGAATGTGTGATTTACATTATGTATCATGTGGCTATTTTTGTTTTCCAGAAACTGCATTACGAAAAAGGTATTATGAATGTCAAAGTCAAAGATAACAATGTACGGGACATTTGAAAATAGTAAATAAGGTAATGGAGCCCTAATAAGGTAACTAAAGACGTATATTATATACTGAAGTTTATCGCTCCATTCCATTATGTTTCTTGTTGAAACGGACCTTATCAATTTTGCAGCACCAGGAATCCTGAAACTGTAGAAATGGACAACAGGGGGTATTCATCATTTGGTATGTACTCGTTATTGGTTGTTATCCTTTTGCTGAAATTACTAACATATGTGAGACTATTTAGCACTGAAATCATTACAATATGTCCACATTGTTTTGTTTCAGATCAGATAAATGGTCCTGCCCAGTATTCAAATTTGGAGGAATCAGAAAAACAACAGTACACACAGTTGAAGATTTATGAGAATACGAAAGGTAGCTGACGTTTTGCTCAATACTGATTTCAATTTCTGTATTCAAGTGAAGGTAATATTGAAGTGATATTAAGAAGAGTTATGATGTGGCTTTCTTGTTAAATACTTAATGAATTCCATCTTCAGCGGATGCTGCAGCAGATACAAGTACCTATGAAGGCATGGCAGAGACTCCCCCTGTCACCTATGAGTCCATCAGAGCATCTCCATACCAGAACACTGAGGCACATTCTCAAGGTAACCAAAACACGAAACACCCTGCTGAATAAAACTGTATGTCATTGCCATGGGCCAACTGTGTGCATGTACAGAAGCATTAAATAGAGGCATATGCCTTCTTTTCTATCCTAATAGTAATACGTTTAGTTTTCCATGCTATTGTGAGTGATATATACTTTGTCATATTCTATGTTTAATTACATATAGTTCTATACTTTTCAGGTCCTGACCACGGCAATAAGTAACGAGGAAGGTAGACATCATCATATCAGATCCAGTAACAGACCAAGGAACATGGGCAGCATATCAGAATCCTTTCCTTTGAGTAAAACATCGTTAGACCCGTGAAGAACCGGGTTAGAATAGGTCTTCAGCAATCAATGATCGCTGTAAAAGGCGACGTTGCTTGTGGTAAGAGGCGGCTAACGGGATCGGTTGGTCAGGCATGAGGCATGTCATGCGTAGATCGATGTTCATTATGTCAATCTCTCAATTGTCTGGTCAAGACTCCATTATTTACAGACCACCGTTATATAGCTTGAAATTGTCGAGTGAGGCGTTAAACAACAATCCAACAACAAAACATGTTTATTACTTACTTCACTTTTTTATTACATTGTTTTATGTTTGCTGATAAAAGCACAGTTACAGAAACTGTACTCAGTTGAAGGAGATCAGTCAAATGATGGTTGTGCTCATGTCTATTTATGTATCGCCTTTATACTTGTAACTGAATATTTCACACAGCAAATAAATATATGTTCACAATAAATAAACAAAATGCTTTGATGATCACATAAACATAATGGAAACATCGCAGTTGAAATAATGTTATCAGCTTAAGATTTCTGGGTCAGTTTTGGTAAACAAACATATCGTATAAAGTAATGTATTGTCATCACTTAACCAGATGCCAGGACAACAATATCACGATAAATCTTTGTTCACAGATATGTTTCAATTCAGGAGTGTGCGCGCGTGCGTGCGTGCGTGCGTGCGTGCGTGCGTGCGTGCGTGCGTGCGTGCGTGTGTGTGTGTGTGTGTGTGTGCGTGATTGTGTATGTAAAAACTTGTTTGTATTGGTAATAATTGCAGTCCGGCATTGACAACCCACTGAGATACAATGCCTCATTTTAACATGGATACCCCACTCAGAAACAGTATTCTGACTCTAAGCCACCGACAGGTACTTGTTTTATCTTTAAATGCCGAGCACCAAGCAGGGTAACAACAAATGCCATTTTTTAAATTCTTTTGGTATGACGCGACTAGGGATCGAACCACTGACCACCCACTCTCTGGGCAGACATTCTAACCATTATATCACAGAGGCGGTCGTCTTAACTGAACTCAAAAACACACGCATATCGCACAAGTGACAGTGCATACCACAACTCTCTCTATAACGTCCACATGGATACAACGTTAACATGCCTCTTCACCAGTCAATATTTTTTACAAGACACATTGCTAATACTGTGGAGTGTCGTTGGAAACATCAATTTCTTCGTCAATATTATGATGTTATAATCTGTATATGGGATAAAACATTTAGGTAGATTTGTTCCGAAGTCAGACGAATGACACATTAACAGTCACATGCACAGAAGGGTCATTTGCTGTGTAAATGTAAGCAATTTGGAGGAACCTGAGTGAGACTTTATACAGGTTTGTCCATTGCCAAATAACCATGGCTGTAGTTATTGTTTGTGTTGACAGGCATGTTGAAGAGCGCAAAAGCGAATAAAACGTTCACAGATGTAAGAAATAAGATAATTATGATACAACAAACTGCTGTTTCTATATTAAGAATACTGAATGACTAATTTGAATTAGGCTTACATTTGAACAATATTCCATCTATAGATTTACAATACTTGCCGCAAAGCCAGGCGATAATTCCAGCTGCTCCAGCTTTAGGTTTCTTTATTTTACAACATTTGAGGTAAAATGAAGCATGCGCTTTCCACAAAGAGTAGCACATTTTCGCGAACACAGCAAAGTAATTCCTGAGTAACTGATGCACAAATCAAATTTAGCTATTGAGTAATTAATACTAGCCACGTTTAGCTATTTACCATCAGCTGTTCCATGCTTTACTAATGCTTTAGTACTGCTGAGCGGCGTCAGGCAACACGGTTTAGCCGTTACTTGCGTTGTGTGAGTGGCGGGTGCTACCGATAAGGCAGGACATGTTTGCAATTTCCTCGAACACCTGGCGTGATTACTGAATTGCAATGATCCATTGGTAGTGAACTGATATACTCACAGATGCAGTATATACTTGATGGCATGGACAAATATGCTCATAGATGCAGTAGGTGGTGAACGGCTGATAAGTTCATAGATGTAGTTGACGGTGGAGGATATGAACTGATATGTTCATAGATGTAGTAGGTTGGGGGCGACCTATATGTTCATAGATGTAGTTGACGGTGGAGGATATGAACTGATATGTTCATAGATGTAGTAGGTTGGGGGCGACCTATATGTTCATAGATGTAGTTGACGGTGGAGGATATGAACTGATATGTTCATAGTTGTAGTAGGTTGGGGGCGATTGATATGTTCATAGATGTAGCTGACGGTGGAGGATATGAACTGACATACTTAAAAACACAGAAACTGCAGTTTTGTAAGTCTGCCTGAAGAAAACTGTTTTGGTCCTACTGTAGTACAGTACAGTTACCTATTACTGCAGCTTTGTCTGAGGGTGTGTGACATCAGCCCGTTCTGTGTGATCCCCAGGTCGCGTGATAGCACAAGAATCTCAAAGATGGCACGTGATTTCACCGCACGCCGACTGTAATGACACAATGCTTTGTAACCACAATGTTGTCGGTGTCACGTCAACCTGTTGTGGTCTGAACACTACCCGATATGCTGCTCCCTGACAGAGCCTTGTAGGGGTTAAGGATGTTGTACCTCGTAAGATACCAGAACTATTCACTCATGTCATTAAATTGATATTACCCGTGAGTGAGTTTAGTATTCTATAATACTTACACAAAGTCTAAATTGGTAAGTACATCAAAGTATGTCTGCACGATATAGCAAGATACGCCGCTGGAAATCAATAAAGTGTCAACACCACACATTATAACACGATTTATTATCTTCTAACAGTAGTTGACCTTAAAATCTTCTTTTTTCTGTGTCAATGTATCTTGGAAACACCGTCACTTAGAACCCCAAAATGTCACTGTGTAAATATGCCCCTTTGGTGATATAGAAATTTCTTTGTTTGACAATCATGCATATTTCTAATCAATGTATTACATAAACTACTAGTTGCGGCCATGGCAGATGGTTCTGCAGTGACAATTCAATAATGTTTGGACCTGTGTGTTGCATGCATGTCTTGATCTGGACTGTTTTGAGCGAAAATCGGTTACTTCGTATTGGTAAGTATTCTATATGGATTTATAAACATCATGTATGCCCTTTAACAGTACAGTTTGCAATGAATTCCCGCTAAATTAGGAAATAAAATGCATATAAACATGACATTCGACATCATAAGGGACATTTTGTTTGGTAATTTAGCAAGGTTTCAACAAGTCATCCTTATTCACAAAACTAAATATGTAGATCACGCTTAAAGACGAGGTCAGTTAACAAGTGGGCGGTGTTCTCAGTACCCATTGTGACCACAATTTGCCTAACCACTGTGTGCCTCCAAAACTGCTCAACATATTGATAAACCTTGAACATGGATGTTGACGTACATGTCTATCGACGTCATCCCACACATGTTCTTTTGGGATAGGACATGGCGATTTGGAAAGCCATAGGAGATCTGTAATATTCTCATTCGGTCAATAGTCAACATTGGTGGCAGTATGCGGCCTGGCATTATCTTGTTGGAATAGTTCCCTCTGACGGTCAATAACTAGAACGATGTAATGTAAAAGTTCACCCCAGTAGCGAATCGTTGCTAAATACCCCGTACAAGGTTTGATCTCAGTGTGTAGAATACCCCACCCCCTTCCCCTCACCATGACACTACCTTTACCAAATCCGTCAACTTTGGGGAAGTAATTTAGCAAAACATTCATTTGGATGTCAACGGACGTCTGTACATGTGGATTCGTAGTCTTCCATCAAGGCACCATTGATCCCGTGGAATGTCACTGTAGCAATCTCAGCACTGGCCAAAATAGTCTTCTGGTTCACAAATGTTAATTGATCGTCTGTGTACTTTGACAATCTTCTCAGACCAGGTACTCCACTTGCCGTTTTACTTGCTGCAACAGTCAAGTTACACAAATGAATTACCCTAATGTACCGGTACAATTTCTTATTGTGTGTAATATTGTATGGTACAAATTTACATTGTCAATAGTATCAAAATTGTATGACTTACATGTAAATGTGTAGTATGCAGTGAGGGACATTATGTACTTGTCCAGGTTTTTAAATCATGCATAGATGTAGGCTTCACAAACAAGCAAGATATGAAATTCATCTTCAAATAAGGTTCTATTGTGTAGTCTATGGTAAGGCCACATAATTTTAATTCTACCGATAGCATAATTTTATCTAAATCTGGATACACATATTCTTAATTCTAGAGCAATATGAACACATTGATAAGTTACAACATGTAGAAGAGATTTGTAAAGTAAATAATAGGTGAGGTAAACTGACGTCTAAAAGAAACTTTACCAGAGTTTGAATTCACTCTTGCTCAAAAACAACAAAACATACATGCATGAAGTAAAGTGTATTGAGAAGATCAATATATCAACATAATCCACACTGAAAATGACAATCATACCGCGACCGAGAATGACGTCAGAGCCCCCCAAAGTTGGGTGTGGTACAAAACTCGAGCTTTCAGAATCATGGACAATAGGCAGAGTACATAAACAATCGCTCACGTTCAATAACAAGTCATTAGTAGCGTGTGTGACCACCAAATGCCTCAATACACGCAAAAACTCTTCGACGCACAGAATAAGTCAGTCGTCAATGGGTTTGACGCCATTCTTCTTGGAGGGCCAAGATCAGTTCTTGCCGGTTGGCTGGAGAGTGTGGTCGTTGTCGAACACGACGATCCATCAAGTCCCAGAAGTGTTCTATGGGGGACATGTCGGGTGAGTGTGCAGGCCACGGCAGGCCGTTGACGTTGTTGACTGCGAGGAAGGTAGTGACAATTCTGGCTGTATGGGCTCTAGCGTTGTCTTGCTGATAAATGACACCACGTGGCTGCTGTTGGAGAAATGGTATGAGCTGGACGAAGAATGTTAGCCATGTAATGCTGAGCTGTCAAGTTTCCGTCAACGATGACCAGCCGTGACCTCTCCTGCCCACAGATCCCTCCCCACACCATGACACTCCCTCCACCATATGGTACGACCTCCTGCACGGAACACGCCGCCGTTCGTTCACCCCTTCGGCGGTAAACACGTTGTCTTCCATCAGCCCTAAACATACAGAATCGAGTTTCGTCAGTGAATACAACCCTCTGCCAGTCACGTCGTTGCCAACGTCGTACAGTCCGGGCCCATCTCAATCGCAGACGACGATGTTGCGCCGTCAATAGCTGTCCTCTGTATGGTCTAAAAGCCCTGATTCCATGAGCCCTGAGTCCCCTGGCCACAGTCTGTCGACTAACCCTGTGACCTAAGGCATTTGTCGCGCATGACGTCACTGTCGGAAATGCTAGAGAAAACTTTTTGCCTGTTAAAAAAGGATATAAGTTTTCACAGTTGTTATTGACATATTGATAAAACCGATCGCCCTACCTGTGGTTTGAAGTATTTCAGTCACAAGGAGTCCCATAGGAGACAAATTCGAACGAAAACAGGAAGTTCACATTTATTCTAAGTCCAATGATGGACTATAGAAATATGGGCACGTGACTCCGCAATAGTGAGAATAATGTAGTCTTAATAAAACATCTAATCCACACACAAAAATCATTTAGAGAAAATTGTGGATGTGCATCTACTATGACAAAATGACAAACTGACGCTGCGTTTTTTTTGCTCCCATGATGCATGTTACATTACACTTGCATAGTATAACTATGGTACACGATATGGAGTCTATACTGGAAAAAACATATAAAAATTCTTTACACTTTAAAGAGATAGAGGAAACCATTTATTTATTTAGATAGGGTGAAATGCCGAACTGCCCAAGCTATGGGGTTTTCATTTCATACCATCAACTCTACGGTATGATAAGAAAACAAAACAGGTTTTGGGGTTGTCTCAAAAACAAAACTGCTTGGCGATGACCGAGCACTTTTCAGAGGAAAATATCCCATCCTGTATATGAAGTCACATCATCTCCGAACCATTCATCACAGTCAGGGCGTCCAGATAATTTACCTTGATGAATCCTTCCACTGACTACATGTAGCTATCGGCAGATAGACAAAAAGCACCCATGGTACCATGATATTGGGCTTATTGACGGATGTGCGCTAGTTTTCGAGGTGAAAAGGAAATTATAGGACTGGTTGGAACTTCAGCTTTTGCCCATTTTAAGCAACGTCAGTGTCATTGACAGGAATATATGACATTGCCAACTTCAGACCAACGAAAGTTAACTCATGGAGAAAATTCGGCTGAATAAAAACCAATAAAGTACAAGACATATGTGCTGGCGGCACAACACGGTTACGTTGTCTTTCGTATGCCAGTCAGACATTGTGAACTCAACCCTGCTCATCACCTCGGGACAGGTGTTAGGTAATTACCTCAGGTTATAGGCCATTTCGTACATGAATGACAACATATATATGCTCTTTTTATAGTCATACGACTCGTATTTATTAAATGAAGCCAGAAAAGCAGTTTGCTAGCATTTCCGACAGTACTTTAGTTAATGTCAACCGATATAACCATTTCGTAAATCATTGTTTCTTAAGTATCTGTTTGTCTGAACTTTACGCGTAACACTATTGCATGCATTTCAAAGTTTCTCCTGTGAAATTATATAGTCCGAATTCCATGCCAGGGCTCATGTCTTAGCTCCCCTACACTACACTCAACCACATTAAAAGTAATGAAGCTTTCCATTGATTGTAGATGTTCTTATTTGATTATCACTTCTGCCTCGGGATTCATCAACATTCATTGGGAAACTATGCGATAATTGTCTTTGGAAAACGTTAAGTTGCCAGGTCGTACTTTGAGAGAGGAACAGTTAGTGCGCGGAAGAATTGCAGTTACTGGGTTCTTAATAAACCATTCATATGATAGCCTTTCTTTGTTCTATTACGTAATACGTGTATGCACTATATCAGTTACTGCCATTGTCCCGAGAACAAAGCCACTCATGGATATTCGGTTATTTAAGATGTATTGTACGCAGCTATAATATCCAACATTCCCCTAAAAATAAATGGGCAATATTTGGAAACTTTCTTTTATCTAATTCAGTCGTATGTTATTTAATATGATGAAACCAGAATTTGAGCTATGTCCTCACCTCATCCTGTGCAGGTGTAGTCACTGAGGGAAGCAGCTGTGTGTTAACTTGTGAGACTGGGTACGTCATGGAGAGTCCTATCGTGTGGACAAGTACAAGTTCCACTTATGAAGTAACACGTGCTACATGCACAACTTCCAATCCAGCGTTCCCATCTCAGTATGCCCTCGCCTGTCCTGGAACAAGTTTTACTCTCACAATTGCAGCTGTGACAAGGGATGCAACGACTTGGAAATGTGATCACGCTTTTGGTGGAATGGAAAGTAATGCTATTGATCTTCTTCTTCAAGGTTGGTATAACATTTTATATAAGAGCATAGTTTAGAGGTTTCATATCCAATGACACAGAGTCCTTTCATGCGTCATTGGTAAAAATGGATTCAGCGTCCCTCAAATATGAAATAATTATGCCACTTGCATTTTTAACACCACAACATTACATTATGATGACATACAGAGAGATAGCAAAATTAGTTGTACTTTTTCCGAAGTATTAATATATCTCGTATACAGGCAGTAAATGCAAATATACCCACATGCCTGGCTAACAGACACTGAATCTTTGGTGTAAGTAGACATGTTTCTATCAGCTGTCAGACACGATCTGACAGAACTGTGCTGAAGGTTTTGTGTAAGTTCACACGTATCTGGGGGGCACGGGTGGCCCAGTCGTCTTAGGCGCCGCGTTTCGCTGTGCAGAGTTGCGGCCCTTGGGCACGCCAGAAACCTATGATTGTGAGTTCGAAACCCCGGTTCGCCCCGATTATGTTTCCAGGTTTGTCAGCACCATACCCGTGCTCGTGGGTTTCACCGAAGTGGTAAACGTCTAAGACCTGCATCACTTCGGGCTTTCCTCCCACATTAAGCTGACACGCCGTGATATGACTTGAATACTGTTAAAAGTGGCGTTAAATCCAACTCACTCACTCGCTCACACGTATCTGCCAGTGGTCAGACACAGTTAAACAGAGCTACACTCAAGGTCTAGTGTAAGTAGACATTGTGTTATACAGTTATACTGGGATGTTTGTAACAGACCAAAACTGAAGATTTTGTTTAAGTAGATATGAATATATCAGTTGTAAGACACTGTCTAAGAGAGCTACGCTGGAGCTGTAGTATAAGTAGAAATATAGGTGTCTGTGGCCAGACACAGACTAAGAGAGCTACGCTGGAGCTGTGGTATAAGTAGAAATATAGGTGTCTGTTGCCAGACACAGTCTAAGAGAGCTACGCTGGAGCTGTGGTATAAGTAGAAATATAGGTGTCTGTGGCCAGACACAGTCTAAGAGAGCTACGCTGGAGCTGTGGTATAAGTAGAAATATAGGTGTCTGTGGCCAGACACAGTCTAAGAGAGCTACGCTGGAGCTGTGGTATAAGTAGAAATATAGGTGTCTGTGGCCAGACACAGTCTAAGAGAGCTACGCTGGAGCTGTGGTATAAGTAGAAATGTAGGTGTCTGTGGCCAGACACAGTCTAAGAGAGCTACGCTGGAGCTGTGGTATAAGTAGAAATATAGGTGTCTGTGGCCAGACACAGTCTAAGAGAGCAACGCTGGAGCTGTGGTATAAGTAGAAATATAGGTGTCTGTGGCCAGACACAGTCTAACAGTGACACACACGATGTTTGGTGTAAGTAAACACGTAACTATCAGTGGTCAGACAGAGTCTAAGAACATCACACGGGAGGTTTGGTGTACACTTACATATCTACACTGGGGGTTGGTGTAAATATATATAATCTACCAGAGCTACGTTGTAGCTTGTGTGTGAGAAGACCTGTATCTGCAAGTATTAACACATAATCTAACAAGAGCTACACTTGAAGTTTGGTGTCTATTTGGGGAACCAAGGCCATGTTTCGTATTATAATCTGTGCTATGTACCGAGTGGTCAGTTTGTCTACATAGTTCCACAATTTCACACTGATCGATCTCTAAGAAACATTGGTACAAGGTTCTACCGATCGTGTCATAATACAGGATGTGTCGCAAGTGTACATCTTGATCTGTCACACGTGAGTATGTCACCTGTTGCTCCCACGCTGTTATAACTGAAACAATGTACAAAGCAGGGAAAAACACAACTCACTCGTCTCGTCTCTTCACGAGCTTCACCCCACCCATGTAAGTTATCAGGGACATTCAATGATGTACTGCAAACTGTCAGACACTTTAAGTTGCACTCTCAACTTAATATCACCGCTCTTGGATGTTAACAATTTCATGGTTCTAGTTACCACTCCTATAATGTATATACTACCCTCAACATTATTGCAAGGTATATGTGACCTGATACTACTCCTGAATAAAGGGCCGCCTCCGTGGTCTAGTGGTAGAGAAGAACGTCCGAGGGTTCGATCCCACGCCGCGTCATACCAAAAGATGGTATTTGTTGTTACCCTGTCTGGCGTTCGGTATTAAGGGACTAAAACAATGACTGGTCGGTTCGGAGTCAGTATACTGTGTCTGAGTGGGGTATTCATGTTAAACTGAGGCATGGTATATCAGTGTGCTAGCACTAAAATTCGGCGTCAGTCCGGAATAGAACAAGCAGCCACACACACACGCACACGCACACGCACACACACAATCACGTGCATCTACGTCGCTTTAAAAGTGCAATAATTTTGGACGCGATGTTCAACCAAGTTTCACCTCATATTTCAATGCCTATTTTAGTACCACTTTCTGCCCACATGGATGTAACTGTCCTTGCGTTTGCTGATATTGCACTTTAAATCACCCAACCCGGGACATTAATTCACATGTTACAGGTCCTCCAACTGCCCCAACACATGGTGAAATAGTGTCTGTAAGCTCTACAGCCATGTCACTTCAATGGACTTCCGGCTACAACGGTGGGTCAGAGCAGACATTCACACTACAGTATAAATCTGAGTCGGACTCACAGTGGACAACATGAAGAGACGATATAGCAGACCCGGGAATTGGCAGAAATGTCACAGTTAAAGTCACCAGTCTCACACCTGCAAAAGTGTACACTCTCCGGTTCTACGGTAGCAATAGGTTTGGTGAAGGTGCACATGTGATTCATAAGTCATTTACTCGGGCAGGTAGCGCGAATTGTATTATTTACTTTGACATTATAGGTGTAATGGTTAGACAGTTAACTACATTTTTTCCCAGCCCTGTCTAAGTCTGTTGTAGGCTCATTTAGGCTGTGCATGGCAGTTGTACTGACACTGTCATGATTTGCAATAGTTCAGTTGTGTGAATACACACAAACGTAATAATACAAGAAGTAAGCAGTCTGTTACATCTGAGCTCCCGATACTACAGGAAGTGTTGCTATTGATTGATGGGAAGTTAAACTATGTGATTGATCCTGCTTAACATATCAGTTTTAAGAAATATATATGACGGTGTGAGGTTATTTCACCTCTGGTCTTCCCCAACCTTCAATATTATTGGGGATGACCAAGGTGGAACTATCCGAGATTGATTAACTATTCAATAAGAGTAAATACTTCACCTATGATTGCCTATTTGCAGAACCACAACCACCTGTTAAGGATCGATTCTCAGATGGAATTGGAACTGGGGTTGGAATTTGCGTTCCTGTATTTATTGTGTTTGTGGTAGTGTTAGCAGTTCTACGAAAACAACAGTGGTTCAAAGGTGATGCAGGTTGGTTTACAGGCTTGTATACTGTCTCGTTCATCCTACATTGTGTTGTTTCTAGTTTGATGATCAACACATGAGACGTTTTGTTTGACACCATTATGGTATCATATGTGTTTTATCAAGACAGGAAACATCGTTTTATCTAATGAATGCTTTAATCATCGTGGTTTACAATCACACACATTGTGTCGTGGGTCATAATTGCATTTGTTCTTTCAGGCACAGGGGAAATCAACACACTGCTGATGTATGTATGAGTATGCTTGCCAGAAAGAGTTGATTCAAAGTCAAAACCAAATATGTGACATTCTTTTAGTATTAGTTTATATTTTGTAATCCAATAATACATAGTATTTATTTTACATTTTCTGTAAAATCGACTTTCAGTAAACGGTATTGTTTCCTGATCAATACAACAGCTTGACTTCTAATCAGGCATTTGAAATTTGCACCATAATTAACCAATTAATTGGTAATATATCCAAGTTTTTTACGCATTCCAAAGATGGCCATATGAACATAGGATATGATTACAATCATATTCACTTTATATGCTTTAGGCATATCTACGAAACATTCCTTGCACTGATGCGTTTTAAAGTTGTATGAACGTACATTAGGAGAGAGTAATGTTCGGTTAAGCGATGACATATTCTTTGGAATATAATTATTTGTACTCAGCAGAATGTGCATTTGAAAAATATATATATAACTCTTTCTTCTACCACCTGTGCCATTCTTTACTTGAAGGAACAATCAAGCAATCGAGTTGCCATTACAAGAGCAAGGTATGGAAAACAATACACACATCATTGGAATTTAATTATCTAAGCCAAATTTGCCTGATTGACGTTTCCAAGTTGTCACGTGTCCCTGATTTTTTAAAGCTTAGAAAAGAAAGAAACTTTATTATTTTGTTAAATTTTTAAATATGTACCATATCCGTGACCAGTAGCTATAGTTTCATTGAATGTGTTAACAACATTACATGCGTTACTCTGAGCAGAAATATATTAATTTCAAACTGTTGATACACACAGTCAGTGCGTCCTTTTATTGTCTATTATTGTTTGGTCTCATTTGTGGGATTTCGCACTCATTCAGATTTTAATCTGCGCAACATATAAAATCCTCGTCACAATTTATTTAAATTGTGCACCTTCCAGGCGTTGCTCGTTTCATGTTGTGTTGCCTTTGTTAAGCTGAAGATACAACGATGTATTCCAACCCGAGAGCCGTCAAATCACTGTCATGCCACATCAAGGTCGCATTTCACTGATGTGATAGATCGTCTCAACTTGCAGTAAAGTGATATAGGCGCAATGTCATGGTTAAATCATGCAATATATGTTGTTATTCAAGCAATTGGTCTATACGATGACCTCGGGCACAGAGAGACGGACATGGCGACATACACAGAACTGAAAGTGTATGAAAATGTCGGGGCCCTGCCTTCAGAAGGTGAGATTGCATTGATGTTGAACAGATACACTGAGAATGTGTTTCACTCTTGTTGCGTTTTTAAATTCATGGTTTGTGCTTAAAACTATATCTTAACCATGTCGTGTGATATACAGTCAAATCAGTGTAGCGTGCCCATGATTGGATAAGACGAATGGCTTGTCGCATCCCCGCGGGATCAGGAGGAGGTGTGATGAATTTGCATGATAACTTGGGGAACATTGAACTCGAATGTGTACATTGTGTCATAATTCTAATGCTGTTTAACGTTGTGACCACAAAATAGCGGCTTGTAGTTTTATATCTGTAACTTGTAAGGACCATGTTTGCTGATGAAATAGGTGTGTTTAACAAATAAAATGCCACTTACATGTATATGCATTGAAGTTATAGACCGTCCACTAACACAGGTAAATAACTCGACATTGCTGATATATCATGCTTATCTTCTGTTTACGTTTATCTGTACAGAAACAGGACAAATATTTGTCAGTACTGATGTGTCCTTTTAAAGATACGGTGAATGAAGACGGAAAGGCGCACCCGACACCTCAACATGCGACACCTCGGACATACAAGGGCTTATTAAATACGAAATAACTTGTATATTAGTAAGTAATTACATGTATATTATATGACATGTGAGATTCAGCTTTAACCTTTCAGTGAGAGTCAGTGAGATCATGCATATGTATGTTACATATAATTCGTTTATAGTTTAACAAAATAACAGACACTTTAACATGTAACAAGATAAGTTTGTTATTAAAGTACAGACGCTCCCTCCTTCTTCCAGATCCGTGGACGTCGGACTACCCAGACCCAATTTATGACAATGTGTTTAGTAGTTACAAGTTATATGGTAGTATGAGTGTTCTTTCTCGATGTATATTCAATCTTAGTTGTTATGATGCGATTCGAATGAATAATTACAGATATATATTATGACAAATTGGTATGCATTGCTGTTCCTGAGACAATTTTGAAGCCGATTATGCGCACACAAGCACGTTGATCAATCACTTATCATGAGCACAGCATTTATCACGAAACGAGTATTGTCATTTCATTGGTTTTCCCCATCTAGCTACAAAATCACTTTTTGCGATCGTGCATGTACCAAGGTGTGTTTAGTGTAAAATAGTACAATGAATACAACTCTCATATCTGATCGCACAATGATTGAGGATTTGTCTTTGAATAAGTAACCATTTAATTCCGCATCCTTTCACCTCCCCAAAACTAGCATTTAAAACACAATGTTGTGCCTCCTTTCCAAATTCAGAATTATATCTACAGGTAAACCAGTACTACGGTATTATCTTTCTAACTATGTATATAAATAGTTTATGTTCCATTGTTTATATTGTTTTTACACTTAAAATAGCACATTGCTTCTGGTTAATAGAAGATCTTATGTGAGCACCTCTCGTACATCAGATTAAATTGCATTGAATGTCACACTCATGTTGTCAATTTATGCACACTCACATTGGTGAATGTGTACACAAAGTTGATATCCCGATTTGAAGGTTTAGGATCATACCATTGTTTTCATAGTTCTGTCTCTAGTGGTGTTTGACTGGTGTTTTACCCATCACTACTAATTACCTTCTCAAGTTCTATGAATTACATTTGTTGCCATATTTATGAACCATCCATTGAATTAATACTGAATCATCTCATTACTCCAAATACAATCATGTCGGTCTACATGTCAATGAGTGTCTTGCTGCTGGCTGCAGCAGGAGAGTGGCTGCACATAGAATTGGCATTTTGGCACATTATCTTAAGCTACATGATGGCGTGGCTCGACCCTTCGCCATGCTTCTGGTTTGACACAGTGGCCCATCCATCTATGGTACGAGCCGGAATGTGTAGAGGGAATCATGGAAAATGATCAATACAAAAAACATTTGGAATAGGCCCGTTTACAGCCTCAGACCTACCTCGTCACAGTAGTAAGCATTAAAGTTGTTTCAATAGTATATCTTCTTCGTGTACTACATGAACATTGGCTATTTTTATCTGATGAATGAGTTAGTGAGATTGGTTTAATGTCGCTTTTAACAGTATGTTAGTTATACCACGGCGTCAACCCCATAAGTTTTACTGTGTTGGTTGAACCCACGAGCACTGATATGGTGCTGACTAACAATATAATTGCATCTTTACGGCATCTGTGTTTGGCTGTTTGTACTAGTCCGGACTAATGCTGGTTTTATAGCGTTAACCCACTACAGTTTACGATGGATACTCCACTCAGACTCATAACACTGATCCGGCCAGTCCTTTGTGTTTAAAACCCGTGTTACTGAACGCTAGGCATGGTAACAAGTGACATCTTTTGGTCAGACGCAGCCAGGGGATCGAACCACAGCCCTTAGACCTGATATAGACCACAGATGCAGTCTTATATTGCAACTATTTTAAGTATTAATATGGTGAGATTCCATAGCACTGTATATATTTTACATATATTCAACGAGTATTAAACATGTGTTGGATACCTACTTTGTCCACTAACACTGCAACTATTGTATACTATACACCTCTATGGGCAGTAAATGTCATAGCCGTTCTTAGATGTAGAAACTGATTCCACATGTCTTTAAATTAGTCAGAGATTCAAATAACACATGATGCTATTTCATGTGTTCATCAGGTCCAAGGGACGTTGGTTTGTGCAACCTGGCAGATCATCTCATTTTGTCTTAAATGTATCATTTTACATGACCTTTAGTGTCAGGTCGAGGCGTCCTGAACTAAATTTCATTGTAATAATGACTATTTAGTGCAATCTCTTGTTTACACAGCAGACAGTTACTAACACAGTCAATGCTCGCTCACGTCACCTAACGATCTCAAATCAATTATCTGAGAAAGGTAAATATTCAATGCATGATATCTGATCCTTATACCAACTACATATGGACGAGACCTCGCAACAGACAAACAAGAAATATGATTGAAGGGGAATCCCTAATTCTGTAATCAGAGATTAATGATTTGTTGTTAAGCAGTTATCAATTTCCCGAACCTTTGATATTACAGATGGGCCATTCAACAATGTGACAGAAGCTGTCACCCCTTCCCTCACAGTGGACTGCTCCACCACATGTAAACCGTGGAGCTACACCAGGCAGAAAGGCACACAGACAGTCTCCAATAGTATAAAATCACGCAGCAAACATGACACATGACTCGATTGTTCGAGCGTCTCGTGGGTTCTCTCGACAACTTGTACACTGTCGTGGCAATTAGGTTCAACTGCAATTGGCAGACCATTGAACAGGGACAAACAAATTAAAAATACCCTTTTCATTTCTTCCCAATTCATTCATTCTTATCACACAAATATTACTAGAAGCTAATATATCTTACAATTTTGGAAAGTTTAAGTTATTTCCGAGTATCCACTACTTTGTGTAAGAGTATGTTTCTAACTTGATGATGTGTGTGTGTGTATTTGAATCCTATTATGAACATGATTTTAGATTCAACATCTTACCTGCTTACCTGCTTGCAATAAATTTATTTGCAAAATATACATGTGTGTTTCAGTTTCTGATGATGTATTTTTTACTTCGTATACATAGACATGTTTATCCTCCTCAACTGATAAAACTGTATACGTGTCTCTATGGCTATTATGATTCACTCACTCTATGACGTGTGTATTGTTCTCTTTCCAAACACTACACACATACACTTGAGGACAATGTATATCTTGACAGTCTATGCATTGCATCTAGTTTTCCTCGTTGAGCTGCGATGTAATTGGATACAGTTCCTTCAACACTTTTCCTGTCAGTCAGGTTTACAAAGGGACGTTGGTTTGTGCAACCTGACAGATCATCTCATTTTGCCTTAAATGTATCATTTTACATGACCTTTAGTGTCAGGTCGAGGCGTCCTGAACTAAATTTCATTGTAACATAGATCATATCCTTGCACAGTTGCGATCAATGCCATATGTAACATATATCATATCCTTGCACAGTTGCGGCAATGCTATATATAACATAGATCATATCCTTGCAAATTTGCAGTCAATGCTATAAGTAACATAGATCTTATCCTTGCACAGTTGCGTTCACCGCTATATGTAACAAAGATCTTATCCTTGCACATTTGCGGTCAACGCTATATGTAACATATATCATATCCTTGCACAGTTGCATTCAACGCTATATGTAACAAAGATCTTATCCTTGCACAGTTGCGTTCAATGCTATATGTAACATATATCATATCCTTGCACAGTTGCGGTCAACGCTATATGTAACAAAGATCATATCCTGCAAAGCTGCGGTCAATGCTATATGTAACATAGATCATATCCTTGCAAAGTTGCAGTCAACACTACATGTAACATAGACCATATCCTTGCAAAGCTGTTGTCAATGCTATATGTAACAAAGATCTCATCCTTGCACAGTTGCGTTCAATGCTATATGTAACATATATCATATCCTTGCACAGTTGCGGTCAACGCTATATGTAACAAAGATCATATCCTGCAAAGCTGCGGTCAATGCTATATGTAACATAGATCATATCCTTGCAAAGTTGCAGTCAACACTACATGTAACATAGACCATATCCTTGCAAAGCTGTTGTCAATGCTATATGTAACATAGATCTCATCCTTGCACAGTTGCGATCAATGCCATATGTAACATATATCATATCCTTGCACAGTTGCGTTCAATGCTATATGTAACATATATCATATCCTTGCACAGTTGCGGTCAACGCTATATGTAACAAAGATCATATCCTGCAAAGCTGCGGTCAATGCTATATGTAGCATAGATCATATCCTTGGAAAGTTGCAGTCAACACTAAATGTAACATAGACCATATCCTTGCAAAGCTGTTGTCAATGCTATATGTAACAAAGATATTATCCTTGCACAGTTGCGTTCAATGCTATATGTAACATAGATCATATTCTTGTAAAGTTGCGGTCAACGCTATATGTAACATAGGTCATATCATTGCACAGTTGCGGTCAACGCTATATGTAACATATATCATATCCTTGCACAATTGCGGTCATTGCTATATATAACATAGATCATATCGTTGCACAGTTGCGGTCAACGCTATATGTAACATATATCATATCCTTGCATAGTTGCGGTCAACGCTACATATAACATAGATCATATCCTTGCAAATTTGCGGTCAATGCTATAAGTAACATAGATCGTATCCTTGCACAGTTGTGGTCAACGCTACATGTAACATATATCATATACTTGCACAATTGCGGTCAATGCTATATATAACATAGATCATATCGTTGCACAGTTGCAGTCAATGCTATACGTAAGATATATCAGATCCTTGCACAGTTGCGGTCAACGCTATATATAACATAGATCATATCCTTGCAAATTTGCGGTCAATGCTATAAGTAACATGTATCGTATCCTTGCACAGTTGTGGTCAACGCTATATGTAACATATATCATATCCTTGCGCAGTTGCGGTCAATGCTATATATAACATAGATCATATCCTTGCAAATTTGCGGTCAATGCTATAAGTAACATAGATCTTATCCTTGCACAGTTGCGGTCAACGCTATATGTAACATAGATCTTATCCTTTCACAGTTGTGTTCAACGCTATATGTAACAAAGATCTTATCCTTGCACAGTTGCGGTCAAAGCTATATGTAACATAGATCGTATCCTTGCAGAGCTGCGGTCAATGCTATATGTAACATAGATCATATCATTGCAAAGTTGCGGTCAACGCTATATGTAACATAAATCATATCCTTGCCAATTTGAGGTCAATGCTATATGTAACATAGATCATATCCTTGCAAAGTTGCGGTCAACGATATATATGTAACATAGATCCTATCCTTGCAAAGTTGCGGTCAACGCTATATGTAACATAGATCATATCCTTGCAAAGTTGCTGTCAACGCTATAAATAACATAGATCATATCCTTGCACAGTTGCGGTCAATGTGATATGAACATTCACAGTTATTTTACATTTCTGTAAAATTTTCGTTTCTACTTGGTTACTGAATGGGCACGTGCGAAGGGGGTACATATTTCGTACACGCCACTGGGGAACGCCAAACCTCTTACCAATGTAAGGCGTCGCCGGACGTGAACAACTTTATTGCAGTCGATCAATATCTGTGTGTACGTGTGTGCTGAGGTTTCGTGGATCTGCGGCGTATACAACGTACAGTGTCACGGTAAACACAGAGTACCCCTCATCGGGAGGTAATCTATACGGGACAACTTCTACCTGTCACCCTGTGTGCGTGCGGCTTGTATGTCTGTATGTGTATATTGGAGCTCATAACCGGAAACTCGCACAAGGTAGGTATTTGAAACCATGAGCGTCAACTAACCCGTCTTAAACCTAAAAATAGTTTGTAGGTGTTACTCTGCAATGTCATGTGAAGCCTGAGTGCTGGCTTATGTCTAAGTCCCAGTGAGCATGGCGGGACTGCATAAAATACGCCGTCGTGTGCTTAGTTTTAAAAACATAAGTATAGTTTCGAAGTTCCGAATAATGCCACGATACAGCTTGGTGTTGCTAGTCGTGTTGTGGGACAAGAAGATTACAGTCAACATTGGTAAGCACTTACGCTGCGGGACAGTCATCAATCGAAATTCTAAAATTGTTAAAATTGT